AAAGAACATACCCGTAGGTACGTAGGACTCGATGCTTACTAAAAATTTCAATAGTTCACAGCGTCATCCTCGTTCCTCGAAAAATTGACAACTTAAAAATGTAATTCAGAGGGAGGAGAGGGCGATAGGAACGGAAAAAAAAAGGTTAGGTTAAGTTTAAAAAAAACTTCACTTATTTTCTGTTGTAAACAACTTTTCTATCTATCAGAAATCCAATCAAAAAATGACAAAAGACCTTTTATGTTGCATTTCGGATCTAGATGGAGCATTGAGCACGACCGTATTGTTTTATATACTTAACGAAACTATACATATTATAGAAAGATAATATATAATAGTAAAAAAAAAAAAAAAAATTGCTCAATAGTATTTGAATGTACAATCATCCACGCCGTGAGTAACGATGACAATAATACTTTCTTAACGTCCTCGTTCCTCGCTGGCATTTTTTTTTTTTAAATAAATGACGTCTTATCTGTATTACAAGACATATTAATGCAATGACGCACATCGCGTTGACATACGCATACTTGTAGGTACGTCAACAACAGCTAGAAATTCAGTATATTATACAGGATGATCGACATAACGTAAGACACTCATTATCTCAGAGAGTATAAACATTTTTCGAAATTAGTTTTCACTGTTTCATTGCCTTTATTGTTTGTCGCCCTTAATTCAGGGAATACGGGAGAGGAATAGTGGAGCGTCATTTGTGTCACGGCACGGTGCGTTTGAATAGAGCACCGCTATAATACTCTCTCCTCTTGCCAACGAAACGGCAATCTCAAAAGTGATATAATATCACGTCAGAGGAGATGTAAAAAATTGACGTAAAAAACGTCAACACTGAAATTTATTTAAACTAAAATTTCATTTGTTTATAGAATTTATAACAAAAGTCCCTATTTTAAAATCAATAGTCTGTAGTGGATTCACTCCCAAAAATAAAAATTAGGTAGGTATACCTACAAAAAATAACCGAAATTTAACATTTTTCGATTCATTTCTTTAAATTTCTACGAAACAAACCCGGAAGAAAATTAGTATTTTCTGGAACAATGAGTATCTCACGTATTTATGTCTATCACTCTGTACAGGATTCTTGATTACCTAATAATTTGAAACGAAAAACAAATTCCCTCAGATATTCCCATAACGCTCGATTTATTTATATTTATTATTCATACGGTGACTCCGATAAATCGATAATTCGAATTTTATTTCATTCCCCCCGAGATTCGAATATATTAATGTTAATATATTTCGTCGAGAATCTGTCGCATCGTTATTGCAGTATAACGAAAAAAAACAAGCGCTGTTTGATTTTTTCGTATACCTATAGCGTCACAGTCAAAGCTTTTTACCGCCCCTATGTGCTCCTAATGGGCTAATTTTTCGTTAAGTAAATCAAAACATTCGTGTCCTCCCCCTCCCCTCAAATACAGTTTCACATTGTTCAACATTATTTTTCATCATAATCATATAATATCGCAATTCTTTTACGTGTTATATCAGTCACTAGCTGCCACGGCAGTCCTCAAATGAAATAACGGTCCTGAATCTACTCTCTAGATCTTACTATACTACTATACTACTATACTACTAGATCTTACTACTACTACTTTGGTTCATCTACCATTTTTGCGACTTTCTTCTTGCCCTTTTTTCCACATGGCTCTCATTCAATTGCCGTTCTATAGTTTATTATAAATAGCATGGCGCGTCATAGACATTCGAAATTATTTTTAACAGACTTCAAAAAGGACGATATTACTTGGTATGTATTCAATGCATACGATTTTAACCAATAGTAAATAAAACAATACAAATATTTTCAAGCATAAAAAAAAAACGCTCGTTATATATTAATAACGATTATTCATCTGTCCGGTTCTGGTCCCCGTGATTTCAAATCGGCAGAAATAAACAAATATTATTCTAAAATGATATTATTTGAAAAATTATAACTCGCAGAATAAGTACGCGTTGGGTCCCAGCTCAAACTAATGCTTAACGCCAAATCTGGGTTGAAAAAAACGCTATAATCCGGATTATGATTTTATATCGGATTAGGGTTTAAATAATATTATCTATTATTGTATTTTTTGAATTTAATAATTAAATAAACTATTTTTATTTGACCAATTTATAAACAATAAATAAAAATTTCCCACAAATTTGAGCGATTTTTACATAATATCGGTCCCAAGTTATCGCGGTTGATAATATCTAGATTTTTAGTACCTAGACCATTTTAAATAAATTAACGGATTTGATTCGAGATCCCCATTGATGAATTGAATCTGAAATCCGAATGGATCCGACAATCCGAATAAAATGTATTGATCCGAAATCCAGATTATTCAATTGTAATCCGAATTACGGATTGGTAAAAATATTGTTCAGCACTAGCTCAAACCCGAATCATCATCATTCGATAACATATAACATTAATAGTTTAAAATATGTCAGTGGCATTCAACGAATTCAAATACTTATAAAGTTGTTAACTATATAATAATTCTTTAGAAACATTTTTTGATTTAAGTACCTTCCTAGTACGTGTACATAAGTTATAATTAAATAAGTTCGGCTTAGCGCGAAGAAGACAATGCAAACGCTATTTTACTTATTTACAGAGTCCGAGAATAAAAAAATATAGTTTTTAAAGTACTTTTTAAATTTAAATAAGACAGTGATTCCCATTCTCTTTTATTCCCCTTTGTAGGTTTTCTTAAATCTCAACTCCATCCGTATAAATTCGTATCTATATAAAAAATTAAAGCCGTTCGGGCAGCTGCCTCTCTACACTAATACGGTCATAATCGTAATTTTCGTATCGATACCCGATAAACAGGTCTTTAATTTTTCAAGTTTTCCCTACATTGTAAAATAAAAATAATTTAATATATGTATACATTTTACTGCATTTTATTGTAGATGACTACTTGAGTCTCCCCAACAATGTGTTCACCCTCCCCCCTTTTAGGAAACACTATTTGCTAGAGGAATCATCGTACGGTTATGGTTATCACTCCGATGTAAAGTCACGAAATCGGAACACAGTAGGTCGTGGTAAATCGGTCTGCGGTCATCCACCTTGGCAGAACGGGTCAAAACGATTTACGAGAGTTCCGGCTTTCGGCGGCGTTGTTGACATCGCAACGATATTACCGACGGTCATGTTATATAGCTAATTAGCATCCCTTTCGATCTAAAATAAAAAAATATCACGAAAGACGATGACGTGATTTTACGTACTAAAGAAACGGCCAGAATTCAAAGTTCGAAATATGAGGGGACACAGGGAGACGGAATTCCTCAATTAATTTTTCAGAAAATTAAGCGTACCTCAAATGTCTATACTATTTTTGTGAATTTTGTGATATAATTCCACGATCCACCACTGATAAGACGGTACATACGAGTATTTCGAATGTTTATTACAATTTGAATTTAAAGCGTCTATAAAAAAAATTGGTAACTTGCCAAAACAACTGTTATCACATGAAACCTAATAAAATCTTAAAAAACGCGAAAATTTCAAATGGCTATCACTGAAAAATTGCCAGCATGATTTGACAATTTTACCATGTCTGGAAAGAGCTGTATATAATAAACTGCGTACATAGTGTATTTAGTGATATTTTCGATCCTACAATTATTTTTTACTGAATAAACAAAACAGACTACAACAGAGATCGTTGCTGTGTAATCATCGTAACAGTTCAACGGTTTCCCGACTTATTTTCTAGGATTTTCCCCATACTTAAGAATACTACAAATAAAATCCAAAAATACCCTTCACATTGCACCCACGAGACAATTTTTACTTGTAACTATCACTTTTGAATTGATGAACGGAATACGATTTCTAGTATAAAAGTTGTTTGCATACAGAAAAAAAAACAAAAACAGATATCACAGTAAAACCTAAAATAAATATTATGTAAGCAAAAAGTCTGCCTGCAGCAGTATCATTAGTGTTTTGTTTTGGGAAATTATTAAATACTGAATTATGTTTAAACATTTATATGGGGGGACAGGGTTAGGTTAATTTTAATAACCGCAAGAGACTCTAAATATTTTCAATACATACAGACTTTCTTATTTTATTTCTCCAATTCGAGCGCTGAGCTGGATTGAGAAAAAGCGAGCCTATTAAGAGGACGTTATAGTGTTACACACGCATGTACTATATAATATAATGAAATATAATATATAATTTTTACAACTTATGGTTTCTATCAGAAATCTTGCTACAAATTTTAAGAATCGCATCTTATTATCTGAAACAAAATTTCGTCTAGTTGGTGTATAATGGAATAGTTTTTTTGATTTCTTTGTAGCTTTACAAAATAATAGGAAAAAAACACAGAAAAAAAGGAAATGTTTAAGGAATTTACAGTTTCGTTATTTTCGATTTAGTATTTTTGTTGTAATTCAATCAAACATATAAATAATAATAACATGATATTTTCTGCAGAGAATACTATTATTTTAGTCTTTTATAAACGTGGTAAAATTTTCATAACATTTTGGTGGTTTTTGAACTATTAACGGGCACTTGACATTTTCGAGTATAGTTTAAGTTTTTATTTGGTATAGCTATAATATGTAGACAAAATTGTTTGGTTCAACAGAAAAACTTGACAATTTATTAATACGACCTTCATTATCAGTTATATTTAGTGCCTAGTGGTAAAAAATCAAAGTTTAAGTAAACGTCGTATTTTTTTTTATAACCGTTTTAAGATCAGATTTTGAGGAAAATCGTAAAAAATTGCGGTATTTCAAAACGTGTCTAACCAAACTTCGCCCAGAATCATTTTTCGTTTGTAATGATTTATCGTTGCATTCGGTGTGTAAACAACTCGATATTGTTCTGCGCGCGCAATAAATATTAATACAGAAAATTCGAATAATCATGAACTATATATAATAACGCATAATAAACATAATACACTTTATAAGAACCCAGGCTCGAAATGCCTGGGTTATGGATAATTGCAAGTGCAATCTTTAATAACAAACACAATTAATATCGTAACAAAAATCACAAGCATCGTTAATAACACATAAGTAGAAAATAATTGCATAAATTTAGTATGCTCGAACTGTTTTTTGGCAAGTACACACCGTTCTTCAGTTATTTCCTTTGTCGCTTCCGACGAGACCACCATCGGCTGCAATGTACGTACATCGCTTGTATCAACAATATTGGTGGCCGCCTATAAATACAATAAAGTATGTAGAACTTGATTGTGATTCGGTTATATCTAATCGTAAACTGCACGTTGTATTATATTATTGAAATGGATTGATTGGAGAATCAAGGGTAGATACTATGCGTGATTACAAAATATAAAATGATAAAATGATGTTCCCTCGAAAAACAAAGTTTGTCCTTGAGGTAAATGCGTTCAAAAAGTCGACTGTTGCAAGTCTGCAACTTTTAAAATAGAATATCTTATAGACTTAAGGAATCTGGATACTAATTAAATTAAAAATAAAAAAACTATTAAACTTAAAAGTAGGTAGGTTTTTTTAAAAAAAAAATGCCAAATTTAACTTTGTATTTTGAAACTATTGACTATAATTCAAACTTGTAACTTATTATCTAGCTACTTTTTGGGCTTCAATAAAAAACCCCGCAAATGCATACAAATCCGGGCCCTAATAATAACGATATTATTATATTCTAAGACTGCAGTAGCGTATTTAGGACTATTCTAAGGAGGGAGATATTGAATTTGAAAATTGTGCGACATCACTGTGTAACGTGTACCCAACAGACTAAATAAAGAACCCATTTTTAATTCATACATTTGTGTAAGTAATGCACAATCCTAGGCATACCTAGAAAAGTAACTGTTGTTTTAGATTGATTGATTTACCGTACTTTATAAGTACCAATCTAATCTCCTCCATATTTTAGTCGTTCGGGTGTAGGTTTCGTTTTAAACAAGATAGTGTGTTGATACGTTCAAGATTTGTTGATAAATTAACATTATAAACTAGATATTTGATTGAATACCGATGCGTCAATTTATTTTTATTTTTCTGAATAAAATGTAAAGAAATTCGAATTCACAAATAGATTGTCCGTGTAAATAATGGCCGATTCGAGGGAGGGGGAGATATATCTCCTTAATCTCTTCATATGTCATACGCACCTTACTGATCCGCAGCTTATCAAACTTATTATTACGATTACGGCGGTTTTGTTTCTTATTTTTTTTATGTTTGTTTCGGTTTTTTTTGCCGTTCACGCCGCGTCCGCCGTGAATGCGCGGCGTCTTCTTCGCCACTCCGGCCGCAGTCGTTGAACTGCCAAGGCGAACGTCCGAAACATTACGCTGACCGACCGGAAACGGGAAACTCGTCGTTGCCGTCGCGTTCGCGGTTCCCGGAAGTCCGGTAACTTCTTCGACCACTGCGGCCCATTCCCGGGACGAGAACAACGGGGTCGACGATGCGACCGTTGCGACAAAGACGGCGGCGGCGATCACGTACCGCGAAAAGTGCGTCGTCGTCATCGGGCGATACGACTCGGGCAATTAATGCGGTAGAAAAACGTACAAACAAATTCTGTTGTATTTTTCGATTTCAATTACAATGTATTACGGGACGCAATATAATCGTAGTCAGTCAGTTACGTGTGTACTATATAATATTATGTAGGCAGTCGTTGTCGCGGTTGCGTGTGTACGCGATTTGTACGCCTATATAAATAAACGAAATATAATATTATTAGTTCGCGCGGATTTTTATTTATTTTTAAATCTTTTTTTGTATACGTTCGAATCGTTTTTATACACACCAGGACCGATGGTGCCCTCGTGAGTTTTTCTCCAGATTGCAAGAAAAAAAAAACGAACATTCACAGAGTTTGGACAACACTGTAGGGCACTTAAGAATTGTAATGGTCCTTTAAATTATTACTGGACCTAGATTACTTTAAATTTTCAAACTGATCACATGATGGACTGAAATTTGAAAAAAAATAATAATAATTTATGAATGCACTTATTCAATGAATTACGTGTATTGGTTATTGAAGTAGGTTCTATAAGTCACACTTGGTGTTGTAACGAATAGCTGTAGATAATTTGATTTTTAAGTTTTCAATGGGAGGGGATGTGATAAATAAAAATCGTAGAAAAAAAAAGTAAAATCGTCTTCTCTACCAAACTCGTCTATGGGAATTGGCAATTTAAAAACCGGATCCTGAAAAAAAGCCAATTTCTAATCAACACATCAAACTTTTTCTCGGAAATCAGCCGAAATTTATGAGTTTCGATACTTAATTACTCATATTTTGTTGTATTTTTTAAGCCAATGGAGGTGGGATATAATCCCTAACCTCTCCTCTCCCTGGGCACGCCACTACTTAGAGAGTTTTGTGACAATCAATTAAGCATAATTTAAATTTTCAAAATTAAAAAATTACCTTTTCAACTCACCAATTAGATCTAATATGCAACAAGCAGTTTTGTCATTTTTTTGATTGGAGCAAGATTTTTATGGTAGACAATCCGTTCACGGATACAAAAAAAAAATGCTTAAATATAAAAGCACACGTTATGGTGAAACCAATACGGTTCTAAAAAAATATGATTGTATTATAATAATATAGCCCATGGTGGACACCATTTTAAACTGTAAGCTACCCTGTAACACTCAAGTGCAGGATCGAACCTAGCGGGGGGGGAGGGTGATCATAATACCCTCCTGCCAATAATTGTTGTTTTTTTTAACTTTTCAGTTGGCCATTTTACATTTATGAAAAACCAACATAAACATAATGTCCAACTGATAATTTGTATAAAATTGTGATAGTAGTAAGTGATGTTGACTGGAATTACCTATTATTGGAAAAATAAGTTATAAACTGTTATCAGTGTGTCAGTAATAACAAGAGTGATATGCGGCGGTGAGGAGGATTATAAATCCCAATGTTAACGGTACCCTATGCTATGAGTAGCCAACCGAACGTGATTAACTCGATGTCTTCTATGGTTCTATATTTTATTTACAATAATAATTGTACGTCATGATAATATATTGTTATCTGTAATACGTATGTTGATTTGACACACACATAAATACAATTTCATAAAATTAGTAGTAATATTTAATTATTTATTTTGACTAATTTGTTGCGCGTGTTAAATGGATAAAATTAACAGCCATTAACAGGTAATATAGTGATATTATTCTGTAAAATTTGTGTTTAATATACATGGTATAAGAAATTTATATACATTATAATATGAATTTAAAATTATAATTAATATATGTAATGGAATATTTGGCTTTGAATGTTCATTATATTGATTAAGTTATGGCAAACTTAATTTAATTATAATGTAGGTAGTGTTATAGGTATTATACCTACTCGGTGCTCCTATTATTAATAATTAAAATAATATATTTAATTAAATATCAACTTATAAAAGTTAAACATGGGGAAAAGGAGAAAAGTCCAATGTGAGTCTTGCGGAAGCATTTTTAAAAATGAAATGAATCCAAAAAAAGCATGAAAACGCTCTTCATGCTAGAAAACGAGTGAAAATATAAGTACCTGGAGCTTCTGATAATCCATTTGCTGCGTCTGTGGGTTCCATGGACGTCCGCGGACTTTTTTCCGGGGAGGGGGGGGGGCAAAAATAATTTAAAAAATAAATTACGATTTTGTTTTATAAAAAAAATTCTTACCTTTAATACATCATAATTACTATAGGTTTTTTTACTTAAATTTATTATTTTTCGTTAAATACAAATTGTAATTTGCGTGAACATTCTTTACCAAATTTTGTTAATGCTTTTTCAATTAATTAGTCTTTCTCTGAATTTACTTGTTTGCGATGAACACTTAAAATTCATAGCCCACTCAGTCTATGTTCACCAATCGTTGATCAAAGCCACGTTTGAACACGTCTTAAAGTACTAAAAGAACGTTCTGCTGTAAAAATTGTAGTTTGTAGGGACACGGATATTTCCAAAACAATTGCTATTCTTGGGAAAAATGTACAGTTACTATTTAACAAATCAATTAAGTTAATGTCTTGGCAATCCCGATTTTACTAAAAATTGTACCGACTTTCTGCATGTAGATTATCAATTTTGTAGAAATCGTAAACTTTTTCAACGATCTCAATGAATATTTTTTTTCCGAATTGTTTAAAATTTGCGGGATGAAGAAACTGTAATAAAAAAACATTATTATTTTCATTTATGGATTGTGTCATTGAATCAAGATATGGTATAAAAACTGTTACTCGGTAATAATCTTCACAACTTTCAGTTTCATAATTTGCTCTTAGTGACTGTTTTTTACCGTTCTTGAACATATAACACAATTATCTATAGCAGTGGCGATTAATTCAGCTTTGTTAAATAACGTTCGAAAAATTTCATTAGCGTCCTATTGATGAATATAAAACATTTTTAGTAATAAATCAATACATTTGCTGACTTGATAGAGATCTACCGACACACTTTGAAATATATTTGTCTGGTTCTAAAAATAGCACTGAATTTTGCCATAGCAATCATAGAAATCAAGAAAGATGAACTTGAAGCTGCAGAACGTAAGTATTGAAAACCCACAGGAGAAAAATGCGCCTTATTTCCCCCCGTAGTGACCCCTAGAGACCCCTGTGTTGGGTTCTAACATGAAGTCGAAATTATTGAAAAATGTAAGTTTTACCTATAACAAAATTATTATTATTAAATTCTTTGGTAGTACCTACTAACTACTTATGTAGCCACTTATATAATATTATAATATATTTTGGTTAAAATATCTTAAAAAAAAGGTATTATTACCTATGTGCTTCACTGATTTCTTCCTAAATTGTTTATACCTACCCAGACATCCAAGATCCACATGAAACAAGCTATTCTCTTTACATAAATACTTATATATATTAATTTAGTTAAATTTAAATACAAATTTACTTAATACATGTTTTATTTGTCTTAGGTTAATTCAGGACTTGCATTTAAAACTAACATCTGAGATGAAAAAATGATGTGTCAACTGTTGTCAGTGTTCATGTGAATGAAAAAATAACAAAAACAAGTTGTCCCAGATCAATTTTTATAGTCAGCCAAACTACTAACTTTGCCACCCTCCCCTAATCAAAACCTCCTCAGTACGCCCTTACTCACGTGATAGTTAAAAACATATATACAATTAATTTGTTGAAATTGATTGCTCCATTTATTTATGCTCTATATAGGGAACATGGACAATGTAAATCATAAATTCATAAGGTTCTATAGTTTGATGAAAACAAAGTAATGTTTTAATTTTACGGAAATAGATAATAATTTGAATTCCTAGTTTAGAACTTGGCGGATTATTCAATAACAGCTAGTAGGAACAAAATATAATTTAAAAATTGTAATGAACCCAAAAATAGAACAGAGAATGATTATAGCAGAGATGAGAATGCTTAGGTGGATGAGTGGAATGACTGAAGAATATAGGATTAATTAAGAATGAGTACATGAGTACATAAGAGGTAAATTTGAGGTAAATTCAAAAGTAGATAAAATGAAAGAAAATATACTAAGATAGTTATGATTTGAGCATGTCACGGAGAGAGAGGAATCTGAAGCAGTAAAAATTGTAATCAAAATAAACATAAGTGAAAAGAGGTGAAGGAAGACTGAAAAGTAAGTGGATGTGATTGAGAATGATAAAAAGACAGTTGATATCAGCAAAGTGGGATGAAAGTGAAAAACACCTATGTTACTGTAAGCAACAATTATTCATGGCAAACAAAACACAATCCTGAGTTACATGAATTATTTGATGATATATTTTGAAAATTTGACTAAATTTAAAAAAAGGCTAACATACATAATTTACATAAATGTTTTGTCTTAATAATAATTTATACACAAATCACAACATAAAAATGAAATCAAAGGAATAATAGAAACCATTAATGAGTGAATTGTCCAATTTTTTCTCGATTATTAAGTAAACTAAAAGGAAAATTAAAATATGACCTTGCTATTGCACCAACTATACTACTATAGTGCAATTAAATTGACTCACCCATAAAAAGGCACATACTTTTATAAAATGGCTTAACCGATTGTCACAAAACAAATTAAAAATACTAAAGGCTATTTTTATGATAATGGTGTTATTGAAAGTAAAAACATTAGGCTTTCCAAATAAAATTTGTTTTGTGGTAATTGGTTTAGCCAATTTAGTTGCACAAGAGTGTAGATAGACAAAAAAAAATTAAACAGTACATAATACCGGTACATTCCTCACTGGGCATTAACATAAAAATATAAAAGAATCATATCATAGTAAAACCAACATATTCCTTGGCATGTTCAAAATCTAAAAATGAATTGGTTCATGAGTTTTAGTTCAATCATATGGTTATAAATTAGTTAATATTGTTAATGAGCATCGATAGATAATATTATGAATATGCTTATAAACCAAAAAAATACAAAACCAATAGCACAACCTTTTCGTTTATTAGAGTAAAAATGTGATGTTATGTTTGTAAAGCAAAAAAAAAAAAACAAGTTTTCTTCAGTAAAAATCTAAATAAATAAAAAAATAAATACAAAACAATAAAAAGGTACAATATTCTTTGGTGAAATGTACACATACATATTACAAAAATTAAAAATCAAAATCAGTTTGACTAATAATAATCGCAAAAAAATAAAATAGTATGAATAATGAAAACAATTAAATTCATTATATGGGAGGTATTCAAAATGAAAAATTGAACACATTTCTTATCAGACTCCGATTTGTATAAATTCGAATTGTAACAAATTAAAGTAAAATAAATATTACAGGAAAGTGTTTTTAATAATAATATACAGACTAAATCGGGCACGAACCCTACTAATATTGGCAGTCAGTTATTGATGGCCACATAGTACCTCTTCGAGACGATAAAATTAATTTCATATAATAATATTAATTGGATTCCGTACAATCTCTTGGTAACAATAGTGTTCAGGCTAAATGTACACAATATTATAACACCTAAAGTTACTAGTATTTTTACGTCCGTGCGTTATTCAACGAGTACCTATTTGCTAATAAGTAAAAATTAAACATTGTAAAAATTAATGGGCTTTATGACCAGATAAAATTAAAACTCTAAAAAGAAAAAGAAAAAAAAAGTGTTTTATTTTATTAAAAATAAATTAAAACCATAACATAAATAATAAAATAACGCACTTCACTATATATAATTAATTTGGATGGCCGAAGTGCGAGCACAACAATAATTTTGTGGCACAATTATAAAATCAAATACTATGCAGCTTTTTATTGTCATGAATCAATACGTTTTTTATTTTGTGAATCATTTCTATGTAACTGATGGTCAGGAGTTGCTTTTAGAATATCAGGCTGTATGTTACGACTTAAGGAACCACCCAAAGACACACTGTTTTGGGCTAACGCATTCATGTAGTCAGCAATCAACAACGTTATTTCAAGAATCTTCAACAATAAAATAGACTCATGACATTAGATAAATTAATTTTATTATGCTTAAGGTTTTCAAACTTACCTTTGGTTTGCTAAGTGAGAATAAAAGTTTATGGGATTCTATGATTGCAGAATCCGATGCTATGACCAACATAAAATCATCTTGACAACCACCGAATGTCAGTACTTGTCCAAACATGTATGTTTCGATTAGTTGCATCGAACGTAATTCTAACAAACTAATGCTATCCTCGGACACAGCCAACCACACAATAGTGCCAGGTAGTACTGTATTTTCTCCGTGCTTCATCTAATCAAAAAATAGTATTGTAGTTATCTAGTAAGAATAGATTTATTCATAATATCTACCTTGGCTTGGAATAGGGTGCATCCAAAATATGGCCACTTTCTGGTACAAGTTAAGTAGATACGAACACAATCAACTAAATTTCGCCCTTTTAAAGACATCCATTTTTCTTGAAGACCAGTTTGAAGATGTCTGTAAATATAATGAGAAAATAATGAACTAATGGAACATAATTTTAAAAAAAAATATGCAGTGTTAATTAATCATATATAAGATTCTTAAAACAGTTGTTACTTTGCATACTTTATTGCTTCTTGAGAGGCTCCATCGCGGTAACGTAATGGATAAAATTTATCAAGCGCTTGGAGTACTTGTAATTCCTTAGTAGTACCGCCACTACCACGATTTTTATCACAATAAAATTCACCAAAATCAATCTAAAAACAAATCAATATACGATGAGTATGGATGGCATAGTTTTCATTATTATAATATAAAGTTATTGAATGTTTGGAACTAATATGTAGTACCTGTGCCATTAGTGCAGCCAATTCTAATGCGAGTTCTTTGGTAAGAGGAAACCGACCTTGGACTACCTGTTGATTTATTTGATAACATAGTAACAATCTTTCACGGTCAGACTCTTTCTTGACAAATGACTTAAAGTAAAGTCTATTCTTAAAAATTAATCTTATGACACGCGTATTTTCAAATTTGCCTGAACCCTTTTCACGTAAAGCCGTTTCCCATTTGGAAATTACATCGCACAACTATAATTTTAAATAAAATATTATTTATTATTTAATGTTCTAAACAATTCTATTTGATTTTCTACCTTGGCTTGAGATTCTATATAATGTTCTAAATCCTTTTCGATGGGATCATCACTGAATAGTGTGAAACCTGAATGTTGACTATCTCTACATCCTGTCTCTTGATTGAGCGTGCACAAAAATTCTTCAATAGTTGTCGACCCATCAAAACCAACTACCTGCAAGACAATACGAAAATAATTTATAAGCATTAAAACTGTTTTCAAAAATGACTTAAATCATTAATTTAATTAAAACATATTCATATTTAATATTATTTGAGTTTACCTGGTAGGTCCCATTAAGCATGTGGACAGGTATGGAGTGAGGCAATGAATGATGATAAGGATTTTTTAATAAAATCGACAGTACTTCCATTCTGGACGGTTTCACCTCGCGCATTCCATTCAATATAGTACGTTCCAATGCACGTTCACAGTATGCAGCATACTTTCCACATTCAGTCCTGGAAAACGAAATAACAGCATTTATTAAATTATGTTTAATATTATGTCAATTTGGTAATCACTCACTTGGTATCTATATTGCGTTTTAGATGCAGTTTGAGGAACCAAAGGAGTTTTGTATTTTTAGGTACAAAGAGGGACACGGCTAGTGCCAATAACTGCCAGCCTTGAACAAATACGTAAGTGGGAGGATTGGCCTTGCAGTGGTCTAGTAACGAAGAGGTGGCTGGGCTCGATGGAGCAGTCATGCTATGGTTTGGCGATCCGGGTACTACAGACTGGGTTGTGCTGATGGTAGGCGATGAAGCCAAAGCTGCATCACACGTGAACAGCGACTGTGTGGCGCACAATAAAAGTTGCTGAAAAAACAGTGGACACGCGGTGCCTAAATGCCTAAACCTCTTGACTAGTGTATGTTTGCAATAATAATCATAAGAACAATAATAAACCTAGCTTTAATTAAATTAAGAAACAACCCGCAAACTGCAGCTTTCGTCTAAGATCATATTATTTTTATGGGTTATGGTCAGATCACATATTAAACACACAATGTGTTTCGAAATCATGCAATGACATGCACAAAATTAATAAAAGAGGAGATTGCAAATAAATGATTAAAATTGAGCAAAATAAAATTATAAAAATATAAAATACAAAATACAAATATTAATACATAATTTACGATATTAAAAATTCTAAAGGCTTTGAAACAGGTTATAACGTGTCTAAATAATATTAGGTATATAAATACTAACTTTTGTTTGAGTCTTATTAAAGCACTCAATTTTAATTATTTAATAAATTACGATGAGAGGAAATAACAGATCTGAAAGTCAACCAGTTTCAAAACCATGTGGTATAAATAACAGAACGAGAACAAGTATAATATTTTTATATGTGGACACCGTGTGTGCAATGTTTTTATGTTTCATTAAACAAATTGATGGTTAACTGTAGAATTTTATATAAATTATTATATTGTAAACATAAATAAAAGAACAATAGGTATATATATATTTCAGCCAATCTATCGCAAGCAAAATAATAAATTGTATTGTAAAAACTAATTTAAAGTTATTGAAAGTAAGTAATTGTTTCAATAAATATTTAGCTTCAAAGCAAAAAATAATATCTACAGCAACCATCATTAAAATTATATGGAAAAATACAAACACATAGTAGTCAAAAATAAATAATAATTTTAATAATAAAAGCTAGGTATTAAAAAAAAAAACAGTCCAATAGACATCAAACAGTTATTATTATTATTTGTTTTTATTTGTCACGTCTCATGAATGCAAAATAAATGCACAGATGCTCAAACAAAAAAACAAAAAAATCAACAAACTTATATAGGTACTCAAATTTTAATAATTACAACTGTTTTTTTTTTTAATTCCAAAAAAAAAAGCGATGGGAAGGGGAACTTACACGATGCCGCAGTTTGGAGAATACCTGGACGCCGTGTTTGTGGGATGCATGTCTAGAAGTTTGTTTGACTAGGGCACATAATAATTCGGCTTGAAGTTCCCAATTATCTAAGCATAATTGTAATGCGTTCTGTGCTAATACCACATGATAATCAATACCAGCATTTTCAATAGCCACAGACATAAATAACTGACAACTCTGAAAAAAAAAAAGGTATAAATGAATATTCAAATAATGTCTGTCATAATAATTATGTCAGTAGTAACTAATGTATAAAACAATTTAAATACTTTAAATAATTTAATGGCTTCATATTGTAATGCTTCAACAGATAAAGTTGTCAAAGACGTGCTGATTGCTTCCTTGGAGTGCAAGAGAATTGGATGTTTCCACAGCACACAATCTAAAATACATATCGCGTAGAATTAAATATGAACTGCAATAAAAATTAACAGCTATTTGTATTTACTTGGATCTCCAGACGCTTCCATAAGTTTTTGTATGAGCTGTTCAAACTGTGAACCTGATTGGGAACCACTACCCGAAACTACGGTAAGATGGTATAGCCACGAATCCTGTAATTGACAGAATATTTTTATTAGTAATTGAAAATAATAATTAACAACGAAAATATTATTGAGTAACCTTTTCTTGTTTGGACGACATAAGTAAATAAGTCGGTGGACCTTGATGTGACGGGTGCAAAGCTATTGTTGGCGGTTGATTGGAATCTCTCTCTTCACTGTCGGAGTCAGAAACATGATCAACAGTTTCCACACGGCAATCGCGCATATTTATTTGTCCAAAGGCACTCTAGAAAAATTATATCGAATCAATATTATTTATTTATTTAATTAACCAGGCTGTTAACCCAATTATAAAATGCACAGAAATATACAGAGATACGAGTAAGATTCGATTAGATAATATACACCTATAAAAATACTTCTATTGAGAAAATTAATACATTTACCGTATCGGTCGAAGATTTGAAATACAAAAACGTCTTTCCCACCAGCACACACCAGCACCGTTTAGCGTGTCCGTTTCTCACTTTGGTAAGCCACCCTTGAATAGTCGGTTTATTATTTTCGTTATTCAGCAGCAACTTGGTAGCGTTGTGTCTCTGAACGTTCTATCAATGTAACAAAACATTATGATAACAGCGGTTAAGCCCGTCAAAATCAAACGACGAAAATTTTACCTGTAAAACTTTCACCCAATCTTCCATGGCCGCAATCGAATCAGCCGTAAGGTAAAATGTCTTTTTGCTGGTCGATATTTCAAACGTAGCAGCGCCATCGGCTCGTGTTATTCGGCATAGGTCATCAATTGTGATTTCTCGTTGTGGTTTACGCGCTATGTCGTTCTATATAGAGAATAAAACAGTCTGTTAGACAGCTACAAACGTAAAAGCCAAACACAATATTTAACACCTACAAATGCAACGTATTATTGACCTATAAATACAGCAAGCTGTCAGAAAAATAAAACGCCCGTTTTATATTTGTTATTTATTACTTGAGTTTTCCAGTAACGGAGTTTTCCGTTGCTCAGCACGAAGAACCGTCGTCTCCAAGTCTTCAGTTTCCCACCGAGCTTGGCCAAATGTCCGGATTTATCGAGGATGCCGGTTTTGGCGCAGCGACTCGGACTGTCCGCGATAACGGCCGCGCCGTTAAGATTCAACCTCAGCACCAACGACGACCATTCGGTCGAATCCTCGCCGCAGGACATCGCATCCGGCGGTATCGCGTAGTCGTCCGATATACCGGACTCCATTGACGTATCTGTAAACCGACCGTGAAATAGCGCGGTGTGTGGATATAAAAAAAAAAAAAACCCCGCTCTACGCGCGATTTTAACGAAGGGTTAAAACGTCGGCTACGTACTTTTCGACGGCGAGCCGGAGGAATTGTGCTTGACCGGCGAAAAGGTGGACGCAGTCTTATGGCTCTTACTAGGGCTGGAACTGGACAGCGAGGTGTCCGTGTTGTCCGTGCTACTACTGTTCGTGATTCTGGTGGCGATGCTGTGGGTGTTTGCCGTGTTGGTGTGCTCCACTTCGCCGTCACTGGAATCGTCCGAGGAGTCGCCGGTGAACGGACTGGATCGAATTTGACTGGCTCTCTGTACGCGAACGAACGGGACACGCGGTATATTATAATGTGAAAACCATTTGTGTATGCTGGCGCATAATCGTATAAATAAAACGTTCGTACCCCTTTGACTGTAGCGTACACCGGTACGCTAATGTCGCAATACCCCTGCGACGTCACGACTCTGGTCGGATGTGGCGTGGTGACGAGGGTGCCGGCGGCGGGATCGATTTGGCTGGTGGGGGCCGTGGACAGACCTTCGTTGGCCACTTGGTATATACGGGATTCCCAAGACGGGAACCTGTGCAAAGGCGGGGTCGGGGGTTTGATGTTGGCTTTGTCCCACGGCAGTTTCTCGCGGTTGGGCGTGTAAATTTCCGCATAGTCGTGCGTGATGTCCGATTCGATGCACACGGATTTCGCTGTAAAACGTAAAGCGGTTTATTGTGAGTTGGACGGTTCCCGCGGCCGGGCCACCAAGATGTTAGACAAATATTGGCCCGTGCGGCATTATAGATACGTACGTCTGATGACGGCGGATAGTTTAAGCGAATCCGCGGCAGTGGTCAAATCGTTGACCAGCTGTTCGTGGACAGGAATGTCTGTGCCGTCGGCGACGGACTCGGCGGGCGGCACCTGCACACAGACGGACATGTGCCGGCGATGAGTGCGCTGAGACCGTTCGGGCGTCCTGGTCTTGTGGTGCCGGTCGACTTGCGCGTAAACCGGTTCGTTGTCGGACAGGGCGCTGCGGGCACACGGAAAACACGAGGGGGGGTTTGTAAAACGTTTTTCGCGAACCGCCGTTGAAGACCGTCTATTTTATTTAGGTACTCACTGCGTGGAACCCGTACTGTTGGCCCTGTGCAACGACGACGTGCTCGTGCGCGGCGACGACGTGCCCGCGCAAGCACTCACAGCCATTTTGTCGGCGCTCAGTTGGGCCATGTGCCGTCTCAGCAACTCCAGCTGTTGGTTGCACTTGTGGTTCTGCTCTCGCAGGTGCTGGTTCTGCGCTTCCAGGTCCCTCAGTTTGTTGGTCACCCATTCCTTGATGCGCGCTGCTTTGGCTTCGACCATTTTGGCGTCCTGAAGCCTCAGCTGACGCTGTAACACACAATTACACACACACACACACACACGCACACGATCAGTGGTCTGCGGTTAACGACGCACGCCCGCGTACATCGTCGGCGCCGCGGTCTTACCTGTTCCTCCACCTGGGTCGCCAGTTTGCTAATCGCTTGTTCCTTCTCCGCTTGGTCCGGTAGATGCGTAGTCCATTCGGCTTGAAGCCGCTCCTCCATAACACGCACCTGCGGACAGCGAACGTTAAGTCGGACAATTTCGCAAACACGAATGCATTTACAATACGGCAGATATTATAAGTTTAATTATCGGAGCAGTTATGAACAATTCTATACCTCCGCGACGGCGCGAGACGGGCCGATTCATCGGTGGCATTGATGTGTACGCGACAAGAGGTCAGTGCGAACAATGACGAATATATTATTATTATTTCGAAGACTGTACGCTGACTCATGGGCTAGACTATATACATGTTGTAGCCGTCTGGCGAACGTAACCCTCCCCGTCACACGCCGCACTCCGCCGCGAACACCCTAACCAGGTCAATACGATACATAGGGGGCGCACACAATGGATCGGGGTCGTGCGCCCCTCGTCCGCGTATATCGATTTTCGTTGGCGGTGATCGTTTGTCGGCTAATTTACGCAACGAAAACTGCAAGCCGCATACACACACACATACACACGCACACACACACACGCACAAATCGTAATATTGTGCAGAGTGTATCGCGCGTTTCCCACGGTCGATATTTTCGTACACGCGTAAACGTAAACGACGTATTAGTAAACACGCGGATGTCAATATTGTCCGTTCGACGAGTGCCTACAGGACATACGAGGTACATGCGACTACATTATTATCGTTTCGTATTGTATTCCGTGACACGGTGATACCTAATAATATTATACACGGGCAACACGGGGGTGTGTAAACGTGTTTGCGCACGTTCGAAAATCGTAAAACAATAAAACATCAACGGAAAAAAAAGGAGGTAGTGCCACAGAGACGAACCCATTAAACGTCACCTGGCGATTTGGACGTGCGCCAGCGTTTTGACCGCGCGGCGCCGTGTGGTCGACAACGCGTTTTTTCTTCGTACACGGTCGCGGTGACGGATTTTACGGGTTTTCGATCGAATGTCGTCGTTGTATGGTACCGAGCCGACCTGTTAGTCGGTCTCGCGCACGAAAAGTCGCAGGCGATCGACTGCAGTAGATGGGGTAGTGCGTACGCCGAATCGCGAAAAGTCACCTACCTTATCCTTTTTTGTGGCGGCTGCGGCGGCGTATTATTATTGCTGTTGGCGACCCGACGTCGGAGGATGAGTACGACGGCGACGACCGCGGCCGGAGATCGCGGACATGGGACAGCGCTGGCGGGCGACACACGCGACGGCGGACAATGCGGGGAAAAAAAAGAAAAGGGGGAAAAATGACCGTGATAACAGAAAAAAAAAAGTAAACAAAAAGAAAAGAAAAACGGTACGATAAGAAGAGCTGCTGATACGGCGCGTGATGTGCGCGCACGGTGATATCGCGTGTGTGCGGAACACGCAGGCGGCGCGGCGGCTGTACAAAACATGTGACCGGACGCGCGGAAAGGGGTGCGTACACACCGCGACGGGCGAAGGGGCGCGAGAGGAATTAAAAAATCAATGCTCCCCCGCCGGCGGATACAACACCACGTTGCCAACGGCAACACGCGCGCTGTCTGTGCCAAAAACCTCTACGGGACTACGCGGACGCACGTCGGTTGTTGTTGTTGTTGTTGTTCTCCGCGGCGTGTACCGCACGCGTAACCGCGGGTCCCGTACCTGTACGTTAGCGTTCGCCGTCAGGACCGCACGTGCGGTCCGTCCGCTTACCGGGTATATACCGAGAAACGACGGTCGTGACCGCACCCGCCCCGCGACGATAATATTTCCCCGCTGCCACCCTTCCCACCCACCCTACGTTCGTACGTCCTATACGGTCTTTTTTGCGTTCGGGTCCGTTCGATACCGCCTTCCGCGCGGCGGACGGAAGTATACGAGTCGCCGCGCTTCCGAAAAGCTGCCGCACTCCGCGTGTAGAGGTCGCTCGCGGTGTCATCGCGACGCGTAATATTAACGATCCCGAGTGAACGCTGTTGCGGAAGGCTTTCGGCGGGGCGATTTATACACGTTATAACAATATACGTATATACAGGGCGGATCGGACACATACGCGAATATAACGACGAGATTACAGCGCCGATGTTAAAACAATCGTACATCGTTAGAACACTGCGTTACTGCCGTGTCCGTGTCGGGTTTTCGTTTTCCCGTTTTAATAAAAACCAACTGTCGACGGGAAAAGCTCGGAAAAACCGCGACACATTACGCCCCCGGACCGATAACGAGAACAATATCGTCGTATAAGCCGCCGCCGCCGTCGTCGTACCGTCGACAATTACTGTCATCGGCATAACACGAATCGATAAAAAATAACGGGCAGCGGTATTATAATTTCTCGGGGGAAAGAAAATGCGAAATAAACACGACGAAGTCTTTTCACGGCACATTTTCGCATCTGCAGATCGCTATCGGCGAGATTTAACGTAACGGGGGGGAAAAAAAGGGCTCGAACGGTTTTTTTTGAACGTTCGGAACACGTTTTCATCATTTTTTTTTTTTTATTCAAACCATCAAAAAATAATCCTTATCGCGTTCAAAACACACCCGACGAGAAGAACTTTTTTCGGCGGTATTGCCGACGGATTTGTTTTCGTAACTATCTTTCCGAGGCCTCTGCAGAACCCGCCCAACATTTAATTAAAACCAATTTTCCTCGGATATTTTTTAATGCAATACTTTGCTGTTCGAATCGTTGATCAAATTCATATTTGTCTATACAATATGTACGTTCAAATTGTCGAAATTTCGGCACGCACAAGATAAAAAGGCAACAATATAATTCCGTCGTGATGTTGCACCGCGACTAGCGAAGACTTTTTATCGACCCGACAGTACGAATCAGACAGGTGTTTATTAATACGAAATTCATCAGCACAATATTATTGTCACCGTGTTTGTAGAACCATGTCGAACGTAATATTTCTTTGCCAGTGTTCACGACGGGCGAATGTATCGACAAAATAACGTATAACCGATATCATGCGATACTTACGAATAACGAACTCAGAAATCTAATTTATCGCGGGGGAAATTCTAACTTTTTCCGAACACACGAAATTATACGATTTCAAAACTTCGTGATTTACCAGCTTACACCAGCCGCACTTAATTATATTTTACTAAGGTCGACGACCGGTTATCTTATTCGTCTTGAGCTTTTACACTCTTTGAAGGTTTACATTCACCGCAGTTTCTAATCCGTCCTTATCCACTACGGTATCTTTTATTGTTATTCTCCGGGTGAAATTGTTTAAATCTTTTTTAATATACTTTCTAGAACGACTCCCGTGTCCTCTTCCATTCCATCTTCCCTAACACGGATTCTTCAAAATGCCGTTTGATCTCCGGTCCGCTCTGCATGCCATTTGCCCTACAATAGGTGATTAATAATACCGAGTTTTTGGCAGATTCTTTGCACACTTTTCTGTTAGTTCTCCTCGATTTACTAAAATCAGTCGATAAATCCGTCTGAGTACTGTTCTTTCAAAACAAGACATTTTTTTTTGTCGTCTCTTTTGACAGTCGACCGCGTTTCACACGCGCACGTCAAAACTGATCACAGGATTTTTATTATTATATTTGCATGATAAATATACACGAGGGCGAGGGCATATCCGAACGAAACGATGAAGTTGTATAAAAAAATGTTCGTTATTGCGAGACGATACTCGTGGGTCGCGCTGTAAAAATGTAAAATAATAACCGCACAAGAGTTCTCATTGATTGTATCAGTCGTATAATATTTTATATAGGGTAATTAAAACGGTTTGAACTGTATACGTATTAAAAAATAAAAATAAAGGTATAAAATATGCGATCGACAACAAGCACCTAGCGTCTATTTTATATAAGTTTTAAATTTCTCGAAAAAAAAAATATTTTATTGTTTTTTTTTTTTTTTCAAAGTTACATTGCAGTCGGAAACACTGCAATTTGTTTATCTAGTGTATGTACACCGTGGATATAAAAATATTAAATTAAATAACAGCTGGTCCGCACGATGATAGTACTTATACACAATATACAGAGTGATTTTTAAAACACGCTCACCCCATTTTTATGGTTAAATTATGCATAAAATAAAATGCTGACTTTTGGCATTTTTAAGTGCAGTGGAAGACGATATTTTTGCATATTTAAATTATTCATAACATCTAAGGAGTATCCCAGTGGCCGATACAAATTTAGGATTTTCAAGTGAGAACCTACACGTTTTAATGCGAATTGTTTGACGCGCTGTAATCGAAATTTGAACGAAAAGTTTTACTATATACATACACTAAAGGATAACAGCATAAAACCGGTTTTTCCATAACTGCGCGAATAAAAACAAGAAATTGCTTACACGCGACATCAACAGTCGGGATATCTAAACCCACAAAAAAGAATATATGGTATTTTATTACATTTGAAAATGACAAAAAAATTACCCTGTATTATACAATTAAAATTGGAAAAATACAAATTCGTTTAATAGAGATATGTAGTACTATAAATACCAGGATTATTATAGTTACTATCGCTGTATGATCAAGCAGACAATCATCGTAAACTATCGTGAAAACATGACAGTTGACAGTTTAACTGCCGCGATTTTGTGTTGGTAAAAGTAACTGTCACAGTATCCAGACAAACTTCGCATAACCACGGGCAGGCCACCGTTGTGGAGTAGTAGTTTGGAACGCATAAGACATATATACCAGGTGATTTAGTTTATTTATTGTAATATAATATACTACAGTGATCAACCATTCACAGATAAAAAAAACGATTTTGAACGGAGTAATATTAGTCGTGTTTTTTGCCCTCGTTGTCCAGTTAACCTATAGAAATAATAATAATAAAAACTATACATGGGGGGGGGGGGGGGGGTAAATAGTCTAAGATTTCGATAAATATTTCGTTAAAAACGACAACCCGCCAAGAAAATTTCGCATACTATTTTGAGGCGGTGTGGGCACGATGAAAAAATCTGAGTATATTTTTAGTAGCCCCGAGAAAAAAAAAACGCGCATACAAATATTTGTAAAACTCTCAGAATCGACTGACAGAAGAAAAAAAAAACGAAATTAATTTCACGAGGCACGTGCTAGCCTAATGAATTTGTTGTTTAACGTTTGCCCCGGGGACGGTGCGAAATTAACCCGGATTTTTGAGAAAAGGGTATTATAGTAATAATAATAATAACATTCGGGTCGAACGTCCGTAATTGGAAAGAATTTAAATTTAATATCCTTCCGTTATTTTCGGCTAATTTACAATTCCCCTTAAGCCTTTTAATGTACGCGGCCTTTTGGTTGCAGCGCTATACACACACACAAATAAATAATAGGTTTTCAGTATACGTATAATTTAACAACCCTTCGCGAATGTAATAAAAGCTTAAACCAATTTAATTAACAATTAAATCTTTGGCTAATTAATTTCGTTCCGCGGTGCATGGTATTCCGGTGGTCATAATAAATATCATATTATATAAAACAAACATTTAAACACACTAAAATTAATTAATATTATTTTTATTATATTATTATACTATACTCTCGCGCGCGTCGCCAATTATTTATCATGTTCGGACCTATTATGTAATTACGTTGGTTATTAACTAGGGTATATTACACGTATACGTGCTTTAAAAAACATTTAAACATGCCGATGGACACTAGAAAAGAAAAAAATAACTAAAAGTTAGCCTTTAAAATATTCGCTGAAGAAAAAAAAATGAATAAAATAAAAATCACGCCCACGAAAGCGTACGAAATCCTCAAATACGAAAAGTAAGCCAAAATATAATGTTGTATACAAGCAGAATAGGTGTACGCATTTTGGTACAAACAAACTGCCGTTTTCTTGACCAGATTATCAATGCAAAAGCGTATCTGTCCTATTTGAGAAAAAAAAAAAATGAAAAATCTAGAACGATTATTCGGTGTGATTCGTCGAATCGAAAATGTCTGAAAAATATAATAAATCCATAATTACGCTCTGAAAACGTACGAAATCCTTGTCCGAGGAATCTAAAACGTCGAAATGTGGAAAAATAGGTAACATTTCGCGTGTAATTGTGCGCAATATTAATGTAATTGTTCTGATTATCGGTACGACGAGACACTGCATTTATTTGGTATAAACTTTTTTTTTTAATTTACCACCAATAAAAACGCGCAAAAGCATGTTGCGTACATATCTGCAATAATCACTATACACACTGCTGAACATTGAAGAATCGTGAAAAAAAAAAACGCGGACCATTTCGAATTTTCAAAAATAAATAAAACCGCGTGCGTATCACCCGAAAATACGAAACCGAGTTACCGCCGCCGCCGAAGAATTATTCCACCCTTATTCGGTTTCGGGTTTCACTATTATAATAATAACAATAATAATAATAATAATAATAATACAGGAACCGTATACTTGTATACGGGTGTTTCGTGCATAAAAAAATATTATTTCTGTGCTGCAGAACGAGAGAAATATTATGTGCATAATATATACACTTTATTGTTTCAAAATAGAAATGAAAATTTATTGAGATTGAATTGAAAAGGATGGGGGGTGGGAGAGAGGAGGGAAGCGAGAACTATTGCGCAACGCAACAATAAAAGAAATATGACCTGGCGAGAATATTTTCGCACGGAACAGAAAAAAAAAAAAAACGCATTCAAATTAAATATCGAATTATATTAGAGTCGGAATTCGAATTGAATCTCATTCCGCGCGTATTTCCGGGCACTATATGACTTAGCCTACTTTTTGCGCGAAATAATAATCAGCGGGCACGCGTACACACTATTTGAATCTCGTGTTGTCGTTTCGGGCCGTGAAGAATTAAAACGGTGGACAATTATTGTACAGCATACATACTTATTCCCAATGTCCGATTTCAATGGGATTTCAATCGTACGGATTTGTCGACAAATTGTCCGGGTTATGTGAGATTTTCGATTTTAAATTTGATGCGGCCAAAATCAATACAAATAATATAGTTATTTCACGGAGTTCTCAAAAATAATATTTTAATCTCGGATGTCTTCGAAATCCGAGCCCTATTTATAATTGTTAAAAAACCACCAGCGTATTTTGCAAATTGCGCCACGTCCACACCAAGGCTAACCTCTCCAATACACCACTAACTAGACGAAATTTGTCACCGGAAAAATCACGCCTGAAGTTAATAATCGGAACAATGTTCCTGGAATAAAAGTTGCTAACAGAAATAAAAACTGATTTTTAAATTTAAAAAAAAAAAAACGCACATCAATAAAATCCAATACGCCTTCGTTACATACATTCATAATGTAAAACGGAGGTATAATATTGATTTTTTTTTTTTTTGTCCTAATTACAAATGTTTTACTATATTTGTGTGATGCCGACGTCCACCAAAAACGCGACCAAAGTACTAGTAACGACGTGTAAGTTCTCGTTTATAATTAACATTTGCGGTGAATTGAAATTTTTGTACCACGGTCAAAAATATAGTTTAAAAAAAGTATTATCTATAAAAAAAAACCGCATTTTTGAGTTGCGTTTAATCCTCTCTCTGTTGTCAAAAAAAAACAAAACATCAAATTACCTACGTCCAAAATTCGAGCTCGTAATTGAATTTTTTTTTTTTTATATATATATATATAAACTTAAACAAAAAAAAACATAATCTATATCGAGACGCGACTTTTTAACGTGGATTAGTTATATTAAAAAAAAAAAAGTCAAAGAGTAAACAACGCTAACAAAAAATATACATATATATTGGTCGGTATTATGTAGGCGGCCATGATGTTCCGGTTTTTTCATGTGAAAAAGTACAAAAAAAAAAAAAAAAAGAAAAAAAAGGCTATACGGAAACTCCATTATCAAACTACTTAAAACAAGTTCACCGTGGACGAACAACAAAAAAAAAGTATATACGCACACTTTATAATTTATATACGGTTTGAAAGTTTAATAACGTTTTATTGAATATTTTAACCATAGTAACGGATTGACCAAGCGGAATATGATGATAATAACGTTACGCGAGTAATTTGAATTTTACAATATACAGGGTGACCTTTAAGTTACGAACGAAGTGCTTTGTAGGAATTTTCTTTGTATAACTTTGTAGACATTTTTGGGAAGCTTTTTTTTATCTGGTTATTGCGATACCGGGTGTAACTGGAAATATTTTTCTGGGTAGGCCAGATAAAATAATGTTTGAATAGGAAAAACTAGTAATACGAATGTTTTATTTTAAAATCGTGTTATTTTTCGGAGACAAATGTGTAGACCAGGGCGGGGACCGTTTTTCAGATTTTCCTTGTTGTTTTTTTGGGTAAACGGAAAAACAGGAAATTTGTTTTGTATAATATTGTTGGCAACTGCGGAAAAATACGATTAATAATAAACTGTTCAGAATCGTTTTTCATTAGAAATGGCTTATTTTCGCTATTACAGATATAAAGAAATTACTCTACATATACCTTTCAACCTCCCACATAAAACGGCGGCACACCAACCAGGTGTATTTAGCAATTTTTTTTTTTTACGATCCCGCTCTAATAAAAGTATACGAAATATATAAACAATTTGGAGCAAAATTGATTTCGTTAATGGTTTCAGTGGTTATTATACTTGAAATGTTTATGTATCTTATTTTCGGCCAATCTTACACGTTTATAAATATCTTCAAAATTATTTCGTACAAACCATCATAAATATATTATATGCTTCAATTTTTGATTGTGAAAACTTCCCGTCTTTCGAAAACCAAATTTGAAAAGAGAATATACTTTTAAAAATATGTCGATACGCAAAACAAAACTGTATATTATATAATTTCGGATTTACTTTTTATGAGTGAAAACGGATAAAATCTGGTTGGTCAGTGTGATTTTGGGAAGTATACTATTATCTAAAAACTGATATGAATATTTATCACGTTTCTCTACTCTTCCGGTCGAATTTCAAATTTGTATAACCTTATACAACACATATAACTCGTAAAAACGTAACATCCATCAGTCATTCGTTTTAAGAAAATGTTTTAATTTTTTTTTTCCCCGTTGAAAAGGGCGGTGCCGGACGGAAATCAAATGTATATTTGAAACCGTACGAGAAAATCTCGGGGGACGATCGTGACGGGAAAAAATAAAATATCATCACCCTGTATATAGCTATACAACCACGCAGTTACTGTACGAAAACTAAATATAAATATGGACTCTGGCGAGCCGTAATTCGTTCGCGTAATAATATTATGATTGCGAATAAAATGACGGACACGTTCGGAAAATTGCCTATTTACAGGGGCAATTACGATAAAACTAACACGCACTGTGGACGAAAAGAGAAGAGAGAAATCGAATAACGCGCGAATAAAATATATTTCCAAACGCGACAAAACCGAGAGGTCCGGGGGCTGCGGCGGTCGATCTCTTTGCATATGATGCGTTACGTGCCCTAATCAATGAAATGTCATCAGACGGTAATTACAGGGTTATACACCAGCCGTGTCTACTACAGTGTTGGTGTACACTGTATTTATTATAATACGTTTCAGTGGTCCCCGGAGGGTTTACATTCGGAACCGCGCGGAGCTTATTTATATGGTTAAAAAAAAAAATAAAAAAAATATAATAATAATAATGAAACGATCGTCTCGGCGTGAAAAATGTTTTTGTCCCCTGCGTTTTAAGTACGAATATCTTTCGAAACAACTACCCCTGCGCACCAATATTATAGTATCCTTTACTCGTCAGGTTCTTACATCGCACTCATTTCATGTATCGGGACGACTCACAGTGGTTCAAAATTGAAAAGGGGTCGCCAAAAGTGACTTTTGAAATTCTTAAAAAATTGCAAACTATCGTTTAAAAATACTTTCTATGGTCATTTATAGGTATTCGAAAATGCCTAACTTATTTTAACAAATTGATACGTAATTTTAAATTAACAAATGCATTATTTTTAGAAAAAAATGATTTGATAGTTTTCGATGATTTATAAAACTAAACGTTTCCAGGTTCTATAAAATAAATAACAATCAAACCATTTTAAAATTCGATAGCAGTAGGTAAGTTTTTTACTAAACGATATTTTTCCATCATATCTATATTGCACAATGTTTAATAATGATAATTGATCCAGAAAAAAATTCAAGGAGGGCAACTGTCCCAACTCCCCCCCCCTGCATACGTCCTTGAACACGAAACACGTGAATTTTTACCAGCTATATATAGGTACAATAGATAAGAGAATGACATTTTCGAATAGATATTTTTTTTTAACCTTTGGATTAATACGTATAACCGACACTATTATTATTATTTTGCTTTTATTAATGTTTAGTATTTTATTGAAATAAATAATACTGAAGTCTGAAATATATTGTCCATAATATTAGTGATATAATATTTTGTATCCAAAGGTTACAGTATACAATATCTAATTACCAAAATGTTCAATAATATACCAAAAATAAATAAATTATACAATATAATAACAATATTAATTATTATTTATACACGTATACGTATTACTTTATTTTTTTAATTTCTAGTATTTTCACATACACACACAAATAAAATATTATCTACGGATACAATTAAACAAACGTCAAACGATACATTAGGTAACATAATATACAAGATAATAAGGATACAATAACGAAGACAGTGTCCAACCCCGGGGATCCATTTAACGTCCAGTAATACTTATTCTGTTCCAAATTGTTTTGCGATGACATCAGCGATGACACGCACCGCCGTGAAAGCATAAAGGAATGTCATTTTCGGCGTTTATGGTGCATACGTCTCTGCTACAGATGTTATCGAAAATAAAGTAATGGTAAAAAGGCATCGTCGCAGCAGTTTGTAAATTTCACCGATTTTCCGTCGACGGTCATCATATACCGGGTGATATATGTGTGTATATAAAAAAATTATAAAAAAAAAAAAAAAAACCCCCTCCAACCAAAAGTCATTTATTGGAGGACGTCCATACGCGACATAATAATAACGTAACACAAGAAACCGTACGCACGACGATAATATTCATTCACACGCGACCCAGATAACATAATATTGTTATATCGCCGTGGCTGTTGACTCGTAGACACGGTTTATAGCTATAGGTTTATTATTTTATTAGCAATTTGAAAATATATCGTCTACCCGTAGATAATATAATGCAGACTGGCGTCTGCCGCTGCTACGTAATCTCGGTATAAATAATTGTATAACGTCGACACACCACACGCGTGCGTTTGCGGATTGGCAGTGTCGTGGATGTTGCGGGCATAATCTAAAAACCGCAGACTTATATTTATTACATATTTTTATTTTATTTTTTTTTTCCTGCGGTGAGCACGACCGACCAGGTTAGGTTAGGCGTGCGGCGAGCAAACGTCTAACAGAAATTGTTATAACACACATTTACGTATAATTTACCGCTGTAACACGACGATTGCGCGCGAGGCGAAAAGAAAAGGAAATTCGCAATTGGCTATCCGGACGGCTCTTTGCCCGCGCGCAGTACTGAACGAAAACAAATTGTACACAATTTTAACGTGCCTTCCCCGTAACTCTCTTGTCTCTTGCTGGGGTCCGTTCGATTCCGCTATCAGATTTCCTTGGACGTTGCAGCTCTCAAAGTGTCGTAGTATATTGTTATAGTGTTTTACGCAATACATATTATTATGGTATTGGCATTGTACCTTTTGAATTTGTCAAATGGCGACGAGACCGATGTTAAGACGTTTTAATAAAATTGTGATGTTAGGTTTGAAGTTATAGTTAAAGTTTAAAATTGAACGTTGAACAGTTGAAAAGGAGAGTTTCGATAAATTCCAAAAGTTCATTTAAATATTGTTGGACGTGTTTTGAAAAGTTTCGCGAACAATATAACGCCAACTTCTCTCGTCAGTCATTGATAAAACAAAATTTTCGACACAATATAGGTTTACAAGTTCAAAAAAATTCGCAAACCATCATCAGATACATTTGTATTAAAGTCCCGCGTTACGATTGTAGAGTTATTAATATTATTCGTTATTTTTGTCATATGGCTAGACAGTTTTAAGTGGTTTTCTTAAAGAAGCGGTCTATGTAACAGAAATGTTCGCGCTTACGGTTCTACGATAAAACCGACTCATATGTCCAAATTTTTTTCGCTCCATTATTTATATAATATACAAGATTATCTACTTATTACGAACCACCAATTTTCTGGGAGGATTTTACATGAATTCGATTTCTGTTTTGTCAATCTATCGGGCATCGTATAAGCTTTATTTTAAAACTATTTTGATTTTTCCACTCCTACTCCTTATACCTTATTGTAAACTTTTGATTATCAAAAAGGAACCCCGCCCCTTTTAAACTCAGATTCGAATAGAAAATATAGGCGTGTTTTGGCGAATAACCAGGTATAGCTGGTTATACTGTATTTTATAAACAAGTCGTTTTGGCGATTTTGGTCATACATAGGTTACTGAAATATCTATAATACGTTATATGAATCATAACCAAACGAAATTAATGGTATGATATTTGGTTATTGATATAACAGTGATTGGACATCGAACCAGTAACTTTTTTATTATCAAATAATGTTATTTGTAATAACTATAATAACCATAAATATGTATTTTTTAGGAAACTATAACCGTTACCCAAACTCATATAATCATAACTGATAACGAATATAACCAGGTTAATCGACAACACACACTTTATTTTTCAATAAATTGATATAACAGTGGTAGAAAGGTATATGAGGGGTATTAATTTTCATATTCATTTTTAGATGGTACACTGATAAGCTTTTCCTACACTACTGGTTTAAACTTTTAAATTCACTTAAAATCCTCCGAGACAATCGCTGGTATACGATTAGTGGATCGCCCCGTGTATATAATAGTATATAACATACAATAGCTCTCGTAATTTAACACATAAACCACGTGATTATACACATTGATGCGAGCGTGTATAGTAATATCGCGGAGAAAACCGAGCTCGCCGCATTTTTATCTTTATACGGAAACCTGATCGAGACCGGGGTAAACGACGTGTCGTTACGAAATCGGTTCAATCGCGAAAAATGAATATTATTCGCAACACTATGGCGCGGTCGCACGTGCTAACGAGACTACCCGGTTTTTAGATCACCTTCCCCATCTACCCCGAAGATTATTGATGTAATATTGTTGTAACCGTGAGTGGGGTATATGTATTATTATGGTAGTTCGGTAAAACAACCGTGAAGAAGACTTTTTTTCATTGAATTTTATTAGCGCGTTATTATACGAGTTTTTAGTGTACAAAAACTGTAGTCGATTAAAACATAAATCTGTCCGGAGAAATTCCGGTTTTGTAATAACATTGTGATGTTTGCAGCTGTTACTGTACAATTAAACAGTTAAACTATTATTCGATATTTTTCGTCGTTTTCCCGTTTATCGGGTCGTCGTATTAAAAAAAAAAAAAAAAAAAAAAGAAGTTATTATTACGGTCAAAAGGCAATTTTCGTCGATTAAACATATATAATAATATTATTTGGTGGACGTCACCATGTGGAAAACGAGAGTTTTGCCAAACCGATATTGCATTTTGGTATTATTGTGAATGTGTGTGTGTATGTGTGTGTGTGTGTGCAGGCGGTAATATAATAGCATCCGTGCCATTGATTTTATAATAAACTCGTTGCGACCCATTCAGATAACGTTTCCGATGTGTACCTCGTCCAGTGGCGTATTCGAGATTTTGTCAAGAAGGGAGATATAAAATTTGGAAATTGTGCCCTAAATGTTCTTGTTAATGTTTACGATTACGTAATAAATATTTGTGATAAGGGCACGGCGAATTAAAAATTTGTTGAGCCGATCAAATTTCGTTTTAACCAAAAATGTCGATAAAATCGCCTTCAGTACAGGACTCGGAACGGGAGACGACATAGTCCGTCCTCCTAACTATACAATAAGTATCGACACGGTTATGATTTTTTTCTACTAAAATGAAAATCAAATTTGAATTTAAAAATAAGGCAACCTATATAAATAATAAATGTTAAAAATATAGGTCAAGTGGGATATAATTCTCATCTGAACAACCATCCTTAAAAACGCCACTTCGTAAATCGCTACATTATTATTATAAATACTTTCAATGCGCCCGACAACAGTAATTTGCTTGTAGTGGCATACTTGTAAATACGATAATGATTATAATAAATTATGTAAACGCAATTAAAATAGTAATTATAATTATACGAGTTTGAGCCAAAACATTTTTTTAAATTTTTTTTCACTAGCTGATTGTAAATTTATTTAGCTGAGTAAAATAAACTTTCTTTTAGTTTAGGGTTCGAATTGGACAACAATAGAAACCTTAAATCTTTTATTTGGCTTTTAAGAAATTTTTGATTTTTTTAGTATTTTCGGTGGGGAGGGGGGCCAAGGTCTTTATTTCATTTTTTTTAAAATTAATAATAATTAAATTATTTTCTATTTTATGTTTATTTGGGTATGGTTTTGGGGATTTTAAAATTATTAAAATTGGTTTTACTATATGTGTGCATTTTTTTCTGTTTGTTATTAATTTATCTACCAGAAATCTTGTTCCAAACAAAAAATGACAAGAAAGCTTTTTGCATCATTTTGAATATTGTTGACGCATTAGGAGGTAATATTTAAATTTACCATGTGGCTTTTAAAACAATTAGGAAAAATGGACAAATTTACGTGCAGAAATGTTTGAAAATTGAATACAAAGTTCATCATAATATGTACTTTGTGAAACAAAATATGTTTAACGTAACTCGACTGTTTTTGTTTTTTAAAATTTAAAATTCATATTTCGACGAAAGACTCCGATAAGAGGCGTATTTCGTCAGCAATGATTTATTGTTGTATACAGATACCAATTAAATAACATTTTGTATCCTATCTTCCCATGTACAAAAGTGGTACGCCCATCAGTAATATCAGCTATTTTTTATACATATATATATATATTTATATAGACATGTGTGTGACTGTTTTTATGCGCTAAAATCCACAGCCCTTGTATAATAATATGAGTTTCTCGATTTGTTCGCGGTACATTTAAGAAGAAAAACGAAAATATACACCGAATAAACACGATAGAATAATATTGGTTTTGTGCATACCCCGTCAATATTATATTCCACGCGGGAAAACTTCGGGCCACGAATTATATTTTCAGATAGTATTTCGTGTCTATCAAATAAATATTATTCGAGCATTATTATTATCGATTATATACGGTTTTTTTCTTCGCCATCAATCTTATACCCGCGAAATACTGTCGAATAAATAAATCACCATCGTGCAATCATATATTATTGCAAGAGACGACATTTGGCGGCCGAATCGGCGACTGTATACTCGGACGTGGCCTGGAAAACGTAATAAAATAATCCGAACGAACCGCGGGGAAATACTATAATTTACACGTTTTACCGTTAAAATAGATATCCAAAACAACAGGATCTGTATCGGTACTTTCAAAATTAAATTATCTTTTTTGTAATATATTATCTTATACTTTGCCAAATCCGGTGTTTTGTTTGTTCTAAAACATGGTTTACATCGGGAAAAATTGTCACACCTCGCATATTGAACAATGCGTGTTGAAAGTGAATTTTCAAAATCATATTTCTAAACTCAATGATATTCGACTTTGAACTCGACCAATTTTCACAATTTTTTTAAAATACTTATTTATCTCAAGTTTAGGATTCGTTATTTCGGTTTTCACAAACAAATAACAAATATTTATCATTTATACGATAAAATACGGTCTTGAACGTAATAAGTCAAAGTTAGATTGAATCTAATGCCATACTTTAAAATATGGATAATGAACACTTACACTAATTTGCCCCCCCCCCCACCTTTAAAAAATATTCACGAGCATACGCCTGACCCAGATAAAATTAGAGGTTAAATTGAATTCAGCACTATATCGGCATTCAGTACCCCCTAAATTTTCGGTTGGTGTGTGCAATTATAAAACGTAGCCATAAATCATGACACAAGTATTTTTGGATAATTCGGCGACATGCATGGGAGTTTTTCATATAAAGCACAATGACAAAACTACTGGCATAGTATATTGTAAATATTACGAAATTGTAAAAAGCCACCACTAGAATGACCATTTACACTCTTTTTATTCAATATTATACTAGATTTATTATGTTTTAGATATACATATGACTTACTTTTCCTTCGGCTTCCACGGCCCTGGTTTCCGCTTCCAGTACGCGTTTTTCCAGCTCCGACAACTGAAAACAATAAATGGAAATTTAGTTGTAACAGTTGAAACGGATAATAATTTAGGTAAAACAAAAAAAAAAAAAGAAGAAATCATTTTTTTGTGTACACGCCTATATTTACGGTGTGTACACGCACGTATATAAAACAAAAACGTTTTTTTTTTCGTGGTTTATCGATATTATGGTTTTTTTTTTTATATATATATATTTTTTATAACGGATAACGATAATAAAGGTTTAACCTATACATTATTTTGGCTTTATTCAAAAATTTGAAAGGGCGTCATCGGTTTCCGGCAAAAAAACAAAAACAACTTTCCGTTTTCCGCCGGATTCGCACAGATACCTCGACTACTATACATATTATTTTCTCCGATGTATAAAGAATAAAGCCGTTTTCCGCCAACACAAACATTTATGGTGAAATATAGAAAAAAAATCAAAGGCAACACACAGACTATTTGTTATAATAAAGATATATAAATATATTTTCGTTTTTCCGGCTTTTGAGACCACGCCGTCAAACTAATAAACCTCACTAATCTCTCACTATCTTGTGTTGTAATCATTCACTGCCACATTTTCCACATGATACGCCCCTGTCATTCAGGGACGTAGAGAATATTTGTAAACAACAAATACAAATACTAAAATATAGCACTCATCCTCTCCCTCCCTTCAATCCTTATAAAAATACCCCCTCATCGTGTATTTTTTACATTATTATCGACTTGGGAAAAAATGACCTTAAGTCAATTAACGAAAACACGTAAATTCCTAAGCACCTGTATTGAATAAACTAAAGGTCTCGAGTCAGCAAATGCACCAGCTGAATGCTTATACCTCGTGCCACGCGCCTTCTCGCGGTGTTAAAAAATTAAGCGTCATATTTCATTACTATAATGGCCCGAGTATAATTTGGTATTTGAGATTTACATTGATTCAATTCAATAGTTAATTATAGAGATGTATTAATGACGATTTATTATGGTTCTCTTGCGCAAAAGTCTGCGTTAGTCGACTAAATAGTATAGATCCATTTATACTGGTACATAAATTACAACGAAATACCAAACGCCAATGGTTGACGTTCTGCTTATCGACCTACAATAACCCACCCGATTTCAAACATGATGCCTAGGCGTATTGTTGTCTCGGCACATCAAACATTTCTTTGACATTTCGCTTTCTTATATCCGTCGTTTGAAAGAGGCAGACTTATAAAAAAAAAAAAACTTTTTTTTTCTATATACTTTATGTCATTCAAAACGCCCGCAAAATAATACGTACAATATATATTGGATTTTAAAACGTTTCGAATATAAAATATAAAAAAAAATACCGAACCGATGATTCGACCGAACTGTAATTTCGACGGAAATCGAAACTATATAATTTTTAATTTTTTTATTATTATTATTTTACTGGGGCGTGTTATTCGTATTCGTGTTGGCGGAAAGCTCGTGTTCGCGGCAGGAAAACGGAAACACCCCACCACTTGTATTGAAATCATATTTTTTTATTATTATTATTGCTATTCGCAATAACATTGGTACGATGCACGAACGCAAACGTGACGAGCTCATTATGTATAGAATAATATACGCGTGATTCGTGTAGCAAAAATGGGAGTGGTAACCATTGTTGTGGCGTACGTCAAACGATCGTTAAGTATACAACTTATACATATTATATACATTATATACACGGGAGAAGAAATTCAAAGGAAACTGTAAGGAGGAGGGGAAAAGAAACGACGGCAGGAAAAATAAGAAGGGTTTATTGATTAAGAAAAAAAAAAAAAATGTAAATAATTTAAAACCTCGTTTGAACGAATCTACTCCTAAAATATGGTGTCATAGTGCTATATAATTATTATATATATAGTTTTATGGGACGATTTTCCGTAGAATGTTCTCTCTAAAGAGGATTTCGTACCCATGCACCGCGTGTGCGGCTGTCTCCGGTCCCGTAGTCTTTTGCAGACGCGCGGCAAGCAAATTAATTGCCTTTTTGTTCCTTTGTTGAACATGTTTAATGTTATATAATAGATCTAGAAGATTCACTCGAGTGAATTGACACTCAAACTCAAAACTAAGAACATTATATAAAAATTATTATGTTTTTATGTCGTCGGTTTTTTTCCCTCGGTATTATTTTAATTTTCAAAAGCGTAGTGCCAATATGCGAAATACTCATAATCTAAAAATGCTAAAAAAAAAAAAAAAAATTAAAAACACGGAGAATGAAACACAAATCAGATTAGAGATTAGAGTGTGCTAGAATCAAAACTCAAATTTTTCAGAAAACGAGAAAACCCAGGAAAGGGTTCTATAGTGTATTTTTCTAACGAAATTCAGGCTAAAAATTCACAATTGTCATCAAAAGTGAAGATTTTATAACACTTTTTCTTTTTTCGAAGTTCGCAACATGTTACCTACATGATTGAAAATAGTTGAAATGAAATATGTGAGTTTTAGCATGATCCAACGAAACTTGTTAGTTTTGAAACGAACCTCTACTTTCCGGTTAAATAAGGACCTGTTCTCGGGCGTATTGAAGCAAACGCGATTACAAAATCGGATTCACACTCAAAAATCCAATAAAACAGTGTCACTAACTCAATTTCTCATTTTCGGTGCTAAAGCCACATTTTTGATTCTGGCCTACTCATCTCTTTTAAGTTTGAAGGTCGATTCGCTGCAGTAACATTTCAACAAACATTAATCTTGTCAAAAATTCGCTAGCTACGTCGGACAAGCACACGAACGACGATAATATCATTCTCAAACGATAATTTCGCATCGTTACATAGTACGAAATTCGGAAAGGACAATTTTGCTCTCGTGCGATTATGATATCACGCGGCTATAATACGTCCGGTAATTAAACTAAAACGTTGTTGTGCACTAGTTGTAATAACGCGAATACTGCACCGCGAATTCCGGGCGAATTCGGATAGAAGGAAATAATAATATGCATTAAAATGTAAGTATGACTGCCGTATTTTAATTGGACGGTTAGTTTAACGGGCGAGCAAATTATTCTCGATTATCGCGAGACTCTCTAACGACATGTAATTATTGCACATAAATTAAATAATAATATTCAATAGCGCGAGAAAGAAATATAACATTTTTAAATGGTTTTAAAAATAAAAATAATTATTTTTAGCGAAATAATTAATAAAATAAAACGTTATTGCGCGTTAAACGCCGCGGAAGTTATAACAGAACATTGAACAGCTCGGTGCAACAACCGGACCGGTAACTAGTATTATTTTATTTTGAAAAATCACTTTTTTACGGAAATGTAAAAAAAAAAAAAAAAAGAGCTGATACTGATGACGGGAGTGCTACCTAGGAGGAAATGTTATATATAGAGTAAATAAATGTATATCTGTACGCAATGATAAACCAATAAATGCTAACGAAAAACTATCCGGAACATAGTATAATTTTCCGACAATTCCAAAGTAATCCAGAAACAACATAAATAGTTTATGCCAAATCTTACATATAAAATTCTCCGATCAAAGTGTTTGCTATTGAAACTCCTCCGTAACGGCTTGACCGATTTTAATGAAATTTTTTATGTATATCTGGTAGGTCTGAGAATTCATCGTCCTACCCTACCCCACTATCTTTTAATCACTATTTTAGTATTTTCGCTTATATATATAAATAAATACACGAGCAACACCAAATAATTTAGCTTATAATATAATAAATACAATTTTTTTTTTTTTTGTAGATTTGTGTTACCCCGGTCACAGGGATGAAAAAAAATGGTAAATAATTATTATTAGAAATTAGTCGGAAAATAGCATGTGATAATCAAAAACGGTTCAACCGTTCTTGAGGTATAAATGGTGTAACTCACCCGACTTTGTTTTATTTATATAAGATGTTTGTTTATCCGTGGGTTACCACAGAAAAGAAAACTATTATAACAACTATTATTACTATTATTTACACTATTCAAATTTCACAATAGAACACATTTAGTCCATCGAAGGTGGACAACCCACTTTCCATTTATTTGTTTTCATTCGATTCTAACACGGCGAAAACCAAAAATGAATATGGGTAAAATAATTATAATGCAAATTGGTAATGCGGGGCGCGGGTCAGCTAGTTATAATACAATAATTATTGTTGGAAACGAATTTCCAGGTTTTGCCATTTACTATGAAAACTACAAGGAAAATAAGAAAACGATTTCCTCAATGCGCAAACTAGATAAAAAAAAAAAAAAAAAAAAAAAATGACTAAACACAAAACTGTGCACCTTGTTTGCCNGCCATTTACTATGAAAACTACAAGGAAAATAAGAAAACGATTTCCTCAATGCGCAAACTAGATAAAAAAAAAAAAAAAAAAAAAAAAAAAAAAATGCTACAGGAAAGTTCTTATAAAGTTGTTGGACGAGGCGAAAATTCCGGGAAAAAAGTTTTTACACACAAAAAAAGCAGCTCACGCGCTTCGCTCAGAATCTAAAAAAAAAAAAACAATGACTAAACACAAAACTGTGCACCTTGTTTGCCGCCGGGGGAAATTGCAGTCTACAAAATTACAATATTATAGCCTCTTGTATTCCGATAAAGATCTATGCAATACGTTTCTGTGTTCCTCGTGAAAAAAAAAAATAATAAAATCGACTGTCGGACTCTGTTAGGAGGAATAAAATTATGCTAATATATTGCATTATTGTGTAAAGGTAATAAAACGCGATAAAAGAAAATCTCGGCCGACTCTTTTAGGATCGCAGACGTCTGTTACGCGATTTGAACCGATGATAAAAAGAGTGGCACCGCCGGATATAAATGCATATACATGCATATTGTATTAAAAACAATAAAAAAGAGCATTTCGATAAAAGAAAAAAGAAAAAAAGAAAAAAAAAACCCCCGCGACTACTGCAATTGTAAATAAACCGACACTACACTTGATTTCCAAACGCATGATAGTTTAACGTTGCATTCCGCGGCGTTTTCGACTATTTCTCGATTTGTTTTCGGTCGTTTTTCGCGACTACCCCCCGGACGTTCTTTCCTCTGATAAGCCGATGGAATGGAGGGGGGGGGGTGAAATAATAGAACGTAACCGATCAGATATATTCCGGCGATATCGTCGGGCGAAACGCGGGAAGACAGGGGGGGCAAGCGGGGAAAACCGTTCGCGGATTTTTGCTTTTCCGTAATCACAGGCCAAGAACCGCTCGCCAGTCTCATCGATCACAGCTAGAGATTCGGGTATACGCCCGTTTGGGGACCACTGGCCACCACACTTGTCCCTTTCCCCCCCGCGCTATCACGCTCGAATGTCATAGCGTCCGCGCCCCGTTTGACCGGAAGATGGGGTTGGCGTATTCACGCAGCAGTGTTGTAAGCTGCACCGTACACTGTACTACGTTATACGATACGCGAGATGCGATGTTTATACGCAAGGGGAGGGCGTGGGGAGCGACGCATTCGATTATACGGCCTTTAACGGGTTACGCGGCGCGCGGCGGTATAATTACGGTGTTACCGAGATGCGTGCCGGTTACTACGACAGCGTGTAGAAGGGGGAGGGAGGAGGGGGCGACCGTTGTCGTATCGAATTGACGTGTTTTCGGTGTAAATCGCGTTTTTTTCCTCGCCGTGTGATTCGAGAGCTCGATGAGTGGAAAAAAAAAATAAAAATACAAAATTATATATTCGAAAAAAAAAAAAACAGCCACCGCTAATTGGAACGCCGAAAATAAAATATCGCCCTTCGCCCCCCTTCCCTCCTTCCCGTGCCACACACAAACGAACGGTTTTAATTTAATTGCCAGTTTTTCGTCCCTTTTCGACCGGTCGCGCCCGCAGCGCCGCCGTATGTTTTCTTTTCAGCGGTCGGTGTGACGGAATTAAACCGCTCGGCGCGGCGGCGGCCGAATTTCCGGTGTGCCGCCGAGTGGCGTTTATAACATTGCAGTTTAATAATTTTTTTCGGGTTTTTTTTTTTTTGCCCTACAAATTAACAGTAAAAAAATCACTCCGACTACGTGTCGGTCGGCCGTCGCGTATTATAAAAACCTTACACGTGTAAGGCCGTCGCCGCAGGCGGACGGGCGTGTCAAAAGAAAGAAATTACGAGACGACGACACGGACCGGGGGACCGAGGGGGTGGGAGGGAGGTGGTCGGCGGCGGCGACTTAGGAAAATATACGCGTTAGAGAGAAGATATAGGAGGACATAAAAAAAAAAAAAAACCACACACGTTCAATGATAAATTACAAGGCGATTTCGGGCTATCTGCCAGCGTTTTTCACCGCTGTCGTTCGAAACGGAAAGAGAACGAAAGACGGTCGCATTGTTATTTTTAGTGCGCCGTTCACCTGCGCGTATGGGAAGGGGGGCAAGTAAAAACATAGGGCGAATGGTAAAGTTTTTCGCCGTGGTAGACGAAAGACAATATATTGTCAGCGAAATCGAATCCCGAATGAAATTATCGGGGTGTTGTTTTCAATATCATCAAAAAACGCAGCGACGAAAGCGGCGGTATAATCGCGCGACTATTGCGTCTAAAAAAATCGTCCGTTTACTCGTCACCGACCTAACTATTGACTTTTAAACTTAACAGTGTACGTTTTGGTGACTTTTGCAATGGTGTAGCGTCTCTGAAAAGCCTACGTGTATTTCACACGATTTCGTTTCGAACTATATTGTGCACTGTAGGATTATACTCATCCGCACGATCCGTTCGATATTACAGCTAATTTTGGTACTTCAACGTTTTCGAAACGATATTAAGTACACGTTTTATTTAACCGTATTGGAAAACCTTTTAATTTGACATGTTTTGCTTGATTGAAGAAGCGATGCGTTTTCGGTCCCCGGGGGAGAATGGCTTATGTCTCAACTTTTAACGTTTCTTTATAATTTTGGAATTTTTTCGGTCTGAATGATGGCGTAAACAAACTTATTTTCAAAACGAGTACGTGTATATACTGTATTAGCGCACGTAGTTTTAAAATTTAATTTGCTCAAATTGTAAACTATATATGTAAAATTGACTCGAGCCTTGGACCAACATCGAGTTTATTAAATCGTACTATACAGTTTAGACCATTGTGCTCGTGTGTGATATGTCGATAGAACTTTTTGTTTTGCATTACAGTGAACCGTAGGTTCGGACCCGACCGAATTATCGTATTTTACAAAGCAGTGCGTGTCGAATTAATTTTGAAAAAATCGTTTTATACCAACATCCGTCGAAAAGGTGCGGCCGGTCGTAACGGTTTCGCAACCCCCGCAAATCGTAAAAAGCGAACAAAAATAACGGCGACGCAACGTTTTATGATGGTGGATCGTTTCGCACGTTTCGCACGAGAGAAAATTCCGATAGTAAAAGTCAATAATATAAAATACGCTTTCCGAGATATAACGGCGCGGCGCACGAGTGGTTCAAAATTGAAAAAAGCCGGCCAAAAGTGATTTTAGAAATTGTCAAAAAAAAAAATTGCAAACTATTGTACAAAAATACATTCTGTGCCCATTTAGGTATTCTAAAATATCAAACTTAATAAAAAAAAAAAAAGTAATTTTTTTTTTTTACCATTAAAAAGTTTGTAGTTTCGGTAATACTTTTAGTGTACGTACACTATGAAATCCTATAATTCACGACGAGGGGGGGAGGTTTATTTATCAATATAGAAACTATTAGAGTATTTATCATTATTATTATAGAAATATATTATATCTGCAATATTGATAATTTTGGTGGTAACAAATTAATACTCGTTATAGCTCCAGTTATGCGTTTAATAACGTACGGTTTTAACCAGTTTTTTCGCCGACCAATAAAAAATGTATTTCAAACATCAATAAGGCGTATGGAGTCGGTAAATGTGTAGACCAGTTGCCCATATTCGCCCATATTTTTCCCTTGGAAAATTGTAAAACCACATTTTCCCAATGAAAAATTGCAATAGAGCCGTGTCGAGTTTTGATCGCCTTTTTTTTTTCCGATTTTAACCGCCGTGCGGCGTCTGTCTTGCCGAGGTTCGCGGACCGAGTTCCCCGCGCGTCTTTTTCGTCTCTATCGCCGCGTGCAATTCAAAACGCTCGGGACGCGTCATTATCACGATGTTATTATCATCACTATTATCGCGTTCTCGGCTCCGCGTACCGTGCGGCGGCGGTTTCCCTATCGCGAACGCCCCACGCTCTCCGTCCGTCTCGTGCCGCCGTTTAATATTACGCGCGCACTTCCTACTGTCGGCATTTTAATTTCCCCTGTACTTCCGCCGCGGCGAAGGCGATTGATTTCCATCGCGCGCCACACTTGCGTGTGCGTGTGCGTGCGTATAATAATACACGCATGCATGGACATTTATACATAACGTTATTAGCGTCGGAGTTGTGTCGAAACTCGCGAAACAAACGCGGGCTTTTGTTTGACGGAAACGGGCGCGCGGGAAACTCGCACGAAGACATAACGGTTACGTCGGCGTGCGATTGTGCTGTCGATAATAAAATCGCGGGCGGCGGCGGGTTTAATCGGCCGAATCGGTCGCACGACATTACGTTATTATTATTGTTACTCGTAAACGACCTCGGGTACACGCGTGTGTATACCGATCGGCGCGAACCGGCATTGTTTCGGCGCCGTGGTAAATATACCGCGGTGCCGCGACGTAATATTAAACCCGCGCGTCACCCGTACATGTCGGCATACCGCCGCCGTCGCCATCATCATCATCACCATCGTCATGGACAACGTCAACGTTCTGTTCGTCGGCATGACGGTCATATTCGTCGCGTTCCCGTTGCTGTTGAAATCGGTGGACGGGTCGATGGTGCCGGACGCGCTGGTCCGGCTGTACACGTACGGCAAGATCACGGGTGGCGACCGGCCGTCCGGCATGCTGAGCGTGCCCAAACGGTGGTACAAACACTTTTACGCGTTCTCCGCGGGCCTGGCCACGCTGGCCGCGATGTTGCTCGCGGACGCGTACTTTGACGTCACGCTGTGGCCCGCCGGCACCGCGCTGTGCCGCCGGTGGCTGTGGGACACCATCCGGCGGCCCGTGCCGTCGTACAGCCCGGCCGCCGCGCTCACGGCCATCACCATGTTCGTGTTTCAGTGCTACCGGCGGGCGTACGAGACGCACCGCGTCAACGTGTTCTCCGAGACGGCCGTTGGCCTATGGTACTACGTGGCCGGCTACTTGCACTACGCCGGAGCCATGGCCACCGTCATGGCCGAGGCGCCGACCATTCCGGGATGGGTGTTCTGCCGGGGCTGGACCGAAGTGGCCCGGCTCGCGATCGGCGCGCTGTTGTTCACTTGGGCGTACCGCGAACAGTGGAAGGCCAACGTGGCGCTGGCCGCGGCCCGGAAACGGGACGGCCGGGTGGTGACGTACGAGCATCGCGTGATCACCGGGGGCCTGTTCGACCTGGTGTCCAGCCCGCAAATGCTCACCGAGGTAATCATGTACGGGGCTTGGCACGTGGTCCTGTTGGGTGGCACCGGCTGGAAGTACGTGCTGTTGTTCGTCTGGGGCAATCAGTTCGAACTGGCAATCATCAATCATCACTGGTACCGCGCCAAATTTGAGGACTATCCGCGGCACAGGAAAGCCATCATACCGTATCTGTTGTAAGTGGCCGCGAGCGTTTTTAAATAAATATGTTTTCGATTTTTCAGATTTAAACAGCTAAAATGATTTTTCGTTCTTTAAATATACATACATATATATATATATTATATAGAACTTCGTTTTTTTTTTCAACCAAAAAGTTATTATTTTTTTGTTGTTGTTTACCTTTGATTTTTCCGCGCCTTGTACACTACAACTGCAGCTGCAGTTATTATTAATACACGTTAGTTCGCGTGTTTCTGGTGACGCGCACGCAGGCAGTACGAAAATACAACAATAAATATTTATTTTTATTTTTATTTATAGACGGACCAATTACGCGGTGATTTTAACGATAATATTCTAATATTATTTTTTATGAAATAATTCGATACAAATATAAAATTATTTAATAAACGGTAATAATTGCTCAGGAGACGCAAAAAAAAAAAAAAAAAAAAAAAAAAACGGTTTTGTCACTAAAACCTTAACTTCGAAATGACAATAAGAGCACTCAACGTTGACAATTCCGTTGTATTTTTATCAGATCTCTCAAGGAATAATAGACTGTTATTATTTTTAGTCAGAATGCTTTGAAATGTTGTGTTATCATGTATTTAATCAGAAACTCAATTTTGGAGATACGACAATTGCGAATAAGCCCCACGATGTACTTCTGTAAAGACGACGTTTGACTCACGAACGGCGAAACGACAATCAGAAAAACATTGCTGATGCGGGTATTTTATTTTTATAATATTACTGTTATACTGCGGCACCGACACGAATAAACGTGCGAACGGCGGTATAAAATAATAAATAGCACTTTGTAGTCTTGAAAAAAAAAAAAAAAAAAAAAAAAAACGCAATTGAATTTGTTTAAATACTTGTATTATTAGAATATAACTCCAATGAAAAAGTATCTAAACCCGGCATGGTACCGGCATCAAAAATGTTACGGTTTCAATTTTTGTTTTGATTTTAAATACCGGTTTTATGAATTCGGTCTCGGTTTAGTTAATAATACCGGTATCAGACTTTTTCCGATTTCGGTTGTGAGTTCGATTTTGGTTTTAAAGCGTTGTGATTTTGAACAAGTATACTATATTTAAAGTAAATATGTATATGCAAAGGGGGTAGGGCTTTAGCCCCTAACCTTCTTTAAATCCACCTCTACCAATCGGGAATTTCGCGATGACCGTCACATTTCTTCGCGTCTATATTTCGTAATTATATTACTACGACACCTATTTATTAATTGATGAGTTTTTTTTTTTTACTATTTATCTTTCCATCAGGTATAATACCTGTATATAAAAACAATCTAATCGATATAAAATCGCTGATAAAACATTTTTATCTGCAGTGCCCCGCCATCGATAGGTAAACACACACAGTATCGTTTAATTAAATCCGTCCAAAACAAACACGATCGGTCATAAAAAATAAAAAACGACGCTGGCGGGCGCTCGGGTATATAAATGGAATTTGCTCAAAGCGCTACTATCACCCTCACCACCACCACCTCCCCGACTTTTTTTCGAATTCCATTACGAGTTTTACATTAAAACGAATCGATTCCCGTGTACATACAGCATACAATGTGTACATTTTTATTTTTCATTTAAATAAATTACGTTTTAATCATTTTTTTCCCCGTTTTATTTACATTATTCTCCCACCATCGCCCAAAACCAAACTGCATAACGTGTAATAAAAGCACACACGACGACGACTTTTTTTGTCGTATTTTTTCCTCCTTCAATCTCATAATAATACAATATAACGACCGCGACGATACTTCTCCGGTGATGGAGAAAAATCCGAATTTGACAAAGTCTAGGAAATCGCGTGGGATTTACAAACAATGATTTTGGATTTTAGTGACTTGTGCTTTATGTTTTTTTTTTTTTATAAATATATATATATATATATATATAGTAAAATCGTTTTCCAATAAATCGAATATACGCGTAGGTATACAGTATAAGAAAAAACGAAATTAATTAAATTGTTAAATTAAATTAAAAAAGAGATTAAAGAACAATACACTACAAGAACCCGAACAATTGCTTTGTAATCAAAATTTCAGATTTGCATCATATCACCGATATAAGCATAGGTACACTTAGTTTTTACGAACGGCTATCAGTGGTGTGATTTATCTAGTTATATTTGTCTGAGCCGTCATCTAAAATAAATAATCGTATCATCAAGTTAAATATTTTTACAAAATGACACAAACTTTTTGAAATCTAGATGTTTAACTATATATAGATATATTACTACTAGATATATCAATCTTTTTTTCAAATGTGGATAAAATGTTGCCGATTTTTATTTAACTTTATCTGTGTGTACGCAAATATTGTTATATATATATATATATATATATATCTTTTGTCTTCGTCTGGATCATATGTAATTATTCAATTATTTCTTTTTCATCTAGATATTTTGAATTTATCTTTACAGGACACCGACGACGGCGTATGTAACCGAGATATTCTTTTCTATTTTTTTTTCTCCGTAGCATTTTTAGCAGCTTAAATCTTACACCGCGTACATTTAGCTATTTTGTTACATGTATATATAAAAACTTTAAGTGTATACCTAACTAATAAAAACTAACCGAAACTATATAATTCAGGTTTCGCTATGGTAAATTCCGGGGTTTCAACTGCAGATTTCGGTTTTTTACCGCAACGATATTATATTTATTATGTATACGCATTTATGGTACTATATATTATTTCAGCTTGGCTGTCGATGGCATCCCTTCGCACACATAATCTATAAATATATAATATAATATTTTATACACATACTCATACTCGTACGTAAGAGTGTGTGTGTGTGTGTGTGTGTGAGTATATCCAAAATTGATCTATCGAAAAATGCCTCCCCGGCAACGTCAATGACGTCGTTGGACACGTAAACTGACGTATCGTCAAATATTGCGAACCTGTCGGGCCCATCACCATCGTCGTGAAAATTCGACGAGAAAAAAAAGGCGAAAAAAGATCCGTGCGCGTGACAGCCGCTAGTTCCCGAGTACGTATATACTCGTATATATTTATATATAAATAAATAAATAAAATACAAAGCTCTTCAAAACTGACAAAATATATTATCCATAACATATAATATTATAAAAGTATATTTTTACGATTTTTTTTTTAACAATGGTTGGTATTCGGCAGAAGAATATAAGATAATAAATTAGCTGATTTTGAAAAAAAAAAAACATTATATACTTATTATAGTAAATAGGAACAGAGGAGAAAGCTTGGATGAAATTCGAAATCCAAAAATAATCAAGTACTGTATTGTACTGTAATTGAAAAAAAAAATGTTAATTAAGTAAAGATAAAAGCTAATAAATAAAGCTGAGAATTGGAAATTCCACGCGGAAAGTGTTGTCCTTTTAAGACAATAAACAAATTTAATTTCAAAAATGAAATTATAAAAATCGAAGATGTCGAAAAAATATTATTATAATTTTTTAAATTCATCTTACCACCGTGTGATTTGACCTTAAAAAAACAAAAATTAAATTAATTTTTACATTTTTACTTTAAAACTGAAATATTGTACCAAAAGCAGATCGTTACGACCTTTTAGCATTGATATTTGATTTACGTAGTGAATTTCGATATCATATTAACTCAAAGGATGCTATTACGCATCGAAACCCGGTACTAATTTGCGTTAGTAGTAATTTGATCACCAAAAACTGGAATTTTTTTTCTATTAGAAATGGTGAAGAATAGGTAGCCATCGAGCGGTTGTCAAACCACATTACACGAACTTATAGCGACTACAACAACCCGACCGCAACCCGACGACCGACGGCTTCTGATCTCATTGGTTTTATAATCATGACTAAATAAACAGACGTACGTCAGAAAAAGTACGTATTTTCCCTATTACTGTGCATGTGTCCTAGATTTGGAAGAAAAAGTACAATAACCACGCATTTACCAAACGTCTAACTTGCGTCCTGTTCATATTATCTTAGTCCGTGGTACTGTGCAATAACCGCGATACAAACAAACCAAATTTAACCAAATCATTTCTTTTCCCGTAATTTTACCGTTCATCCCATGTCTGTGGTACACATTATAAGCGCAGACCAATATCGCTGTCATGCCTGTTTATTTAGGAATGATTTTAATGATTGGAACAAGTGGTTATGATCGTGTTCACGGACAGATGGGAAAACAATACGCAGGAATCCGCTCAGAATGTTAAATGTCCACATTATTATTTTCAATAATGGTTTATAGACACGCGCAGAAGAAAACTGCAGAGACGATAAAAATTGACTGAAGGGTTCTTTGATAATAGTCACGATCCAATTTGTTTCAAAAAAATAAAAAAAACGATCGTCAAATGCGGAAAAAAATCAAATAACGCGATATGAAAGAAAAAACCATATAAAAGGTTAGATAGTTTTCTAATAACACTGAAGCTTCACCGAAAAAAAAAAAATAAAAAATACCTGCGGAGATTTCGCTTAGTTTTTTATTATTATTTTTTTTTCTAAACCGTATTGTATAGTGCGACCTACAAGTCTGTATATCCGCAACAATAGACGTTTCTATACAAACAAAACAAATAAATAAATAAACAAATAAACGCGAAGATGAAATAAAATTCTAACGTTATTTTATTCTTATCGATCCTCCGTATAATAAAGAGGACGCTGCACAGACTCGGTCGTATATATAATATAACCGAATACAACGCCGATTTGTCGAGGAGACGGTTCTTATATTATTATTATTATTATTATTATTATTATTATAAGTATGTATACGAAATTGTCACCGTCGTCGTTGTAACGGTTAGGATATACAAAAAAAAAAAAAAAAAAAAAAAAAAAACACAGAACTACCGTACAGTTATGGGTGAACGGTTTTTTTTTTTTTTTTTACGTTTAGGCCTTATACGTCCCCGGAGACCCGTTGGTATTTACGAGAACGATGCGCGGGTAGGATTTGAATACGCATTCCGGAAAGCATAACTTATTATTATTACTATTGCTGCTGCAGCTGTACAAGGGAAGGGTACGGGGGATGGGAATCGGTTATATGTGCCGAGAAAAACAACTCTGTCGCCGAATCTTTTGACTATATACACACGAGTGTGCAGGTATATAAACTCGCGACGTCTCGTGCAACACAATCGTATTACAATAATAATACTGATAATAATAACAAACGAGGACGGATAAAATAAACGCAAACGACACCACGTGTAATATTTTGTTCCTTCTAGCCTTTATTATATTCTGCGATTTAAGAAGGCGTTACTGTAACGTTTACCGTCCCTGTCTATATTATATCTAACGGACAATATAGCAAAAATGTGTTTTCGTGCGTTCAATAGGATCTAAATAGACTTGGAAAAATTTTCTTTCGCCAAATTAAAGAGGACGGCATTTAATATGCTTACACAGGATATATTTTTCGGTATATTCATTAAGTACCTATATAGAATTTTCTATTAAGATAAAAAAATAATAAAACTAATTTTATTTTTCGAAAGTTTGACGTATGAATATAGATTACCTGGGAAATATATATGAAAAAATCTCCATGTAAAAGCATAGCAAATGCTGCCGTCTTTAATTCGATGAAATAATATTTTTTTTCCGTCTATTACAGACAGAGTACTATTGAACGTGCGAAAACACATCTTTGCTATATTGCCTGTTAGATAGAAAAAAACAACAAATGTTACTGTGGTATCCCTCTTAAAACACGAATATATCGATAAAGACTTTTAAACAGTATATCGGACAATAAGAAATTAGATGTAATTAGAAAGAATCGGTATCTATTTTGTTTTTTTAAGAAAAATCGATAGCAAATACCCAAACAAAAGAACAAATCAGACTTATTCTTTAAAACAGATCGCATTTTTCCGGAAGATTGGCATACGAAAACGTCATCATATCTAAAACACGCACAGATAACGACAACAACAGATGTACTTACTACGACTGACGATGACAATAATAAAATTGTCAAAACGTTCAGCTATAATTTTTTTTTCACCATTATCGGACTGCATGTTGTACAGTTTTTATTTTACAGTCGGTTAACTTAACATGGAAAAAAAATACTTTAAAAAATATAATTTATATTTTATGGTAAATATACAAATCGCACCGCGAAAACAAAATGAACGATTTTGTGATTAAAAGTAATGTTTTTTTTTGTTTGTTTTTTTAGTTTCATTATATTATTCGCGATCGAATTCGGCCGGGAATCTGCGGAGGACTCTTGGGGGCGGGTAAAAACTTGTCCTCGAAAATAACTTTAATACGAAACCCACGCGAGTTTTTCTCTTTTTATTTTTTTCGTATACATCGAAAGTTTATAACGATTTTATAATATAATTTACAATACAATACTCTATATAAGAACGCTTAGGTATACATTTCCAATCTGTTAAACTCATTAATTGCGTTTCAATCAGCTGCACAGCGTCGAGATTAAAAAAGTTCAAAACTTAAAAATTAACAATCTCATACATTTTATAAAAACGAAAATAACGAAATGCTCGTTTGTTACACACAGTGTGTCTCGTTCAAATGATATCACAATAAATATTTATTTAAGTCTTTCAAAATGGCACGTGACACACTAGTGGGTTATGGTCTTAAGGTAAATTGCATATTTTTTCCCAAATAGATATAGTTTATCATTCAAAAACTATTATAAATTAAATAAAAAATCATTAAAAAAAAAAGTATCTACACATAAAATTGAAAAACTTACGACCACTATCTTCTATATTTATCACGCGTGATTTTCTGGAACGAGAAAAAGTCACCCAGAGAAATTATTAGTAAAAATATCCATACAAAAACCCTTCTTTCATAAGTCACTGATTGCTTTGCAATATATGCGTTTAAGCTTAATGCATCTGCGATATTTGTTGTAAAATATTATTAAGTATTAAATAATAATCACCTTAAAAAAAATTATTTGTCAAAGAAAAAGTAGTTCAAAGCTGAGACATGTGCCATGAAAACTTTATGAAAAACAAACAGGGTGCTGTGTTTAAAAAAAGGTTGAAACCCACTGATTTAGATGGCTGATGTACTTCGGACCATTTTTTAAATAGAAAAAATGTTAAAAAGTTGATGGTTTCAATCGAGAAAATGTAAGTTTGTAAGTATGTGTAAGTAAGTACCTATATGTAAATGCAAGTGTTAACATTTTGAAAATAGACTCAAGATGTGGATTTTTGTACCGCCGATCTTCCTGAACAAAAAAATAAAAACCCATAATATCAATTTATTTACGTAGGTCCGACTGAAATACTTCTCGTTTACCGTTCAAGTGAAACATCACACTGCAGTATAATAAACGCATCACACCACAAACTGCACGAGAAAACGAAGTATATTATTATTATACAAGAGAAAAAATTATTAAATTTGTATAATCACACATATAGCTGTTAATGCAGCAATCGAGCTAACAGAGTATAATAAATAATTAGAATATACACTATTAATAAAACACAGAGGGAAAATGTAAGTATTTAAATTATAATACCTACCTACTAGTTTTGTACACACCGTAGTCGTACGATAAACGTTTATTGTTATTATTATACAACACGGAGTTTAGAATTAAATGTTTTAAATCGAGCGTGTGTGTATGTAATTTTATAGTCTGACTGCTTTTTCCCACTCCAATGACATTCTTTTGGCCATTTAGAAGAAAAAAAATGCTTTATGGTTATTACCATTATTATAATATACGATTGCATACTATACCACAGCAATATTGTGCAGCGCACACATGTGACAATTTAACTAAACTACATGTGAGCATACTCGAAATTAATGCAAATAACACGAAAATCGTTACATTAAAAAAAAAAAAAAAACAAATGGATCAACCCAATTATTAAAACAGTATACTATGAAAACACACAATTAAACTAGTTTATAAAGGGTTTAATAAACAAAAAAAAAAAAAATGTTTTTTTTAATTCGTGTTATACTCCTTATTATAAACTATTTAAATTTGACTAATTCGAATATATTACGTGTACTTAATAAAAGAGAAAAACCAGCACGATTGTCGTATAATAAAATCCGGAAAAAAAAGTACCTAATATTTAAAATGTTATTCGGGAAAAAAAACTGCATGGCTATACATAGGTCCTGTGTTTATCTTAAAAGGTATAAAAAAAAAAATAAACCAACCGTAGGTATTATTATTATATAATCAAAACTTTTAAATTTATGTTTAGTTGAGAAAAAAAAAAAGGCGTTGTAAAATAAGACAAAATGGTTAAACAAGTAAATATTAAACAAGAAAATAAACTTTTTTTTTTAACTGTTTTAAAATGTATTCTATACAGGCAAAATTATTATAATAATATTCATTTCATACATAATATTATTATGTACAATAATTTGATCAGTTTAATTTCCGCGAAACAAATAATTACACCAAACCGCCAGCAGTACTGAAAATGTGTTAGTTCTTTAGTGTTTTTACTGATAATTTGATAACTGAGACGTCTATTTTTAAATTCTGCAGTTAGAAACAATTTTAGAAATTGTTCAATAAAAAAAATAGGGCTGAGACTACTTAACAGTATGGTTTTTAATCGATACGAAATCATAGAATTGAAGTGCACCCAAATGGTGTACCCGTCTGAAGTGTACATTTTGTAAAAAATGTATAATTTTACATAAGCTATGTAGGTTCTTGCAGATTTATGATTTTGATTAAAAAATAATTACAATAATAGCGTTTTTTGTTGATAAATTCGTCCGATAGCTGTTTTTGAACCCAAAAAAGTGATAACGGTTTTTTAACATCATATGACTGATTTTAAAAACAATTTTTGACTGCAAGTTTCGTTTTTTTTTTTTCTAGGTAAAAATGTTTAGTGAACATTTGTAAACAAGGATAAAAAGACACCGCTGCGGGCGGCAGCTGGTCGACTAAAACATAATATTATTCTACGCACCCTCGACAAAATTTCATTCTATACCCGTAATATATAATTTTGGAGATTAAACGAACCGTAAATTACTGTATATTATACTAGGTGTAATTATTATATACACATACAAAATAAACCGAAATGCTTTTGTATAATTTTCATAATGAATATTTTCACTTCCTGCCGACAGAAAACACATACCTACACAGTACCTGTACACAAAAATAACAAGTGCTCCATTATTAATTTTGTAACAATTATTTTATTAATTAATATAGGATTTTAGATTCTTTATAGCGGATGAATTATGATATACGACGTGCAGAGTTTTGTTTTCCGCCCAAGATACTTTTTAATTTAGTAAAAACCCTCCAAAACTTCCATCACACTGTAGTATAGGTATAAGCATCTTAAGAGGATGCTACAACCGTATCTACTGTCTTAGTCTAACTAATGGGCAATACGGAAAAATTAGGTTTCTCAGTACATGAATTGTGACGTTTATGTTGAAATTAATATTCTAACACAAATAACAAAATTTAAATATGACAACATCTTTAAGGGATGTTATAGGTACGCAGCTATTTTTCTGAAAAACAAAATGGTCATAAAACAAAGTTACAGTTTTTTAAAAAAAAAAAAAGAACCAACAACTGTATAACTTTTTAGAAAAAAATACGTACCCACCGTATTCTGAACAGCCCTCGAAAAATATTCTTCTCTGCCAATTTTTTTATTTGGGTTTAATCTCTAGGTTTAACCTAAACGCCATAATTTACGTTTTAAGTAACGCATCCTAGTAAAATAATGAGGGTATGGCGTCCCCATAAAAGACGTAGATTTTCGTGCCAGTGATACTTGAACTGAAACATTTTTTCCAGATTTCCAACAGTTCTAATACATCGGCCGTGTTCACTTTTATGTGAGCTCTGTCTCGAAATCGAAAAACAAACTCGTGAAATAATATTATCATTATATTGACACAGCATCCCAAGTCTGGCCACAATAATAATAATATGTCGTGTGTTTCTCGGTTGTATACTCGTATTTATTATATAGTTTATTTTCCCCCTCGACGATTTTCATTTATTATAAACAGGCACGTCGTTTACGAGGACGAAAAAATTCACGTTACGCAGGTATGTATAGGTATAATACGGAACGCGCGGTGCAGATACAATACTACACTGCAATAATGTCATATTATAGTGCGTACTATTATCTCAGGTGGTTTTATTTTTAAAAGGCCGACAGATGACAAAAAAAAAAAAAAAAATAAAAATGTTTTTAAAAAAAAAAAAAAAACCACGACGACGTGGTGATAATATTATAAAGGCGGCGGAGGCGGGAGAGACTGTCGCGCTCAAATACATTGTCACACACCAGGCGGCGGCGGCGAAGTCCGTTGACGCCATTCCGGTATTTATAGACCCGGGCGCGTATATATTGTGTGTATACACATATATATATATATATATATAAATGCATCTACTTCCGGACCGAAATCTTATAAAGGACCGAGCACACTAAGCCCGTCCGTCGTCTCGGTTCGATAATATAGTGACGGATCGGTGGCGTCGAAATTGAAACTTTGATCGCTCTTTACGCCGTTACCTATATATACATCAATTCGGGGCAATGGATTACACGCGCTAAAAATGGCTGACGAAATATTTTATCGCCCCTTACAACATAATCGCTCGTATGCGTAGTCGATCATGTGTTACGAGTTCAAGTGTCAACTAAGCACAGTTCCGTAGAAATGCATTGCATATTATGGTCTACAAACAGGTGACCGTCGTAACATAAAGTATCCTTCAAGTCAGGTGGTCAATCGCCTGCACTTAAAGCCACCCCGTGAATTAATATCGCGCACGGATTTCTTTTATGGCCGATTCAAAATAAATTAAAACTATTAATACTATAATTCAGAAACAGTAATCCTGCGAGCAACAATAATCGGTTTTTCTGAAGTCGTGGGTGTATGTTTTATTGGACTTATTTCGCCGATCTTCCAGGTTCAACGATTTTTGGAAACATCAAGTAAGTAGCCATGTTAAATTATAATAATAATATATAAATGACAATAACGATCTATTATTTACAATTTTTAGAATCAATCGCAATCAAGGAACCGAGTTACGGATTATTGAAGGTATTTCAAAAATGTGTCGAACAAAATAGTATTGATTTATTTATATTTGTATGCTAAGTTCGATTGTTTTCGATAGACGGACGGTGTAGTTTTTAGATTTAAACAATAATTATTGTAAAATGACAACGACATAAAACCATTAAAAACAATACTAACAATGATTAACACAATTAATAGGAATGTAAGAAATAACTCATTTTAAGGATATTTAATTTAAGTACCTAGTATCTAGTTTCAAAAATCAACACACAGCCTAAACCGCTGGGATTCGAAACATGACATTTTTTTTGGTAGGTACTTACCTATTTTATATTGTCGTCACTATGTGTTGTGACGGAGCGGAAAAAATCAGAAATATCAGATAAATATTGGACAAAGGAACTTTTAACTAAAGAAACGGGTGATGCAGCGAAACAAATTTTTCCGGACCCTACCACTGTGACGCTTATTGCCTCGGTGATACTCCACGAATATACCTGCAAGTATGAAGCGGAACATATTATAATAACTTCCGCAATATATTATAATCGGTTTTTTTTTTTTCTAAATCTTGTGGATAAGATTACATTACGCCGTCGAATGGCATTCGAGCTACCTATATACTGCGCTAGTGATGACAGGCAAAGGCAGTAGGCGTAAAGCGTACACCAATGTTGTACACGACGACGATATAATATAATGCAGTCAGATGGAAAACGTTATTTAATTTACTCGCTTAACAATATTTAACCGAACCGAACAGAACGGACTTGGTGTACTCGCTTCTCAAAACACATACGCGCCGTAGTATAGTAGAACAGACTAACGCCACCGTCACCGTATTTATTATAATAATATTCAGTGCACTACACCGGAATAGCCGCGTCCACCGCCACCGAATATACAGGACGATCCGCGCGTACTCGGATTTTCTCACGCGTTCAATATAATATTGTTTGTATTTCGTATACAACTCGACGTCGTATAATAATAATAATGCACCTACGCTTTACGTTTTTCGGCCGAACTTTATCTATTTTTTATTATTCCCCTATACATAAATATATGAGTTTCGTTCGAGGGTTTTTTTCGCACCCGACCATTTTTAAATTTTATAACGCCCTGAATATTTCAAGTGAAAATATCGATAATGTCTACTGCGTAAACATCAAATAACGGATCGATATATTATACTGCAGCTTAAGATTTATTTTACAAATATTTAAATCTCTATAGGACTATATTATTGTATATTATACAGTTCTTTTTGAATGGGTATATATATACACACACATACGAGTATAATATATAAATACTTGTCTGTATTTTCCTTTCATATAAAACTATACCACAATGTCCGTTACATGTTACGTATAAAAACACCAGTTTGCTACTACTCATGGGTAGGTCACTGTTGTAGGTGGGTAGTTGAGAAGGTAGGAAATACTTTAAATCATTTCAAACGAAAAACGATTATGAACGGAGTGGAGTTTTTTTCAAAACAACATAAAACTAAAAAAAATAACAACAAAAATGAAAAAAGGGCCAAGAAGGTGAACTGCTGAGAATGTACAATAAATATGTCTCAACTAAAATAAGGTAACATCGAGCAGAAAATTTGCATCGATTGAGGTAGGTACTGCGAGAAAAAATTGGTAAATATTAGGTGCATTTTCTTAAACAAATCATGAAAAATTAATTTAAAAAAAAAACCTGAATAATATTACAAATATAAAACAAAAACGAGTATGAATCATTCGGAGTATATAAGCCTCTCGTGAATATATATTATACAGTCATGTTATATAGGTTATGGAACGTACAAATTCACCGACACTGGACACCGTAATATAAGTGTCATCGCAAACGGTTAAAAACCAGTAAAATAATAATAGTAATAAAATAAATGTATATAAATACTATTTTAAAATACATTTTTCTTCGCTTTAAGTTTCTCGCGAAGGCAGCTATTTAAAACGGAAAACATGGTGTCAAATAATGCGCGGTGATGTGCTGACCCGGATAAACAAAAATTATGTCTTTTCACCGGAGGCGGTCGCCGCACGTGGTACGCGGAGAAAAGTATTATAATATACTTATATACAGTATAATTATTCCAAGGTATTGGAATTTTTCATAAAATCGGTAAACTTTTACTCAATATATGATCATGTTCTTGGTTGATTGGTTTTTTTTTTTTTGGCAAAAACACTACAATGGTAATTTTAAGCGCATAAACGTTAAATCGTATAATATTTAAAACGACACCGTAATCACTCGTGATGTTAAACCGACCAGTTTTTGTCTTTGATGTAACTTAATTGTTCGTCACTAGGAAAAAAAAAAAATACTCTGCTAATAAAATACGATTTATGTATGATAAGGACTATATCCTTGGTGTGCCCGAACGATTGTCGCAGTTACTCTGTTATAATACTTTTATAGAAACAACTTATTAAAAGTTGTGCCGTAACAATATATTATTTAGGTTTAGCGTTTTTATATTCGACATTTTACATAATTATAACAAAGGTAAATTATGGAAAAAAAATATATATATATCGACTTTATTTTTAAACAATAATAATTATATACGTGTTTGTTTAGAATATAATTTCGCTGTACTCCCCCGCTCTCTATAACCCGCATTGAACCTCTAAATATTTATTACAAAAAAAAAATATATCAAAATAATTCAGAGGGCGAAAAAAAACAAAAAAATGTTACTAAAATATTTTACGTGGATCTATATATATATGCATATTATTTTCGTTACTCGGTGCATATTATTATAGATGCAATCGGAAAAGTCGACACGCACCGTTTTTCAACCAAAAACTATATGACCTATTTTATACAGCTGGATTTACCTGGCACCACCACTTTAAGAAAAAAAAAATTGTGCCCCGACATTTTGCGAGGTGAAAAAAAATTTGTTCATCAGTGCAGGTGTCCGCGTAAATATTATTATAATAATGAGATATAATATAATACACGTACAATTATCGGCCGTTCGTTTCGCCGTTTTCGAACGCGTTTGAGTAAATATTATCATTCGCAACGGCCGTGACGGCGTAGGATTAGAGGTTAATTTTGCTAATGGCGTATATATAGCTGCATCAGCCTATATAAATCTTGCAACAGCATCAGCCGAGCTCTACACAGTAAATGCTTGCGATTGAAGTCCGCATTTACTACGTAATAGACATACACGGTAAACGAAAAAAAAAATGTGCGGTTGCTATGGAAATGGGCAAAGGCCCGCGGAGAAAGGACGGATCAACAACGGATAAAGGGAACTCGCCGCGGGTGGAAAGGATAACGAACCGTGGTGGGCACGCCGATGACGGACTCGGACTAGACACGGTGCGTCCGCCGGCAACAGGTAAGTTATTTCCAGAATGTTGAAACATCGCTTATAATGTTATTTCGGAGACTGCTGCCAAAAAATACTATGGGAAAATTGTTGTTGTAAAAAAAAAAAAAATTAGGTACAGACGCGCAACATCACAGACGAAAGTAGTATCAAAAAAAAAAAAAGATATATATATATATATATGAATATAAATAATATTTTGTTCATTTTGGTTTGGCTAGATTTCAAAATCTACAACCGAGACTACAACGAATTATAAACCTTTTTGAGGAAGTGCAGTGTCACCGAGGTATAATATTTTATAAAACAACATAACTATATTACGATCAAAGAATCGCTTTTTTTCCAAACGCAAAAACTATATTATATTATAATGTATGTCTGAAAACGACTTTATTTTTGTTTTGTTTAATAACCGAATAACCTATTTTTTTTTTTACTATAAATATACTGTACAGAAATGATATTATAATGAAAAAAAAAAATAATAAAAATTAAAAAAAGACGATGATATTGTTACTAAATTATTATAATGTTATTAAAGAATAAACAAGATCATAAAAAATTAACATGAATTAATCGTTAAAATCATGTAGATTGTGATAAAAAAAAAACCTGAATTGAAAAAATATCAATACACAGAATAATTTACCGAGAGATTGTTTTTTTGTAAATAGTGTGTATTAAATAATATATAATACTTAGGTTAAAATACAAAAGTAGATTAGATTATTATAATAAAGAATATATTTAACGTGAAAAACATTCGAAGAAAACTATCTGAAAAATCTTGTGTGAGTACAGGTAAAGGATCGAAATGATTAAAAAAAGAAAAAACGAATTCCGTATCTCCCCGTAATATCAGTGTAGCCGTCAGTGCATAAATAAATGTAGGGCGTGAAACACGGCGATATATTTTTTTCTTTCCGTTAATTTTTGTCATCAACCATAAAAGCTTTTACAAAACATCCACGAGGGTGTTCATCGTCCCTGTTTTTCTATATTGATTCAGGGGTCTTTTGTGTACAAAACGGGCGACAGCGTACGGAGGAGTTTTTAAAAAAAAAAAAAAAAAACACACACACACACACAATACCTGTATATAACTAAAAAGTATATACCGTCGAGGACAATCTTCTTTTAATCAAGTTTTCGCTCTGAATACAAGTGCTTTCCGCGTTGCAGCAGTTCTCGAATACGAATTTATAACAAACTAAAACGATGAGAGAGAGACAGGCTGATATTGCTGACGGGTGTGCCACTGTTTTAGAAGGGATATCGAGAGGGAGGATACATAGAGTAATTTAGTTTATATTTGTAGGCAACGATATATCATTGTTAATATAAAACGATTCTGATAATAGGACAGTCGTTTTTCTTTCCTTGTTGCCGAAGGAACCCAGAAATCAACATAAATAATATACAATCAAATTATCAGTTTTTCTCATTTATTAACAAAAGAAAACAATAAAAACCTCAATACAACAAACTAGACCAAAATATATGCTACAAGAAGTTCCTATAAAGTGTTTGATCGGAGTAAGGTTTTTAAAATTGAAAAGTTGTTTAAAGAAATAAATACAAAAATAAAAACATACTATAGGTATTAAACCAATAACATTTTTCGCTTTACTCAGAATCTAAAATACTCCTTTCCTACCATTTTCGGTCTGCGTAGTGGCGTTATAGCTGTTATTACGCGGTAGCCTCTTTTTTTATCAATATTATTTGTATAAAAAAAAAAAAAAAAAAAAAAAAAAACATGATTAATTAGTCAAAGAGCTCCGAAACTAATTATTAATATTATTACAAGCGATGTTGTCGCAGCTAGTATACGCGGGGGACGGTTGACAACGACCAACTGCTACAAGAACATGTTACAAACTTACAACTCGTAACAACAACTTAGATAGTTGTTATCTCATAAATCGCACACGCCAGCTAGGCATGGTGTCGTCGACTCAAGATAAAGCGTTCATATTTGTATATATATATAAATGATGATAAAAAATTTGACATGAAAATGTATAGTGCGAGAAGTTTTTTTTAACGAGATACCGGAACATAAAAAAAAAGATTAATATATAATTTATATGGGAGATGTTAAGCACTTTAAAAAAAAAAAATTAATATTATATTCAAGTCACATTATTGTTAGTAAAACACCTGCAGTATAAAAAGAATATCGCCTAAAAAAATAATACTCGAATATACAGGATGCTGTTACTAGTGTTTCTACAAGTATAGATGGACATAATTCATTAAAATATACTTTCAAAATCTTTATTAAAAGAACTGAAAATCCAAATCTCAACTCTAATCTCCGAAACGTATAGATATTCTAGATTAAGATTTTAAAAACTATGATTTAAAATCCTGCGTTACTCAATTAATATAAGTCTAAGTCTAAGTTTAATTTTTAGCTCGATAACTTTATCGGTACGATTATTTAAGCGTTTTGGTTAACAAAAAAATAATAATAATAATTAGTAGTTTGTATAATATAAAGATAATTTTATTTTCGTTTATATTTTAAGAACGAATAGAAAATATATAAATATCATCACTCTTCAGAACATATCAGTTATTTTAATTGAATTTTTGAACGTTTAAAACATTTGTGTTTTATTTGGAAACACAGTGACTAGTTTAAAACACTGCGAACCTACTCTGGCGTTCAAAATAACCAATTAATAAATAAATATGCAAGTAAAACGAGCATCGTGTTTTATTTTCTACAAACCAATTTAACAAAATTATTCGGTAATTGTGTGCGAAAAAAATATATATGTACAGTAGAAAATCGTAAGTTGCATGGAACGCATTTTTTAATTAATTTTTTTTTTTTGTTGCTCACGACTCATATAAATTGTTTATGTAATATAATTATTGCGGTTTATGAACTATACACCCGATACATTTCCAAAACGCATACGCCAAATATTAAATTACTCATCGATCATTCCATACGCGTTAATTTAATCACGCGAACACACGAGCACCGTCGTCGTCGAATCAGTCAAAACAAAATGTTACACCGGTGTGCGAATACATACAAGTCTGCATCACGTCTGCATCGTGCAGCAGCAGTACCGGCCCCTAGAGTGTGTTTTGAGGGATGGCACTGTTTCGGGACCGGGAAGAACAACACTCAGAAATATATATATAACATGATGTGCAGCGCCGCCGTTCGTATATCCGTCCCCGGGGACTGTCGGTCAAAACGACCGCACCGCGAACAATAGCAAATTGAACGATATTTTCCAACGTTATAATATATTTCATACAATAATGTATATGTATACACACATACCTTTTCTCATCGAGCCGAAAACAACAAAGGATATTCAAAATACTATTATTGTACCTATCGGAAGTTATATTTCAACGGGGTTTTCGAAAATTCCACGTAAAACGTCAAAAATAACATATTATTATTTCGCATAGTACCTGCAGGAAATATACACTTCCTAATACGGAGAATACGGCCAGAAGATGGCCCCGTAATAAAACCAATACAATTATAATATACTATAAAATACTGTACAGACGAAAAGAGCCTTCCGAGATAAAAGGCGTATACTCACTACTATACCTAATGCTAATAATCTAGTGTTGGTTTAACCATAAGACAGAAACGCATAAAAATCCAGCAGCGTAGACGTTTTTTTTCCTCTTTGAGGCTTATCAAGTCTTTTTTTAAATTTCCCCGCGACACCGCCAGTATACGAGTTATTTACATGCATTCTCTTCAACAGCACATGTACAAGAGCTCTTACAGTACTAATCCGTCTATGCGCCACTGTGAAGATGTATGTACGGAGCGTGACACTAATTGCAGGTTACAAAACTAACGGCTACTAGCTCCGTTATAAAAAGTAAACTGGAAGCCTTCGCGAGTTGCGGCACTTCAGAAAAATTCCACGCCCCGCTGAATGAAAGAATTACAAACGAAGGGATTTTATGAACTGCAGAATAAAAATGGCAACAATATGGAAATACGCGTTCAATCCGGAAGAGATAAGAGATGATAGGGCAACGTAATTAAAGAACGAAAGCTTACTAAAAATAATAATTGAAAGAGATGCTAGAGGATAAGCGAAAACACCAATAATTATGGACTGATGAATTATGAAATATTGTGACCCAAATTACGCAAGGATGTAAAGGGAAAAATACAAAAGATCTAAAATAACTGAGGTAAAACAAAAGCAAGGTAATTATGTAGTTGCAAAAAAGTAATCTAAGAATTATTAACAAGGAAACGAATATAATATTATTACGAGTATTAATGACGGAAAATACAAGTATGCAGAACTTTTAAAAAGTATTTTAAACCTTGTTGGTATAATTATATTCTATTATATTAAACGCGGCAAAAGATGCGAAAATCGAATATTCGCGAGTATAAATGTTCAATATACATGAGAAACAAAGTTATTTCGTCGACAAGCACACACTGTAGCTCGGGGCGGGCTCGCGATAATTAAATTTCATTCTTTTGTGCGCGTATCATCGAAAACGAATTGATATCACCCACACACCACAGCTACTGACGTGTAACGACTTTACAAAATTATATGATGCCTTTTGTTTACCGCCCCCTTCCGGAAAAAATAGCAGTAGAAGATAGGTTTTCGAGTTTTTATATGTTTATAGATAGACGGCAGTGTAACACGAAAAATCCGAAATTCACTTGGCACATATATCTATAACAGTATCAGTTTTTCTCTGCTACAATATCTCCTCCTCATTCTCTCCTTATTTCTGTTTCTCTTTCTCCGTGATAAAAGCTCTACGCGTTTATTGTGCGTGCGTGTTACTGCGTACTGCGGTATAGAAAACAAAAGCTACCGTTATACACGCCACTACACACCCACCAGTCTTTGTCAATACTATATGTGTGTGTGTGTGTGTGTGTGTGTATATGTGTACGCACAATACGATGGGGATATTATTTATACCCCGTGTAAAACACGACTTTCCTTCTAAGGGATTATTGCTATTGTGGCGAATGAATACGACGACGACGAACATATAACCAAAAAAAAAAAAAAATCATATTTATATATATATATATATCATATATAGTGACGATCTTGGTGTGTAAATCAAGTGGCGTGCAATTATAGTTAAGGGGCACCCTACTTCCCCGCGCCGTCGTCCTATATACATATTATATACGAGTACGATATACACCGAAGAGAAATAACGCGATTGCCTGCAGAAAACTACCAGAAACGATTTCTTGAAATACGTCCGCCCCGCCGTCCCTCTCTTATATATACTATAGTAATATAAAGGAAATGTATTCACGTGAAATGTAGTACCTACCTATATAGAGAAATGTAAGTTTGACGATAATCTTTACTTCGACTTGTTTTTCCTTCGCTGAAATGTTCACAGTGGTCGTTGAAAATTCAGAAACTATTATTTGTACATTATATAATTAATGCGTATACATGTTTGAAAATATTTAATTTTTGAGAAGTTGTTGATATAATTAGATTCGACGTTTTATAAAATCCAATCAAGAATATTACTACCGTTTTTATTGTAGCTAAACTCTATACACATATATATATATATATATATATATATAATATCAATACATTTTGAAAATAGTTTAGATAACACCCGTGAATTATAAAAGTATAAAATGAAAATATTCTATAACGCAATTATATAGATAACTTTTCTTCCCCTTCGTCAATATTCTCTTTATTTATTATATATTATCTACGGTCGTCTAAAACTCTATTAAAAATAATGAATGTTATTTACAGGTTTCGTAACAAAAATATAAGTCGAATATATATTATGTTAATACTGGATAGAAAAACAATTTGAAACTGTTGAAAATATACGTTACTATAGAACCATATGATTTTGACGTATTGAATATAGTAGCTGTTTTAAAACCTAACAAATAATATTTTTAAACTATTTTCTGAACGATTAATGCTGCTTTTGCATTAATTATTACGTTCAATAATTCCCAAATTAAAGCGATTATTTGACAATATTATCAGCTAGTAATTTTATTAAACGCGTTGAACCGATTTATTAAAATACAAAAGACCGGATTATTTCGATTGTTCTTATAGTGTATATGAGATTAAATAAATAAAATAATTATTTGATTTAAAACGATAACATGCTCGGGGAAGTCTAATTTATTATAAACTTAACATTAAAAAAAAAAAAAACGTATAATAAAAACTTGAATTTGAAAAAAAAAATATCAAGTGTTTCATTATTATTCCGCGTGCCTAGATTTCAATGATAAATACGTAACAATAATTTAACGAGCTTTTGTATGTTTATACCTACGTAAGTACCAGGCTATTGTTTGTATTTACTTTTTGAGCAATTGTATAGCGAAGAAAACAAAGCAAACATATAATAGCTCGGTGACGCGAAATAATGAAACTTTCTAGAAACACGAGTACAAATTATTATTAAAGTGTTGCGTTCTCTAATTTTCGGACGTACCTACACTGCGAGAATGTAATATATATATATATATATATAGGTCAACTACCGTATTTTAATTGAATCGCCACGTCTAAAAATTAAAAAATTATGATACTAGTATAGTTTCTTTGATTTAAATTTCGTATAATTTGCGAGAAATGTACTTATATACTAACCTAAATACTAATATTGGTTATAGTATGATGTGTTTTGTCTGTAAACAAATTTTCTACGCCAGAAATCTCACTACAATCAAACACTTTATAGAAATAACTTATGTACCATTTTTGATCTAATTGGTACATTGGGTGGATCATTATTTGATTAACCTTATAGTTTTGTTAACAAATGGAGACATGTTTTGTTTAATTTGAATGCTGGTTTCTTAGTTAACCTGACAACACGAGAAAAAATATAACTAATAATATTCCGCTCAGAATCGCTTTGCGTTGTTCATCGTTGCGTACAGATATAAATTAAATTACTCCACACGTTCTTTCTTTCAACTCTCTTTCTATAACAGGACACACCCATAAGCAGTATCAGTATTTTTTTTTTTTTTTTTTTGATAGGCCTGTCGAAAACTTTATTTATTTATTTATTTATTTATTTATTTTTTGAAAACTTCATCATACAAAAAGTTTTACCTATATACTGCAGCTGAAGAGAGAGAAAAAGGGATGCATGATGCTGACAGGAAGCGCTTATATAATATTATATAGCTGTTGAGAGTGTACAATTTAATATAATATATTTCGCCATCAAGTAGTTCACAAAATTGGGGACGACGACAGCAGGAGACGATGACGACGATATCCGGTGTCCGAATAAACCATCTACTGCAAAGACGATTCGTGCGAGGATTGCAGTGGTAAACAGACAGCACACGGAACTAAAGGGCGGAAGTTTTTATATATATATATAGGAGCTTTCCGAGTTTTCGATTTGTGTCCGACTTTTTCCGGATAGTACAACAGTGCTGTGCAAAACACACGAGTGCACTACTACAACAACAATACGCGTACGTATATACGGCCCGACAACGACGAGCAGTCAACAACGACGGTTTTGTTTTCTCCCCCAGCGGTTTTCGATTCGTCTTTCCGGAAAAAAAAAAATAAAACACAAAAGAGGAACGGAAAACATGACAAAGTCAACAAGGCCGTCGTCGAGTGTCTCGTCTTACCTTAAGAAACAGCAGCTGCTCGTCCTCGGTCCCGGCATCGTCAGCTTCTTTTGCCACCGCCGATGGTGCCGGTGCTTTTTCGGGGCCGGGCGGCACACCACTTTCGTTCATGTTTGCGCTCTCTACTCTTCCCCGTCACCACTGCCACCACCGAAACCGGCCGTACGAGACCCTCTCCGCCGTCAGAATTTCAGTGGCGGCGCAGAGATTCTTTAATACGATAAATATACATACATATATATAAGTACACGCCATCATTATCACGACACAACAATAGATCTGTTTGTTTTAACAAAAAGTGTACACTTTTTCGCATCGATTTTAGTATTCGACACATTTTTCGGTGTAAATAATGTATTTCTCATCAAAAGTGTACATTTTTTTTTTTTTTTTTGTCACTAACATAGCTTATGTTATTACTATTATAATGTAATAGAGTTAAGATGTTTATGATTACACATGAGTGGTTTTTCAAGAGTTTTTTGATGTTTAAGGAGTACGATTATAAGGTGTACGACGACATAACCATCATTTTTATAAGGGCTGAATTTTTTGATCAAACTGTAGAAAATAATATTGAGTTCATGTTTTTTACAGCGGTTAAAAATATTAAAATAACTATTAATTCGGTTAGAATTGTTTCCGAACATTTAAATAATATTAAGAATTTTATAAACAAAGAAAGAAAATGTCCAAATTAAAAATCTCGGAAGACTGTTTATAATAAAGCAAAAAAAAAAAAAAATTTAAAAAAAAACGCTTTTAATTTAATATTCTACCTATAGACAATAGGTGCCTACTGTTATTGTATTTTCTTAAAAATGATTATGGTTGGTTTATTCATGTTATACCTTAATAGAAGCAGATTTTTCACCTAGTGATAATTTTACTTCCAATTTTTTTCCGAAACTCCAACTGTTTTTTCGAAAAATTGCTTTTTATACCCTTTTTTTTGGCGAGTAGAAAGCTTCGATTTTCTTACGTAGTACTTTAAAAGATGTGGAATTTTCAACCAGTAATTTTTATTTTACATGAAAATGGTTTCTACACTCCTAAAAGGAAAACAAACCATCATCATTTCACCGAGCTCCACTCTGAATCGCGTTTTGATTACAATGATTTTTCGTTACATTATTCATTATATTAACTGAATTACACTACATTCCAATTTAACCGTCTCGCATGGCTTTGCCCGTACACAGTATAATTGAATGAAAACAATTTTTAAAAATGATAACATGTATCTATGTGTTTCTCCAACTGTACAGGGGCGTGAACTGTGAACCATAATTAATTTTCGTTAAATAATTAAATAAATACAAAAAATGTTAACGCATTTATGTATCTATTTTCCGGTCATATGTAGTATGTAATGTAGCTGTTTTCGTTCAGCGCATATTATTATATACTTCGTAATTCCTTTTTTAGCGCATAAACATCCTAACTCTATATAGTTATAATATTGTTATTAATTTTCTAGGGACGAATAAATGTGAAAAAAAAAATCTTGACCAAGATGCTTTAAATAATAAAAAGTCGACTATTATATTTTGTGAATTGAAATAAAAATTTGTATCAAAAGAAAAAAAAAATTCCACGGAAAATGAAAATCGTACCGTCGCCGCTATATACTCATTTATATATACACAAAAACAAAATAAACACAAAGTTTATACTACACGTCGTCCGAAACACAGCTGGCCGAATACAATAAATTTTTGTCCGAAAATATTTTTAATTATTCGTACATGGAGTTTTCATTCAGAACACGGCCGGCCGAGGGTTTGTTTCTTTTATTCCGCAACGCGAATAACATTATAACCCGGTGAAACGAATATATTATTATATAAAAAAAAAAAAAAACAAAAAACACCCGCATAATACACATAACAAACAATAAGAGAACGAATAAATATAACAGTTTTCTACGATATTTGTTGAAAGCGACGCGGGAAAAGAAAAAAGAAAAATACAAATAAACAATGAAAAACGTTCTCGCGTTTTCAAAATCGTAATTACAATAATGTACAAAAGGTAAAATAAATGCCGCGGTCTAATTTGTTCAGAAAAAAAAAAAAAAAATGTCTTCCAAGTCGTAAAATGTTTATATATTGTATGTACACGGGTTGTATATTTGCCCGACGAATATAATAATATTATATAAACATAAACGTAATTTCTATAACAGCGCACAACACTGCAGCAGCTGTACCAATATTTATTATTTATTCAGTCGCCGTAAAAACAATATTGCATTATACTACTACACCTCCTCCACCGTAAATTCGATAAAACACAAATAATATTTGTAACGCGGCAGAAAAAAAAAAAAATAACAAAAACTTCCGATTTGTACAAACTGCGCTGCAGTGTCAAAACACATTTCCAAGATAAACGGCCGCGCGCGCCGCAAGATTTACACGTATCGGAATCAATTCCGCCGCCGACGGTCGATTTCGACAAATAATAAAAAAAAAAATAATAAAAACCCCATCCCGCTCGCGTGTTTACATCCCACGTTTTTACCGCAGTATTATCAAATCGGTCGAACGAATAACGATTCAACTGGCTCGCGATAATAGTATTTTAATAGTTTTATTTGAGCACCAAGTGCCAAGTGTCAAGAAAAAAACCTGGAATGTAATACAAATCCGGATCCCGGGTTTCTGCCGAAAGATTTCGATCGGTTGTCTGTATCCGTGGACTACTGGAGTATAAAAATCTGGATACCGCACTTGTACGTCCACACTTAGAAATTCCGGGAATTCACGGATTATTATTACAGATGCAGTATTTGCAAAAACGGCAATAAATTCGGTATGCGATTAATTATGAAAAATTATTTGCAAGAGGATTATTATTAGAGTATAGTGATATATCGAAACGAATTTATCTTTTGGTAATACCGTCGTGACGTGACGTGACGTGACACGTATAAATCGATGCACAAATATTTTAATAATAACATAAAAACATCAAATTCAACAGCGGCGCGATTTCAATATTGAAATAATAATTATTGCCGAATTTCTGACGGGACGGTATTAACCTTTCAATATATACACAACACAATATAATGTAGTAAATTAATCTGACAAAAATCCATAATGAAAAAAAAAATAATGATATTACAATAATATATCGATTATAATAATAGAGTTGTGCATTTATTGCTTCTTATTTTTTTTTTTTTAGCTTATTATGAGACATTTTTTATATGTACGAAGTTCGAATAGTTGTTTAATAGTATGTATAAAGATGAACCTAGTTTAGAAGCTTTTACTTTACTTTTTTGGTCAAGTTTTGAGTTTTTATTAAGTCTATTTTCGCCATTTTTAAATTATTATTTTTATTTTAAATTTTAAACACAACAAAAAACGACAATTTGTTCAACTATTCTCGTTTTTGTCTACTTCAAATACAATATGGACATAAAAATTAAAAATATACAATTATATGTTACGGTTTAGTTTAGTATATTTTCAAAATGTTGATTTTTATTTTATTTTTATTATTTTCAAGTTCATTTAAATTTGAGCCATATTTTAGAATATTTAAGTATTTTTCGGCGAATTAAAATTGCATCCCTGTAATATTGTAATATTAATAAACGAGAGCTGCGATTGGTAACATTATAAACTATTTTACTAATACAAATAACTCAAAGGCAACATACATGTATAGTAGATTCTCGAGCGGCAAACGTGTTTCAAACGCTTGAATATAATTAACTAATAAAATATTTAACTATACATAATTGTTGTATTAAACGCGCATAACAAAAAAATGAGTAATGTCTGATAATAATCAATAATATCTGGTTACAAACAGAGCAAACGTTGCTAATGTTTGCAACGCCCTTTAGCTAAACGGATACACTGAATCTCTCTCTGTTTTACGACGTTTGCCGCTTGTAAATTTACTCACGGGTACGGTAATGGTAATTTTATCATAGATATACAGATAATATACAATTGACAAATTATTATAATCTAAATTTGGCGACTTTGCATTCGACCTGAATAAAAAACATATTATAATATTATAAACTAATAACTATATATGCGCGTGTGAAGTACACTGCAACCTATAATAGTTTGGCCTTTAAAGCGTATATTATAATAATATGTTAATTGGCATTTCCGCAGTAAAAAACAATACGACTATACGTAGTGGGTATATTTTAAGTATAGAACAAGAGGAAACAAATAATAATAATAATAATAATAATAACAATAATACACCACGAATTATTATAATAATGAATGGAGTTAAGTTCACGCACGCACAAACGCGCTGAGAAAATATTATTCAAAAGAAATTACCGGTGTTTGTGTTGAATTTCAAATGAAGTTATAATTATTAATGTAGAGACGACCGATGTCGGCCGATATACTGGACGGACGGTAATGATAATAATAATAAACTGACACTGCTGATGGACTTGCCACTGTTATAGAAGAAAATTGGATGTATAGAGCAATTCAATTCGTATTTTTACGCATCAATAAACTACCACTAACGTAAAACGATTCTGAGCGGAGTATTTGCTGTCGTATTTTGTCCCCTTGTCGCCAACCGAGAAATCCGCAAAAATTGCATACAAAGTTATGCCTGATTTTTCCCAATTTACCTGTACTAACAAAACTTCTAGAAAAGTTACCGATCGACCTCCTCAATAAACTCCGTCTAGTTTAAAAATGAAATACAAGAAGTAAGATTCCAAGACCAATAAATTCCCTCGCATTCGCCACAGAATCTAAAATAATACGACCGTCGTCGCCGGAGGACGAGGCGAATAATAATCGCGATATTACAATATAATAATTACGTTTAAAAAAAAAAAAAAAAGAAAAAAAAAAAAAGATTTATAAATGACGGAAGGGGATAATGTGGAAAAAGTGTATAGGTATCGGCCGTAGCGGGATGGAAATCTCGTTTAAGAGACGTTATTACATGCGTGCGGATAGGATATGTAGTCCGAGACGTCACCATCGCGCGCGTCCGACCGCGTCGTCGCCGCCACCGACGCCGCGAAAAGGAAAAATGTGTTCGCGCCGCGTATATCTCCGATTGTTTTTCACGTCACGACCCGCGGAACGCCGAAACACAGACGAGAGAGAGACAGAGAAAAAGAGAGATTGGCGAAATGATGTGTCCGTTCAAAGTGGATTACTGTAGCGCACCGACCAATTTCGTTGTCTATTTATCAAACGGCGGTGGCGACCGCGGCCCGAAGACGCGGACGGAACGTGCGGGAGTCTAATGAAACGGCGGAACCGGAGTGGGTTGGAGAAAGGGGAACATGGAGGAGGGATCCGGTGTGTTTTTTTTTTTTTTTTTTTAATCCTCGCGTATATAATATATAGACGAGGACGACGCGGTCCGCGTGTAACCGTTTCATCAATATATATTATAAAGGGTGTACGCGCAAACACATAATATAGACACATATTATACATATATATATATATTCCTATACACACCCGTTCGGAATGCTACGGTTATCGCACACGTACGAACATCGCGCGCATACGTGGAAATGATATTTCGAGAGGACGCGCTAGGGTAGGTATGGCAGGTATCGTGTAATACTTGCGGGCGGTGGTGCCGCTATTTATATTATTATTATTATTATACGTATATGTGTACCGGCTGTATAGCTATAGATCCACTTTCGCGGCTTAGCGCCTTTTATTAAGTAAACTGCTCCCGTCCCCGCCGCCGCCCGAAGATAACGGGTATCGCGAACAGAAGTAAGTATAAGTATATAGGTTTATATAATAATAATAATAATAATAATAATAATAATAAGGCATGCGGCAGGACGGGCGAGAGAAGAGAATAAAGGTCGCAACGTGTTGTTTGCCTGCAAACGCCAAGTGTTCGCGCGTGTACCGCATACGAATCGGGACTTTTGCAACAGTCCCGCGCACTTTGCCCCTTACCCCCGGACCCTCCTCCGCCACCACCTTAATCTCCGTCGCCGGCCGGCAGGACGACACAGAAAGAGAAAGAGATACGGGGACGAAATGACCGTGGCGTGTGCACGCGGGACGTGCGTAAAGCTCATTGAAAACAGACCGACCGCCTTAAATGAAACTCGCGGTAAATACGGTGATAATGATTATATTACACCAGGCCGCGAAATTGAACGACCGTTACACCGGAAACTCTGACGACGACGACGACGACGAGAGGATCCTATACACTCGTTCAATTAAAAGAAAAAGCATCTCCTCGTTTTTACTACCTATCTACGTACCTACCGCTATTGTTACGCCGTACACATTATGTACTGTTGCAGGATCGGTCCGTTTTTATGTATTTAATCCGCAAATACAGCATTCCCCTCCCTAAAAATTTCCGATGCGTCGAGTGCCCGTGCAAAATTCGTTCGTGTAATATACAATCTAATAGATACGGTTATTTTCATTTTTAATTATAATACGATAATACAGCGTGAATTGCATAGCTTTTTAAATCATTCGAAAGGCCGTCGACGCCGCACGCAAATAAACAAATCCGATAAAAGGGCCGATATCTAGTGCTGATGGATGGGAAAATTAAAAGCGAGAATATACCTATAGAGTAAAATTTAATTTAGATCTGTACACAACGATAAACTATTGGTAACGAAAAGCGATTCTGAGCAGAATATAATAAGTCGTATATTGTCTATGTTCCCGAGGTTACCAAGAAATCAATCAAAAATTTATAAAAAAATTCCCAATTTCTCCATTTATTAAAAAAAAAAAAACTACGACAAAAATTAAAAATAGATCCATCTTATGCATCAACTTAATGAAATATTTAACAAGAAAATAACTATAAAGTTTTTTTATTGAAGAAAGATTTCTGGTAAAAAAAAAAGTTGTTTACAGATGCACAGAGGTGGGTTTAAAAATTAGATGACACGGAGGAGACTATAAAAAAATTCAAATGCGCTAAATATATGCATATAATACGATTCGTAATTAATATAATTTAGTATTTATATACTAAAGGCCCATACTGCAGACAAACACAAAAAAGCAAAACGCGGTAAAACAAATACATTCCTCGTTTCGTTCCGAATCCAAAATATGAGAATTCGCGAAAAAATATTGTGCTTATATATTTTGCATTGCAATGACAGCGGTCAATATGAAAAATATCATTTATAATTTTAAAAATAAAATGCAATAATGGCGAGTATATTTTAAAAGCAAAAGTAATTATATTCAGTAATTTAAAAAAAAAAACCTTACCCGGCAAAAAACAGTATATGCGTTGAACCATATTGAATATGACTTTTAGTTGAAAATAATTACTTAGAATTAATCAATATTTTTGGATGACTGTATATTATTGTACTAAGTGCACTTGATAATTAATAATTGTTTTAAACTCGACAGAATAACATATAATAAATTAAATAGCAATAATATATAATAAATCAATCGCAAAAAAAACTAAATATAAGATTGTTTATTTTAGATTCTGAGCGGAGTGATACATTGTATTGGGTTTTACACTTATAGAACTTTTTTTAACAGGAAATTTAACTGGGGTGGTACTTCAAGGAGGTATATTTTTTTTTCATTTTCCCAGGGGTTTTCATAATAAATAGGAAAACCGGGAAAAAACGCAGGAAAAACGGGAAAATTTAGGAGATGAATTATTCTCAAATCGTAAATATTACGGCCTTTCAAAACATGTATAATCTCTCCGCTCAGAATCGTTGGCAAAGATTAATTGTTGCGTAGAGATATAAATTAAATTCTACTTTATATCTTCCTTCTATTCCGAACTCTATATATTTCTAAATGGTAAGAGTACGCAATTGTTTTTTTTTCTAAAACACTTGAACATATAATTTGTATAACATAATACTAAAATACCGATGAAAATGTACAGAATTTTATTTTGATGTCAATTGCATAATGCCGCGCCTGCCGTTATCCATAATAATATATTATTATAATACTTATATTAAAACATAATCTTTTCGTTCTTTTCCAAATTGAAAACGCACAGAAACAGGTGAATTGCCTATACGAGACGCCGCGGAATCCCTTGAGAAACTGGCAGTTGACGATATTACCAATAATCCCTATTTATATAACTCTGCGATATGTCTATATCCCTATCGATATCACATGCATAATTTGGTTTTTCATAAACAGGACCGTAAGCCTGTGATGAACCCTAATATAACTCCTAGTTATAGAACATTATAAATAAGAATATATTATATAATAGTTATGATTAAATTATACTATATTCATGGAAATGTATTTTACTACTTTTTTTATTTTAATATTAATAATAATAATTAAAATTATTATTAACTAAAGATTAATGTAACACAACTTTTGAAGATCCATACGTATGGCATTTAAACCAGAAAAAAAATATATTAGACAAAATTACTTTTAAAAAAAATGACAAAAATTGATTTAAGTTCTCCTACCAAAAATATTAAGGTCAATAATCTATTAAATGCATTGTGAATGTATAAGAGTTTGGTAAATCCTCAATCCATGAGTATTATTATTTTAATGTTAAACAATTTGTCTGAGCACATTTGACTAGGTAGTTATTATTAAAAAATATTTTACATCACATACATAATTATAATTACTAAACTCGTCTCATTTAAAATTTATTTAATAAACTATTATTCTTATTAGTATTTAAAGTAGAACGACTGAGAAACGTTTCATTCAAATTTCGATACAATGCGTCAATATTTTGAAATTTGCATTAAAACATGAAGGTCCTAATTTGAAAAATTAAAGTTGGAATCATCAAAAAGTATTCCTTAAATTGTATGCAAAGTCTGAGTATTCAAAAATATTGTTTTTAACTTCACTTAAAAATTCCGAAAATCAGAATTTTAGTATAATATGCATAGTTATCAATACATATGAGATGAGCATGCTTAAAAATCACCCTCATTTTAAAATTAAAATCGGAAAAAACCAAATTCGTTAAACAGAAATAAATAATTGTAATGATAAAAATACAGGGATTATTATAGTACATTATATTTTTTAAAACTTATATCGTTCAGAATTTGGGATAATGTCATTAACACCAGAGACTACAATAATATTAATATGTTGATGAACCGGTAGTTTACCACTATCAGTAGATCATTTTGAAAAAACAAACAAATATCTAAATTCTATCACACACTATTATATGAGATTACATTTACTTTGCAACACATTCGTATAATATGTATAATAGTATAGGACATTAAATACAATCGACAACGTTAATTAAACCACCGTGCGGGCAAACCGTAAATTTTTTTACAACGCAAACTTTTTCCCGCACAGTTCGGAAAAACCCTTCGGGTTCTTGGCACGGGGTAATAATCCCCCCCCCCACTAACGTCAGCTTGTCCATAAATCAGAGCATCCCCCTAGAAACCCGTATAGGTACTGGTGCAGCAAAGACTACACGATGGTCGACTATAGCCGGTGTGAAAGGATTCTTTTATCATCCTATATTATCTTCGGAAGTTTTTTATATACGCGCGTGGGTAGTTATTTACTGAAAAAGGATCGTTTAAAAAAAAAAAAACCTAACCTATAATTTATACATAAACCATTAAACTTTCAAGAGCCACCGAATACCACCGTATGGAGATAATAATTATTTAGAGGCTGCGAGACGATGACGTAGTAAAAAATACATACTTTACTATATATTTATCCTTAATCAAACTTTGTTTCCAAATAAACGATAATATTATATAGCCTCTGTGTGTATAATAATATTATGGTATAATACTCGTATATAATAATGTAATATTTTAACTGAATAATCGCTTTAAAACTTAAGAAGTTGCTCACTTAATGATGGTGTATACATTATTATTAAATTAAAAACGAGTATACGGTACGTCGAAACAATATGTTTGTGAAATATTTATGTATGAAAATGTACAATTAAAATTATAATATAAACTCTGTATATGGTACACGCGCATATTATATTCCTTATAGAATTTTCGTCAGCAAGATAAGTCGTGTTTATTTATATATATATTTAATTTATATCTGTACTTAATGATAAACCATTACTAACAAAAAGTAATTCTGAGCAGTATATTATAATATTTCCCTTGTTTCCAAGGTAAACCAAGAACCAATAAAAACTATAAGAAAAATGGCCCGTTTTTCCAATTTATTAAGAAAACTACAGAGAAAATAAAAAGTGACTTCTTAATTGTATCAACTAGATTAAAAATTTGACATAAATATTAACATAAAGTTTTTGATTGTAGCAAAATTCCTGAAAAAAAAGTACATAGCCCACTTTTCTCAGAATCCAAAATCATATAAAAGATTTTATTTATTAGTAATTTAAAAAGCTAAATAAATATCTTTTATTATGCTTAATTTTCCAACATAAAAATGTAGAGATACAAAAGTAAATGCCTATATTATACTATCAATGTTTCTCATAATATCTATGTATTAACTATATGAATAGTCATAATATTGACGTGGAGTCCCAAAAAGGTGTTCGAACCTCTAGGCTGTTATCAAAATTACTCTGGTACTTGTACTCATGAAAAATTAACATCCTCTTCGTTTTTTTTGATTGTTTCAGCTTATAGAAAATTATTTATAGTTTAAATGATAATAACATATTATTATATAACTGATTACGATTGTAATTGTATTATAAAACTAATTTATTAATATTTGTAACTGTTCACATACACACTGAGAAATTATTTTACGCATGAATACAAACAATTTCTTATTTCTTATAGTACCCCTACACGAAAACAGCGTATAGTAGTTCTTATTAATGTAAATAAATCCGAATCAACTGTAAATGATATATATAAGTATATGTGGCTAAATTTTGGCATGACACAATATTCTCTAGGTTGAGTTGTTATATACGCTACAAATAAGAGAGAGAGACGGAAACAGAGTGAAGACGAATATTAATTTTCCGTTCGCAATTCACACGGCGCCACCGAGTGGATGGAAACACGTTTTTTTTTAATAAAACGAGGTTTTTATAAGATTGGATATTGTGACTGTGTGATGTTTTCGAGTACACTAACGCAGAAGAAAAATCGAAAAAACACTATTATAACAGACATAGTAATATAATGTATAAATGCCGATTCTGCAGTAATGCGTTTTAGGCACGATGAATAGAACTTGTCTAAAAAAAAAATATACAATGATGTATAATACCGCGACTAATCTAAATTATAATAATATGTATAACCATTAAAAAAAAAAATGTAGGTACCTATAGATCTTTGGTAATATTTGAACACATTTTACATCACAACACATTAACGGTTATTTCAATTTCCCCCCACCAAAAAAAAAAAATCACAAAGAGAAAAGGTTATTAGTTAAGGTTTAAGTCTAAAAACACAAAAGATAAAGTACAAAAACAAAACAAAAAAAACAATAGTGTAATTTATTTCTCCTTTGGGCCGAATAACCAGAGTAGAAAACAACACGAAAAAACAGTAATAAACGTAAGTCATTTGAAAAGAAAACGCTTGTCACAAAAAAAAAAAAAAAATAAATAAAATTCTTAATGATATTGCTAAATGATAATAAAAAGTGATCTATTTATCCGTTAATAATATATAGATTAAGGGTATAATGTAGCAACAGATTATAATATGTAATGAGGGTTGTATTTGCTCCGATCAAAAAATTAATAGTACTTTTCTCGTAACGTTTTTGATCTAGTTGGTGCATTTAAAGAGTTATTTTTAGATTTCCTTGTAACTTTTCCTTGTTAACAAATAGGAAAAACTGACAATTGTTCATAAAATATTTGTTGATTTCTAAATTCAATGGCAACAAGCTAAAATCAAAGCTAATAGTACTTTGCTCAGAATCGTGTTTCGTTAAGTTTGCCGTTGCATTTTTATAGACATAAAGATAATGATTTAATTTATAATAACATAGATATAAATTCAATCTGTCTATAATTCAACTGTCCTCCCTTCCTAAAACAGTGGCACGACAATTAGCAGTATCAGCGTTTTTTTTTATTTCACGATTTTAAAATCCTGAATTTTTAGAATAAAAAATCATTTGAATTTCCTTGTGGATATATAGTATTATTCGAATAAACTATATTTTCAATGATAAACAATACCGCAACACACGATAACAAATATTTAACATAAGTATGCACAAAACCCCGAATGAAAAGAAAACAATATTTTATAATATATTTATATAGTAGGTATCGTAATAAAACAGAATCCGAGACTGAAAGAGATTTTGATAGAAGAATATAAAGAGGAAATTATTTTTTTCGTGACGATAAATTTTTTTGTTTATTTTTTCCAGATAAATAATAATATCTTCAGTGACTTTTTTTTTTTAGTATTCAATATAGTTTAAATTATAATAATTTAATAAATATTATAGCGGATTATAGCGAGGAACTTTATGTGTATACAATTTCTTTAAAGTGCAATATTATGTATGAAATCCGGTCAAAAAGGACATGATAATATTTTTTACGAAGTTTCCAAAAAATAATAATCCCAAAACTCACAATAAACTGCCCGGGTAAACGCGGCCTGAGTCGTTTATATACCGTCCAAAAGTTTTTGGGCACGTGTTAAATTAATTAATTTCCGGTACCTACCGGGACTTTTTGTACAAAAGGGAGCGTATAGTTCGCGTTCAATCATAGCTGCTTTTGTAAAATATAATATCAGACTCAAACTCGCTCACAGCAGCATTTTTAAATGTACGCACCAAATAATATTTATAACGACTTCATATTTTTTAGCAAACATATAATAACCGGGGGGTCCAGTATTTCATAAAAATCTAACCGAGACGACCAATCACTTATGGACCACTAGGCCTTTGGAGGCTTTCACACTATGTTTAGGAATTGGATTTAAAAATAACAACATTATAAAATATACCTTCTTATATAAGGTGGTTTTTTTTTAAAGGATCGAGACAGGTATTTTTTGTCAATAATGATTATGTATAACAATTAGGGCACATACTGTGATGCCTTAAAAACCATTAAAAATATAGAACTGTATATGCAAATATGCATTGAAAATACCAAAAATAACATGCCCTTAAAATATACTCTACAAATGTAAAAAATAATGCTAAAAATATGTATAGAATCTTTAGATCATGAAATTCATTTTGGCATAAATTAGTAATTTTGTTTATAAACCAATACAAATATGCAAACAAATTTTAAATAATGTATAAAAATGATTACACTATTAAATAATTATCAAACATTTAAATGTGTCTAACTTAATGCAAATAATGTATGATATTTAATAAATTACAATGTAAACCCATCATTCTAACTTTGTCGTTAAATGTTTAATAATTAAATGGATTGTGTAATAATTATGCATTTTTTCGATGAATATATACATTATACATTTAAGAAATATATTCTCTATTGGAAAGCAATAGTAAACATACGCAAGATAAACTTTATTTGGTACATTTCATTTATGAAAATATCAACATTATAATATGTATATTGTATAGTTTAAATAGTAATTTAGTTACAAAACATAAACTTTTTAGTAAAATATATCTTTGATCCTAAGAAAAAAAAGCTCAAGTTAATTTTTGATATTTTTTTATTTATTTATATATATATATATAATTTTGTTCCTTTTATATTCTAGTCTAAATTGCATAAGTGTATGTATTTTCAAAATGTAATTTGCTTGTATAAAAACTATACAAAATTAACTTAAGCACTTCTTCTCTGGAAGCAATGATATAACTAATAACTATTACAGCAGCTGCAAGATTGCAGGAAAAGTTAGAGCACTTTGTGATGGATTTTAAAAAGGGAAAAAAGAAATACGAAGGTGGAAATCCATGCGTATATTGAATTATGTACACAGACACACACACACACACACACACACACAAGCGTATTATTACGACGACCTAAAAAAATAACGTCTTAGGCGGATCTTTTGAAACCTTAAACCAGCACTGTAACCATAAGGAAACCGTATACAATTTAGCGCAGTACGAGGTTCGTAAACATTTATACATTTTCAGCTAAGATCACGTAGACAAGTCGGCAAGTTAATTTCTCCTGAGACTGATTTCGGTCAAAGACCTGACGAATTCAATTTACCACAAATCCAAGCTCGTAAAATGAAAAATACTGGACTTTACTCCTCCCTTATATACCTATAATTACGTCATTTAGAATATTAATTTCTTCAAAACAATTACCTAATTATATTCAAATATTTTTAACGAATCAGCTAATTAACTTTTTCACGTTTACCCGAAATTGAGTTAATTTAAAATTCTTTAGTATACAATATATACATTACCTTAAAAATTAAAAATAAACTTTGTTTAAGCATACAAATTAGTCGTTGAAAAACAAAAAAAATATGGTCCTTTTAATTTAATATATACGTATGCAATATTATGTTTTCATATAAAATAACTGAGTCACAAATATTATAAAATAATTCGATACAGCAGTTACGTTTATAGATACAAAATATTTGACTAGGTACCTAAAATTAAATTAAATTACATTAAATTAAATAATTTTATTCGTATACATTATGATGAAATATTTGTATTAATTATGAATATTTATGAATTAAAAAAAAAAATCACTCCGGTATAATAAATAAAATATATATCTGTATACTTATTTTTGATTTATAAATTTTTGAATAATCATCACAGTTCCCCCCCCCCAAAAAAAAATAATTTAAAATTGTATATTTTCTGCGTGAATTTTAGTAGTTGTAAAACTGTCAAAAAAATATATAATATTATGTTTATCGTCATATATGCGTGTCGGACTACGCGTATGCATATAAAAAAGCATCTTGGCAAAGATATATTAATAAAAAAATATAAATGTCAAAAAACAAAAAAAAATGTCTTTAAAAAAAAAATAATTATTTTCTGTTAATTTTTTTTTTTTTACCAAATATTCATGTTTCGATGATAGCGGTTGCCCCATGGTTGTGATGATGATGACAGTGATGATGATGGTGGTGTGTATATCGAGTAACAAACGTCAAATGACGGCGATCGTACCGGTTTTATAATAACAGTAACAATAATTACAGATCATTATATATTATTATCATTTATTACGCGTGACGATAGATAACGACGACATTTTTATTCGTACGCACGAGCATACGACAAATATTACAAACCGCGATTTCGATCATAAACGAATAAAAAAAATTTTAAAAAAAAACCACGATAATCTTTGCACGTTGTACTACGAGACGCGGCACCGCACGCTGAAGTACGGACGAACGACTGCGGCCGTTTCGGGACGGTGACGTTTTAGCGGTTGCCTGTCTGTCTGCGTGGACGGCGCAAAATCCGCGCCGCCGCTCAGTTTCCGCCCACTACTGTACTATATTATAATATAGGTACCTCTTTTCCTCTCCTCTCTCCCAAAAATCTGATAGTAGTATACATACAATATAAATAAAACGTTCGAAACACGTATATATTATTATACACTACCGTTTATGATATCGGTCACCACCACTGCCGAGTGATTTCATTATGTTGTTACAATTATTATCTTTATGCATTACAAAACCTCATTATAGTACAGTTTTAATAGAAATAAATACATAACCTAACAAAATTCTGAAAAACGACCATTATTGATATACATGTTTTAAACAGAATTCAAAAATATTTCACCGTAAATCATTATATCACACTATCAGAATGATAAGTGATAAGTAATAAATGTAATACTAAAAAAATTATGCTTTGAGAAAAACGAGTTTAAATATTTTACGCATTTTTAACCACTTGTAAAACAAAAAGTATTTTATCTAGCAACGTAGGATTTTTTAATTATTTAATTTGTAAATAAAATTATATATTTAAACTACACAATTTAAAAAAAATGTAATCATCTCATGGTTGTATTTACTTTTTCTGTGTTAGCTTAAGCGGGCTGAAGTACTAACTATTTGAATATCAATATTGCAATGAAATTAGAATATTAATTTGAGACAGTATAAAATGTACAGCAATGTATTTTCCTTGGTATCTTACCATGTTTTCTCGTTTAACACATATAATTTTGTATACCTGTACCGACAAGAAAATACGGTAATGGTACATCGTAAAGAACTACATTTTTACTATAGAATAAAATGTATAACTTAGAATTGCATTTATTGAGTTGTTACACTACACCGTTATGATAGTGCGATATTATTATCAACTAACACGATTCTTGAGAAATGCGTTTAATTGATCACGTAACAATAATTTAATTAGCGATATTGCTTGATTATTTATGATAAAGGTATAGTCAACTCGCATAGTCGTACTACATAAATTGCCTGTTAAACCGCAATAGAAATTCAGGAACCGTTTAATAATTAATAATATTATTATTATTCTATATATAGAAACATTATTTAATATTTACGTTAGAATATATTATTATAGTATATAAGTGAACTGTATTTATAATTAAAATATAATATTGTTATTAATTTAGTAAGATTAATTAAATTTGCACTTAAAGTTTGAACGAGTATTTTCGTGATGTGATATGCTAATATAATAGTAGATTTTAAATTAAACACAAATTTCTGTTCTCAAATGAAATATAATTTTAAAAAATAATATTAACTATAGACGGTCTAAGGTTTTTTAAATTACGATTCCTTTTTTTTAAATACCCAGTTTTTTTTTCTATACACAGTCTACCTGCTTATGCGAGATAGGCGCGAAAAATGTTTAAGATAATATGATGTATATTAAGTTTTTTACATTAGTTATAAAAACTTTAAAATAAGTTGTTGGATGAATAAGTGCGGAGTGTCATTGTAACCAACTAAAGATAAGTTTTTTTTTTTTTAGAAGGAAATATGAACTCGTTATTATTTTCATTGAAGAAAAGTTCTTTCTTCTGCAGATATGTAAAGTATATATACTTTTTGCAAACGTGAAATATACAGAAGTACTGAACTATATAAAGTTCTAAACATTTAAACATTTATTTTAGCGTCATTCTAGTTATTTCAACTGTGAAAATCGTAGAATTAAATCGTTTTATCCCAGTACAGTATAGTTCTCTATAGATTTGTTTTAAAGTAATACATTTTGTCAGCGACATGTAATAAAATATATAGTTAAGGGAATAAAAAACAACTTTAAAAATGAATCGATACATAAAAAAAAAAAAAAACAATAATGGATGTACCATTTGAAAAAAACAAAAACAAACATAATAGACAAATTATTTTAAATTATTGGGTCTTTAATTTCATCCACGGTCATTTGTAAAAAATATACTTCATAGTCACACTAGTCTGATAATTATTTTAAAAATAATGTACACAAAATGATTATACTTATATTATTCAATACTATATTATATTTCTAATATTAAAATTATTAGTTTTAATTAAACAGCTGCAGATTGGAAATATCTAATATCCGTAGTTGATTTTAAATGGTAACGCAAAATATCTAGCATAAAATATGGAAAGTTGATAGGAACTAAAAATCAAATCGAATACAATATATAGGTAATTATCATAAAATAATGTACTTCGTTCAAATAAATTATGGTACAATTAACACATCATTATTAAACAACTATAGTTTGTAGTGTTAAGTATAATAAAATATGTATTGCCTCGAAGAAAAGATAAAAATAAACTATTTAAAAATACTATTTTGCATATCAAAAATTGCAATTCAGTAATAAAATTACGTAATCTCACTTAAAAGTAAGAAAGACGTTTATATTGTCAGTGGGTGTACCACTTATGAGAGAAATTGAATGAACCATTACTAACGAAAATCAATTCTGAGCCAAATATAATTAGTCGTATTTTTTCACTTATGTTTCCAAGGTAACCTAGAAATCAACACAAAATATACGACAAATTGTCAATTTTTCCTTTTTACTTGGAATATTACAAAGAAAATCAAAAAAAATAATCGTGCCTTAACTGCATCAACTTGATCAAAAATGCTACCAGAATATTCTTACGCATGCAGTTTATGATTGGAGCAAGATTTTTGGTAAAAAAAATTGTTTACAGGCACAAAAAATAAAAATAAAATAATCATATTCGACTCATAATGTATTCCTTCGATTCATTCAGAATTTAAACGAAAAATTAAATTTAATAGCACATGAATTTAAAATAATAATATTATATGCATTTATTATATTATAATATGTTTATCTTTTATGATAATAATTTGTATACAAAAATATCTTAACCTATCAACACAAACGCATTATTATACATTTACAGGATACCCACTTAACGAAGAATATTATTATATTTGATATGTTTATATATTGTTACTGGAAAACTAATATTGATGCAAAGTGCAAAAAAAAAATATCGTGTGATACGTAGATATATAGTATGCATTATAGGTGGCCAATTTGGTTTTAACAAACGCAAATATACCGTAGTTGAAGTTTTATAGAAAAGCACGCAATGTGTCTGGTCGCACGATTGGCGGAAGCTCGACATTCAATTAAAAGTAATTATTATTATAATATATTTTGCGTAGGTCTACACAGTACCTCAAACTATAAATAATAAAATATATAGTTCGTTTAATTCACGCTAGTTAAGTATAATAAAACAAATTATATAGGTTAAGTATAAGAACACAATTTTATACAAAATTAATTTGATGCTCTAACTGGGTTCATGACCCTAAGGATATAATATACATACGTATAGAACTAAGAAATTTATTGTTTTTATATGGGTACTTATAAAATATTTATCAAGGTTACTACAATATATTTTGTTTAAGTCAAATAAAAACTATTCGTGGCATTACATGTATGTATATTTTTTTCTTATTAAAATTAATCACTAAATAAAAATATTATTGAAGAATTTGTTTAAACGAACTGAATTGAAGTCTGATTTAAAATATGTATTATATTTAATAAACATTTTTACGATTTGAGTTTTTTAAGAGAATTTATTAATTTTATCATTATTATATATTTTTTTTTTTAAATAACTAGTGAAATTTATTTATTTAGTAGCGGAATCTCTTTCTAGTATATTATTAACGTGTACCTTATATCCATTTTAAAAATTGCCTCCCTCTCCCGTTATATTGTCCGGGATCTGTAACCGATTGTATATTTGATGCGAAACAAATTATATTATTGTTAGTTTAAGCGAATATGTGTTCGTTTAAAACATAATTACAAGACAGAAAACCGCCGAGTTCAAGTTGAAAAAAAAATTTGTTTTTGTATACAAAAAATCTGAATATTATTATGAACAATATGATTTTAACATTACAATCGTTAACAATTCAAATTGTTATTTATAAAGCAAGTGAATTGATTTAGGAATTGTTTAGTTAAATAATAATCTGGTAAGAATACAAAATTAATATTATTCTAATCTAATAATTCTATACAGAGATAAATAAGCCGATTTTTCCCTTCATGATTAAATACAAATTTGTTATTTATAATATAATTATTCTAATTCTGAACTTCGAACGTGATAATAACATAGCATATTACATAATTTTATCATATTATTTCTTTTATGTATTAATAATAATTGTATGCATTTAATATCGATTAATCGTATGTTTATCAATTAAATTTGAAAAAGTCATATACATATATGTTTTTTTTTTTTCATAAATCTGAAATGCATGAAAATTACTGGATATTGACTATATTTTGTTATTACAAACAATAAAAAAAAACCACGAACAAATTTAAATTTAGTTATTCAATATAATTGATCAAGTAGTATTCGTAACTTGCTAAATCATATTAAAATTACCCGTTTAGAATAGAAATTATATCTTGAGTTGAATCAAATGAAATAATACAATTAAGTACTCTAAAAAAAAATCTCCCGATTGCGTTCAGTAATTGAGATGTTCATATGTTATTATATCGTAAAGGCGTCTTAATGTACACAAAGTACGATTGTAAATTACATCTCTAAATGCGTTATTAATTCATACAGAAAAATGTTTATACATAATATCATAAACTTAAATTATCCTATTATTTTTAAACGCCGTTGATTTCTATACTAATTAAAGTTATTATTACCTAGTAATAATGACCATTTTGTATAAATTTCAACCAAAAACATGAAACGAGTTGATTCATTAAAAGTACCAAACCCTACGGAAGACGATTAAATTTCAAGTATATACAAATCATTAAATAAAAAAAGGACCCGTGTTCAAAAATTTTAAAATTGATCAAGAAAAAATTACTTAATATCTGAAAAAAATTGGAAAAAAAATGCTAAACCAGATTATCTAAACAATTTAAAGCTTTTTGTCCTACCAGAAAAATGTTTACATTTTAACATGCTGCCCTTTCTGTATTTAGCGATTCATATTAGACTCGAAATCAAAACCAGATCCTTTTCGGTATTATGAACCCCCCTTCCCTCCAAAAAAAATTCACAATATTTCTATAGGTAGGTAAAATGTTTGAAACGAAAATCATTTGTGTGTTTCGGAATTTATCATATTTAGACCGTCCATCAGAACGGACCGCAATAAACTTTCTATACATCACGCATAGCGCTTTATATGTATGTGCTGCAACAGCATAATGTCACTGCCGTGGAATACCATGGGAGTTGAGGTATTATCAAAATGATTTATTAAAGGCACTACTACTATAGTAGTAACTTTTGGTAGGTCTTGGTTATAGTTTTTTTTCTTATTCTTTTTCCCCTCTATTATGTTTTATAGCCCAGTATAAATCAACCAATCATATACGCATTACTCTGCAGAGCTACGCCAGTTGCCCAGAAGAAATATGCAGGTTTTATCAATATAAAAAAATGTATATATTCTTGATGCGACGATTTTTTTTTATAATTAATCGTAAATTACTAATACCATATTAAATGATTTTAACAATGTATATTTGATAAATGTAATAATTGTACCTATTAGGGAATATAAATTAAATATCTACTTTAAAATATGCTAGTAAAATGTATATTATATATTATATTCTTGACATTTTTAGAACAACATTATTATAAATAATGTAATTTTCAACCCTATTTGTACAAACAATCCAAACACTCCAAACTAGTGTATCGCTATAAATCATATGATTATTGAACGCATATACTACAATTGCAGGGTGATTGAGTTTGTATTGTCGTTGGAGGGAAAAAGAGACAATTTAAAGGGCACTTTTCTGAACTGAAAAATACATGTTAGATGGCAAATGTAACACAATAAATTTGTTAACGATAGTCTTAAAAACTTTCTTTTTTTTTTTTAGTTTTATTGTTATTAACTCTGAAACAGTTTATATAAAGAACACACCGAGAACGACTCCATCGCACAATTAAGATGAAATAGCCCCCGTCGAGCAGCAGTCTACTGACAGATGATTGCAAAGCGTGCAGGGTTTTTGCACTGGAAAAGGGGACGGGAATCAGTAATGAGAAATAATGAAGACAGATATCTATGGTGGAAAATCGGTAGCAGTTAATCCATTAGGCCGGCTATGGTTTTCTTCGGAATAACGATGTTTAAATTCAATTTTCCCAAACATATAGTATAATACAAACATCCATCAATCTTCCGAATGACGCGACTTTTTGACGAAACTTTCAGTTTCCCTTCAAAAACCGAATACATCTACTATATGATATAGTATTGCTAGATGAATTGTAACAATCGGATGATTATAATAACACATTTTATTATTATATTCACTATATGGAAACTAAAATTATCTTATTCACAACATTAAAATAATTTAAACAATTCTACGCATTACACAAAGTAATCAAACTCAAATCATATCAGCAATATAGAGTTATAATTATCGTGGCGTAATAATTTACATAATGGAAAATGTTAGCGTAGGTATGTGATATTAAAATTAAAATTTAAAATTGTATGAAAATTAAATGTCACATATACACACACACGTTATATGTGTGTGTCAAAAACATATAAGTATTGATTTATTTCGCAAGACGTGTATAGGTAGTAAAGTTTGAAGGATAAAAGGAAACCAATCGTATACAATAAAAAAAAAAAACTGTGAAAACCATTTAACCTTTGTCCATTTCTAAATTGAAAATATTGAAAGCCTTCCTATGTAACTTCAGAAATCCGAAAAAAAAAAAAAAAACACCAAACAAACATAATATGTCAGTTATTCGACCCAATATTTTAGCTCGTCATTTTCTATGCCTACTATGGAACATCATTTTAAAGAAATTACTAGTCATACAAAAAGATACAAAATTATATTGGGACATTTTAAAAACAAATACTTAAAAAAAAACCTACCTGTTCGATTAATATGAAGTTACGGAATATTTAATACTTCAAAAAATGTATACAGTAATAAAAAAAGCAACACATTTTTGAAACCAGTCTTCAATTTCTCATTATAACTCACCATAAGAGTACTAAAACATAGGTATCTACTACTAATACAAGTATTCGTACTAATATTAGATGATTTTAAAATTTCAAAATTAACAAAGAATAATAGATTTATGAAGCATAACGAATTTGCAAAACAATTCATTGTGGATGGCAATAATAGTATTAAAATACAAGCATAATAATGATATATTAACGCGACATAATATCACAAAAACTAGCAGCAGCGCTCTCTATTCGCCACCAACAAAACGTTAAAATATATATGCTCTCAGCGTGTTCAGAAAACTATTAGGTCTCGGGTAAATATTATAACATTATCATTTCTTTATTCCGCTACATATATAGTGGCTATAAACAACTGTTTCGCACCTGCAGTTTAAAACAATTCATTATAATATGTTCTTTGTATAATAATATAGTACAGGGCCCGTTATTAAAACTGAAAAGCGTATACACCATCGTTGGCCTAATATTATAATACGGTAACTATATAATATAATATGCAAACACAATATTAAACTTAAGCACATTACCCAACGCAGTATATATAATATAACATTATGCTCGTAGAATCAAAGCCGAAATTTCTAACAAACGTGCATCCACATAACCTTTACGCATTAAAACCTAGGAGGAAAATACACAGTTTTTAAATTAATAAAAATCACCTAAATTATTAGAAAATATATTACGCTAACGTAAACATCGAATAATATGATATTTCCTCTTATTTTTCTCCCGCTACAGCTAATATTAATTGTATTATTAAATAATAACGTTATTATTAATTATGTTTATCGATAATTTTGAAGTTAAATAATTAGGTAAATACTTATACTTTAACATCTATGGCACGTACACCAATTATTAGAAAAAAAAAAAAAACATAAACAAACTATTATATTTATTATTATTTTTCATTTTTTTAACCGATAAGTATATTATTATCTATTTACTGACATTAATTCCTAGTACTCTAATCAGTTAAATATCAACCGTTTTCGAGTCTTTTATACATAATATTTACAATAATGATTTATTACCAATAGGTATATATTTTACAAATTATAATTTTACGCTTTCAAAAATTGATACAATTTCCCTATTTTAAACATCAATAATTCCTAAAGAAATATGTTATGTTAAAACTGTATGTATCCGTTAACTGAACAATCGATTTCATTTATTACAGTAAAAATCATGGGGATGACTGCAAAACTGGAAAATAAATAAAATACAAAATATTTTATGCGTAGGTACAATATTAATTTTTAGTAATTAGTTATTATCTAATTATAACATACATAAATTCAGACAATCGAACGACACAGATACTTGATACATGATTTGTTTTCTATATTATCAGCAGTATCTTGGCAATAATCCAATATAGGGTTTAGCGCAGGTACTCCGGAATTTTATGAGAAAATAATAATCATTAATAGAAATTCATCAGAAATTCTACGAACGTATTGTATAGTTGATATACCTAACTAAAGTTAATTAATATGCCATACACATTTGCAATCCATTCTATTAATATGGTAATTTATTGTATTTATATTTATTTTCATAAAACTGTATGTATTAAAATTTCGAAAAAATGTATTTAATTAATTGATACCAAAACTAATAAATAGTAAACCTATTAATTTATATTGCATAGACTATATATTATAAACCAATATTGAACAATGTAAAAATTATTAGTTTATAAATGCAAGCAGAATAATAGTTTTCAACACTTTTACATCAGAAATGTTTAACGTTCTTATAGCTAATTACATGAAAATACTGCAAATGTCGGTTATATTTATTAAAATAATTATGTTCCAAATAACATAAATTTCTTGCTACTCCTGCAAAATACACGCCCGAATAAAAAATACATAAAATTAAAAAATATATATTTTCTTTTTTAACCGTTATAAGTATCTTACAATACCTACGTTAATAAATCATTTTTCAATGATGAAAATTTACATTTTCTAATTTCAACTAATCCGAATTTGCACTCTCAACATTTTGGAGATATTTTATACTGTGTTATATTCCTAATTATGAAAACAATTTTATTCTGGATTAAATAATAATATTAACCAGTAATTTTTCAGATCATTATTTTGATTGATACCTTCGTATAATTTATAAGGCCTTCAAGAATTTACATAAATATTTAACGCAAAGGATTTTCCTGAACCCATTTAATGTCTTCTTTTTCTACCATTGCTTTTACACTTAAAACATTTATTTTCTCCCAGTCATCACATACACACTAGCGGGGAGAAATAAAAAAAAAAATAAAAAAAACTAACTTTTTGGAAACAAAGGGTAAACAATAATTTTTTACGCATTCACACTACTGTAAATCGACGCTTCTAAAGCCAATAAGTCCGTCACTGGCCATAAATATCACAGTTTCGCGGTCCTCGCCCGGAAATCGGATATATACGTATGTATATATCACAGCGCAAGCGATGTGCGAGGTGTTTCATTTTGAAAACACTTAGTGAGTAAAAGTTCTCCACACAGAACGTGGGGAAGAAAGAAACAGATGGATTTTATCGACTCGGGCTATATAATACCTATACGTTCAGGGGTGCACAATTTATGCGAATTTATAACAATACTGCAGATGCAGACATATATACCTAGTAGTAGGAGTTATTCACCTATACGGGAAATAAAAACAAAACAACTAGTATATATATGGTATTATGGAACACACAGTTGGGCTGTCGCCGAGTGTGGAAAATATTGTAATATTATGTGCATTTTTGGACGACTTCCAATGTGACTGAAAGAACACGCATCATCCGTTACGCGCGTATCCGACAGGATGTGGAAGAATCATATACAAAATAAATAATATTATATGGTATATACCAACTATACAACTTATGATAGTAAAAATAAACAGTAGGTAGATACTATATCGTAATAATTCTGTTTTTGGACTTTATTTGTTTTTCGTAATACGCACACAAATAAACATTCGTAAAAAAAAAAGTCTGATACTACTGATGGATACCGATGTTAAAGAGGAAAGTTGAAAGGGAAAATATCTATATATCCTATACACTATAGAGTAATTTGATTTAAATCTATACGTAACGATAAACCATTGCTAATGAAAAACGATTCTGAGCAGAGTATTGTTAACCGTTGTTTCCCTTATATTTAAGTTGATCCAGAAATCAATCAACATTATACAAAAAAAATTCTCAATTTTTGATTTCTAAACGTGAGTAAAAACTTCTTAAATCTACTTTATGTCCGACCTTCCATTTTGTTCCGAATTTAGTTAAATTTTGTTGATTAGATTATTAGGTTTTTATTATATACAGTTATTTTATAAAAATAGTAATCTATCTGTCTTCTATCTGTACAAAATAATATGTCCTGACTGACTGATTCAATATAACTTAGCCCAAACCACAGAACGGATCAGGCTGAAATTTTACATACAGATGGCTATTACGTAAGCATCCGTTAAGAAACGATTTTTTAAAATTAAACACCTACAATAGGGATTTTTATGTATTTTCGACACAAATATCTTGGAAATTGTTTATTTATTTATATTTGTTTATTTATGAGTTACCTTGGTGACATGGATTATAATTATTATTATTATTATTATTACTATTATCTAGAAATAACAAAGCATTGTAGGGTCAGCTAGTAGTTCTATATTTATAAATACTAGTTATTCAAACTTTTAATGATTAGAATTAAGTAAGGGATAATAATAATTAATAATAATTTTAATTTTAAAATGTTAAAATTGTATAAAGAATTATAGTTTATTGTTTAAAAATCAGGAAGTTAGTAGCAAGTTCATAGAGTGGAATTTCCTAACATGTTTCCCATTTATTAAATATATCTATTCAATACACCAACAAGATATTAAAAATGCTTCAATCAAGTTCCTATACATTTTTAATTGGAGCGAGATTTCTGGTAAAGAAAATTGTTTACTCAAAAAATATATGAAGTAAAATTAAGTCAAAATCAATACAATACTCGATTCGCTCAAAATATAAAAATATTAAATCTAACGGTATAACCATAAAATATAGCCGATTGGCGTAACTAAAAGGGATCAGAGGGCACAATCGCACCCAGGTCTGTTGACTTAAGAGGGTAGGGAGAGGTACAAAGTAATACAATGTTATTTATTTTTAATAGGTAGATAATATTATATTAATTTTATAAATTATTAATTATTGATTTTAATAATTCAAAATTATTACCTATATTATATTGTAGCCTATATGACTGTGAATATTATCTTATCAACGTAATGGTTTTAAGTATACAGTACCTACTACGGTGAAAACAATATAATATGGACATATTATCATTATTATAAATCGTAAAACTTCGGGTTTTATCAAGGTTTATATAGATAATATTATCTATAAACCTTAGAGTTTATTCCTAGCATAATTTATTTAAAAATGATAAGATATTTATTTAATAAAACATACAATTATATATGCTTTACAAATATATAAAATAATTTCATTAGGATTTGGTTAGGTTAGCCTAGGTGAAGAGGATCTGTTTAAAATTTCGCTCCCGGGCCCAAATTTTGGAGTTACATAACTAATAGTTCTTGGACATTACAATTTGATATATTTATATATTATAAGCATTACAAAAAATATCGAATTTGATATAATTCTACCATTGATAGGTGTTTATTTTCTTCTACAATTTAAATTCAAAAACAACATTTTAAACATTGTAAGCGTTTTACCAATAGGTATTGTTATAAATTTCAATACTGCTGATACAACGTTGATGTTATTGTAAAAGTAAACAATATAAAGTTATTAAACCTAGACCTCAATATTTTAATAACCTAGATACAAAATTTTTTCTAATTTAATACATATTTTTAATCCTCGACCAAAATAAACTATTTATTATAATATTATTATATCATATAATAGCAACAGTAGATACATTAAAATATTGATGCAAACATAATGACCAACAATGAGTCAAGACATACCCAAGTTATTCAACGAAGACACGATGCCGAAAAAAAATATCTAAGAGGACATTATAGTGTGATGCCTGCGTATGCTACCATCTTACAACAATAAGACATAATAAATTTAATTTCAAATAGTGTTTATCTATTATTATTATTATTATTATTATTATTATTATTATACCTAGTAAAATATTATATTAAACACTACGTTATTTGCATTGCCCTTTTAACAGATCATAAGGGTGAATATTTTGAAAGTAATTTCATATTATATTCCCCCCGCTCTCCCCATCCAATGTACGCGGTGCGAGTACGTGTGTTCAACCGAGTTTCGGGTACCCGTAAACTTTCACCCCTTTAATCCTATGACTGCGCCTAAGGTTTGCCGCCATTATACGACCTCCGGGCTAGTAATTAATAGACGACATTTCGGACCCCGAGATAAAGTCCCTTTGGTACGCATTGCAGCAGGCGTCGTCGTTGATGTTTTTCCTCTCGCCGCTGCCGCGTCCTTCCCCCCTGAGGACTCGCAAATACAAGACCCGAGGAGTTTGACTCGGAAAATCTAAACTATAACCGTATATACAATATAATATTAGTGATGATGTTGGTACGCGACATCGAATGTTATTACATAATAATATGGTAGGTTACGAACACGATAATTTACGATATTAACTGTTTACTTGTTCATTATTTTAAAATCGTTACAAACGCAATAATCGTTAAATTACTTAGGTATAAAATAACATTTTCCAAATCATCGTTGAAATAGTCACGTACACACACGCAGTTATCATATAATTTAGGAAAATACTAATAATACTATTATAAACACATCGAAAAAATGAATTTTAACGCGCTTTTTTGGCGATGGTATTAATATTCTATGAAAAACTTTGACAAACATTTTTTTATTATTTATACAGAAACCATAACCACGATTTATAACAGTGTATAGCGCATTATTGTATATCACGCGAATTTCACTCTGGCGATATTCCCCCTCGCCCCGATTTTATGTCGTTTACTCTGATAAACGAGCTTTTTGTTTATACTTTAGTATAATAACCTTATCTTTCCGAGCATACCGACATCATAAAATTAAATTAAACGCATTATGTTTCCTTTAGTGTTGGCCATTTCGAACACAGCTATATATGGGACACAAAATACCTATTCGATGAAAAAAAAAATAACCGTATAGTTCATGTTATTATGTAAATAGACTTGATAGATACATGCTTTGAGCCTTTTAACGTAAGACATGAGATTATTCCAGAATCCTGCTAAAAGTCGTAAAATTGAATTTCCTAAATCAGAATTTGTAATAAATATATAATTTCAATTAAAATCAACTCAATGATTTCATCATTCTAATCATATAATATAATGAATGAATAGGAATTAGTCAATGCACATTATAATAAAATAAAAACACGGAGGATAAATATAATATCAGTTAACAGTATATTATTATTATTATGTATGTTATCACTACACTATTGTAGTGATTTTCAACGAAACAATACTAATTATAAATAATATTAACTATTCTATTCATTAATAGTATAAAAAAAAATGATTACATTTTTTTCCTTTTTTTTTTTATATATTACCTATTAAGCATATTACTGTATGCAATCTATTTACAAACAATGCATACATTTTAATAATTTTGTTTTTAAGACATTTTCGAATATCCTTATGAAATAGTAATATATAAACGCCTACATTAAACAACCCAATAACCATTTTATTATAATTCAATAAAAAAAAAAAAGAAACCCTTAATCTGATTCATTTTATGGATTATTTAAGATCTTTATTATATTTTATGTATAGAGCACCTGCCTCCTCACCCTAACTTTATAAGAAAACGTCAATTCGTATTAGGTTTTATATTTGTTCGCGTTGCTCGGCGTGCGTCTTAAATGAATAAGCCAATAAGTGCGTGTAACATTTTATCGGGTTAGAAATAGAACTAACAAGCTAAATCGCATTACCGTTATTGAAAATCGTTCCCCAGCGGTTAGCAATCAAAACCGAATTGAAACAAACGTGTTTGTAATTTGGAAAGAAAAAACACATCACAATTCACAAGACCCTAAGCTACTGCTGCAGCACTACACGTTGTCGGTTGCTCGCGTCTTGGCCTATGCGTCTTTTCCGAAACCATTTTATCTAAATTAGTCAAGGGTAAAAAAAAAATAAAATATATAGTGCGCGTTCCTACCCTTATTCTTTTTACTCTTACGCTGCGATTTGTCTAACCACAAAACCCTCCGAAAAAAACCACACACACTATAAGCACCACCTACACCTCCTACAGGATCGAAGCCAGTCATTTGTTCTTCCGTTTTTTATGAGACCTAAAGGGGCTTACCGTGTGCCCCTAGGGATTCTAGAACTGTCACGTTTATGCAACCAGACAAGTCCTAAATCTAACTTGACGCTACCTACATACATACATACACACATTTTCGCGTTATTATGTTGGACACGATGTGCATGCATTCTAAAGAATTATTATTCGCCCTAAATATATCAAATAAAAACCACATACCTATGTAATATTACAATATATTTGTTTAGAAACATAAAATATTTATTTTTATGGATTTCATATAGTTTGGATATAATATATTACAAATGCATAATAATAATAATAATTTATAAAACAATATAAGAGTAGTGTCACACATAATTAATTGAATTCAATTTTCAATCGAATTGTAATTATTTAAATGCATTATATTGTGCGATAGTTACGGTGATATGGGTATATCGGGCATTTCCAGGCCACTTTATAATAATTTAGGGATAGGTCTGGTGAGAGAAAAAATATATAACATTTTCTATATAAAAAAAAAAAAAAGAGACCAGACGTTAATGAAAGTGAACATTATACAGTATATACTTTGGCGACGGTCCAAATAGTCGGTGGAGATAGTTATAATCCCCCAGGTGCACAGACGATGTCTAAATCCGTACATAAGTCGTCGAGTTTTCCAGGACATATTTACTTACCAAAAGATACGGTTTTATTTAAGATATAAGAAACCTTTAAAATTAAAGAAGTATACAATGTTTTTCCCGAGGAAAACACTACACTATCTAAACTTTAACAGACATAAAAACCAGAAGCTGACTGGACAAATTTACTAATGAAAAATGTATTTAAAAATAGTTTAATCGAATAAGACAATTTAAATACAATTAATGTGATCGAAAAAAATTAAAAGGTACCAAAAATGAAATAAAAACGTAATATAAATTACCAATCAAAATTATAAATCAAATCAGAAACAAAAAATACACTTTTAATATTATTATTTCCCAGATTTTATAGACTATCCATAGTCATAAAATTAAAAAAACTATATTATTTATAAATAGAAATAATTATTTGATTAATAATCAGGATTGCGTATTTTTTTTTTTAAATTGAAGCTATTTAGATTACGTTAGGTTATTAATAATATTATACCGGATAATATAATTTCACTTGAGAAAAAATACTATTCAAACGCGAAATAATTGTATAAGCGTAAATGTATTAAAAGAAACCTTATAATGAAAATATGCGTAAAAGTTAAAAGGATACCCGAGTCAACGAAAACGGTTAAAAGCACTAAGAGACTGGAGGTGAAAGAAGCCAAATCGAGATAAATCGTTCCCAAGAGACGAATTGTACAACGCGGCAGAGACACACCAGGTATGATGGGAAATTAAATAAAAAATAAGTCCCTGGTGGTTCTTTCTTATCGCTACCTCGAAAAATTGTTGGCGCATAATGTGCGGGGCTATTCGTATACATATTTTCATGTTTGGATATCTACCCATGAAAAAACACGTATTTCTATTCATGTCAACGGAAAATATATAGCACTAAGAAAATGGCGCTAAAAGGTGAAAGTCCTATATAATAAACATATAATATAATATTTTAAAATATTTAATAAAAACCAAAACCAACATAAATCTCAGAATAAATAATTCATCCGATTTATCCGTATTTTATAGAGAAAAACAAATTCAAACATAAATATAATACATAACTTCTCGGGTTGACTTTATAAGCGTAATGTTTAAAGTGTACGAAACCATAAGAAACAAAGTTAATATATACCACGTGCCATTTACTTGAATTACAAAATAACTGTACAAACTTTAAGAGCACGGATAAGTTTAATTAACATAGACGGATAAGTTATCGTTTCAGTTAGGCGAGTCGAATTAAATTCTGTAAAACTTACTTTTTTCTGAATAATGCAATAGAGTCGTTTAGAGAATAAAATAATACTCGAGCACACAAAGTAAAATTTTAATAAAATTAAAAATATTAAATATTGTATTAACGAAACGTGAAACTTTGGAATTTATTTTACAAATTATTTGTTATAATTTATAACGATTACAGATTTTCGATTAAATATACTTTAAATCCAAATATCATTAAAATTACCAAAGAAAAAATATTTTTCTTTATCTTTAATTTTTTTTTCCAATGAGAATTTAGAGGAATTTCAAAGAATATTATATTGTTTAAATTATAATTAACATAGATACTTGTGAATAGATTAATCATATTGTAATATAGACGATCAAGGAAGAGTAAATTCAAGAAAAATATACAAGCATAGTTGAAAACGCGATATTAACTAACACTATCGTCAGACATTCATATACAGTGATGTAGAAAAGGAAGGAGGTTGGGCTAAGGGTATTATAGACCTCTATGAACAGAATTTATGTATATATATTGTAAACTATTTTACGATTTGAATGTGAACTACATTTCCAATTACTTGTTTTACTCTTAGAAGTTTGCTACACTGAACTGTATGAAAATGAAAACGTATTTAAATAAAAGCCCATGGAACATTAAGTCAAATATTTTTCAAATATAATTAAAAAAAAATATATTAATGAAAAAAATAGAATAACTCCTTTTATTCATAATTTTAGGGGGTGCAATTGTCCGAGATAAGTCAATATATAATTACAATAAGTTATGCCAATACACATTTTAAAATATAAACAATATTATATTCTTAAAATTTGTTTTAAATAAATGTCCAAACTAATCTAAATATAAAAGTACTAATGAACAAAACTCTCCTTATACCAATTTGGTCATACAGAATCTACAAAAAAAAATTAAATGCCTACAAAATCTAAATATTTCAATCAACGTCACTAAGTAAAATACTAATTAGTTAACACTGTAACACTAAATAGTATTTTACAAAGATGTTAATTTTTTTTTTATGTAAACACTTTTTCTACCAGAAAGCTTACTCCGATGTATACGATGTCGACCCTTTTCTGAAATAAAATTTACTTGGGATGGTACTTTAGGGAAGTAATTTTTAGGTTTTCAAAGGAGTTTTCTTGTCAAATGTGAAAAAAACAAAAAAATAAAAGGAGAAAAAAGGGAAAATGTACGTGATATTTTACTAAATATTACGATTTTTTTTCTATTGACAATTTTTCTACTAGCAATTTTTTTCCGATTTACAATGGTAATACTTTTTGTGAAAGGAAATCTAACTGGGAAGGTACTTTAAGAGGTTAAGTCACTTTTCGAGTTTTCCTAAGAAATTTGATAATCATAGTGTCCTATACAACTTTTTTATAGATTGTACATATTAAAACAAAAGTAAAATAAAAATGTAAACTAAAATGCATATTGATAAAAATACTTTTTTAAAATTCGTTTGAAGGGTAGAATACCTCCAAACCCATTTCTTAAGAAATAATATATTTAGCCCCCTCTCTATTCAAAATCCTGACTACGTTACTGTTCATATATATATATATATAAAGTAAATTATGGGATATCGTAAAACACAAAAATATAATATAAGTACTCACTACCCACATATAATAAAACAAACGAATACAGACCGAGTGCAAGGAGGGGGATTGGGAAAAGAACTTGAAAAAATAACAAAATAACGATTTAACGAGACGCGTACACATCATTGCTAATATCGGTTCACCACCCCTCTAACTCAAGTTTATTATTACATTATTCTATATCCATCGCTATATATAGATACAATAACTATTATACTCGTATATATACGTAATAAACTATTCATCACCTCTTCCGTTCCTTCCTGATTGCCAGTAATATATTTTCAAAAGAAATCTATTGATCGTAATGAATTTCCCATTTTCTATTATTTGCTGACCCGTAAACCAATATTGCCATCACCTTCCCTCTGCACCAGCGCCAACTAAACAACGTCCACGAGAAATTGTTGCTCATCATTGCGGCGACATGCAATAATACGCCGCAGTAAGTTTTCTTGGGGAAAGTTTTGCGGCTATCTGTTTTAATGGTCGCGGTATAAGGATACGGTGGTCGGCGGTGGCAAGAGCTCGCTGTAAACGACCCTCGGGATATTTACTGTTATATCGTTCGAGTCCAATACGTTACATCAACACTAATCAACGGCCCGTGGCGAGACCTGCAACGATGGCCAGCTATTATTACATATTATTATTATTATTATATAAGTAGGTAATATATAACTATACCGCGGTAAACCATTAATGACATATAAATAAACACATCACATAGGACACAGGGTTGGACAGCATCTTCAACACGAGTGCCTTGTATCGTATCTATAAATACGTGTCTAAGATAATACAATTGTATCTTATACCGTGATACAGTTCTGGAAAGTATCAAGCATTATCATGCACTGTACTACACACTGACTTTAACTAAGACCAACGCCATCGTGGAAAACGTTCGAAAAAAAATACGTGAAAACCGGTCAACAAGTTGTTGAATAGTCTATCTGTGATTCCGGGCTGCACTTGGATAAATTATTTCCTGGTACGGTCAATTTTGAACTTCAAATATAAATACGCAGCACTAAATTGCAGGGAAATAAACAAAACTATGCGAGACATACATACATTTCTTGTTTATCTTTAACTTCTCTATTGGCGTTGGAGTTTTACAGAAATTGGGGTTTAGAACGTTCAACCTCCCCCACCCTCAGAGAAATTTAATCTCTATAATATTAATGGGGTTGGTTTAATTTAGGTGAATTTTGATTGGATCACACAAAAGCCTGTCTGTAAATATTTTACAGACGCCTGTATATTACAGATGCCTGTAAATTATAATGGCTCTGTAACAGTGTCTCACAAATAAATTGGTTATGAATCTGTAAATTGTCTTATAACTTTAACGAACGGTACCGGTTAAATTAAACCATAATTTAATAACACTAAATTGAAAAAAAACCTAATCAAGAGTGAAAATATAAAGTAAATACAAATAGTGCTAGAATGTTAGATACCTAAATAATGATAATTTACTATGTAATAAGGATCTAAGAATAAATTATAAAATATATTGATATTAGGTAAGTCCATGAATCGTGGTTTCAAATCGATATCATCATACTCTATGAGTGGATTAGATCTATTTCGGATATATTGTGGTCTCGGTAGAACTGTCAGTACCTCGATAATATACCTACTCATTATTACTTGATGACGATGACATCGAATCCATCATTTAATTATAAAATCCATAATTTATTTTCCAGCGATTTACGATTTGAAATAAACAAATTTAAAAAAAAAATGTCGACAATAATATTGATAACATCGATATGTAAATCGGTCTGTAAGAAGTTAATGCAGATACGAATTCAGTTCGGCAAGTTACAACCACTAATAGATCTGTAAATAATACAAAACGTTCAAACAACACCCAATTTGGTTTAGAGATCTGTTACATGCACTTAATGGCTATGTAAGTCGTTACGGAATATTTGTGTATAAATTGTGTTACTACACTCTCATCCAACCCCTCCTAAAATAAAAATTTAAAAAAAAATTCATAAAAAAGCTACTGAGTTGTTCTACAGATATATAGTCTTATGTCTAAAATTTAATAGTATTTCCATTATTATATTATTTTTTTTTGCATATAGTGAATTTCATGGGTTTTATTCTGAATTTATCATTTTATTATAATAGTATAATAAGTTATATGCATGACGTTGCTGTTAATAGTTTCTTCTGTGTGTCATAATATTATAATTATAATTATTATTTGTAGTACATATTTCTTTATTAGTCATACAATTTATTATCATGCGCTATTTATTTGCTTAACTAATAAAATGTCAAATGTACGTATGTACGCGGAGTCTCAAATAAAATCGTATCTCATGAATTATTGATAAACAACCAAATCTACTTATAAAATAAATTGTATTTTTTTTTTTTAAATAATATTTCTAATATATTGAGTGTTTAGAGTGGCTAACCAAAATCTTTAAATAGAATTACATCCGCAGAAGAAAAAAAGTATCCCCTTTTGCGCCGAATACGTGAAGGAACGGGCGTGCGGGAGCATAGTAATAAAATTCAAATTTAAATGAAATGCCATTTAATATACCGTATTATTATTACACACCCTAGGGACATAGAATCACCCTCGAAATATCTGCCCCCTATGTTTTTTATTTAAAACGTGACCAAACGAAAACTATTTCTACTTATTCATGCTTACGTATTATATTATGCATGCGCGTCAAATAAAAAAAATATATATAGGTGACGAATAATTCAATAAAATTAAATAGTATAGTAGTAAAGTTCGTTTACAAGTCAGAATTGTTCAAACAAATGATAAGGAAATGCATTAACATGAATAATGAATAATAACATTTTATCGATTGCTATAAATACCATAAATTATAATTATTACTATTAAACGTTTTTTATCTGTGTATCAGGATAATTGTATATTACATTATAACAAACACCGTTTGTTTCTTTAAGCTGACTTAACCTTAGATAATTTGATCTGATGCACTGCAAAAATGAATATAGTTTTTAACGGACAAATGGTGAAAGTTAAACTTAGTGTTGTATTGATAATATACAACACCCATCTATTTGAACGATGGTCGAAGAAATGTTCAAACAGTTTAGAAAATCGAGATAACAAAACAGTACCGTATTTATATAGAAACCGACGTGTATATTTTATTTAAATATAGATATAAATAATTATTTTTAAAATGTTTATTGTTTAATAAATATTTTAATCGATGGGTTTTTTTCTTAGTTATGTACAAATGCGCCGTGTAAACTTTTTGGTACATGCCTCTGTTCAAAATGTAATATACAAATCAGCATAAATAACGAAATATACGTATTCACGTATTATCTGAGTATAATATTATCTACCAAAATACAAATAAATTCCAAGTCTAACATAATACGTGTTGTGTTAATTATTTATTATTATCATATTTTTTTTAATGATCTCATAATTGTACAACTTACATTTTGTAAATTATTTTGAAACATAATATTCATTAGGTACAGTCTCTTATTTATTATGATACATTTTTAAATTTTTACCCGAAAAAATATTCAAATGTTTTACAGTCTCAATCGAAGTGAGAAAATACACACATATACATATATATATAATATGTGTGTGTGTATGTGTCTTATATTTTATATATAAATATATAAATGAATGCATAGTACATATACTGACATTTTCACATCCATCAAAATAACAAAAAAAAAAAAAACCAACTAAAACCTAAACTACACAACTCAAGCGCATTTCATATTATAATTTGATTGATGATAACGGAAGGTGGAAAAAATCGTCCATTATTTAAAAAATAAAAACTCGGGATATTCTTATTATTGGATAACACCTGTAATATCCGATACGTGCTACCGATATAAAATCGATATCCAAAATTTTCCGATGGATATTTTAACCATTTGAAGAAAAAAAATTTTAATATACTTTTTTACATATTCCATAGACATATAGACATTAATCTCCGAAAATATCAAGTGAAATTTCGGTTTCTTTTTAAGTCGATAATACCGATATCGAATATCGGTTTATGTATCGGCCCATCCCTAATAATAATAAACCATCTTTATATTTTGAGCTTCAAATTTAGAACTGAAACTTATTATTAATACATTGTTGACTTAAAGTTTCCGATATTTTCATACTATAATAATAATATACTTACAATACTATCTTATACTATACTATACCTACAGTACATGGGATGTCATTATTATTATTGTTATTATTTTTTTTGTGTGTTCTACACAATTTTCCCTGTTGTTGGCAAACCCAACGAAATCGAAGAAGTTTCCAATACACCATCACCGTATACGACCGGTCTCTTGGGACTATCGGAAATGGTTTAAAACCTTCTATACATCCATTTCGCGTCTTTTCGATATAAAACACGCAGAGTAAATCCTCTTTGTGTGCGAGAAGATGAATACAAAAATAAATTATACCCGAGACGGTTTATGACTTAAACCATAAATTTGTCGATTTGTCCTCTATACATCCCTCAGCAACAATAAGGGCGGCGTTTGCGCGTTCGTTTTCAATTAACTCTCCCTCATAATATTAGTATATAACATCAACTCACCTCATCGTATTTACCGCCGTGTTGTACATTCCTCCCGTTCTGCATCAATGACGGATCGATGTACCACCGCAACTCGTCCACCTGGTGCCGCCATTCTTCCTCGCTGTCCTCTGCTGCGGAGCTGCTCCACGACGACCGAACGGACGTAGATGTACAGTCGGACAAAGCGCACAACGGATCCGTGTCCATCGCCAAACTTTAATAACTACTTCAGTCATATACCGATTATAGTAATATAATATTACGACTTATGGGCATCTGTAACAATAACGATAATATAATATAAATATTTATACGAAAAAAAATCGAATACTTAATGTACCAAAAAAAAAAATATATATATATATTTATTTCTTTACAAAACGAATGAACAATCAGAACGGAGCCTGCAATGTAGCTCTATCCATCCATAGTTATAAAATATGTAAAAAATATCAATCCGACGTAAAAGTATGTATATATTTGTATACATAAAAGTATTTTGCGCGTCATTATAAACTGTATCAATATTAGATTCTTAGCAAAGCGAGGAATGTCTTGGCTTTACTATGGTTTGTTTTTTTTTTTATCTGTAAACAAATTCTCTACCAGAAATCTTGATCTAATTAAAATCTTTATTACAATTTTCTTATGTCATTTTTAATCTAGTTGATGTATTGAGAAGGTAATTTTTTAATTTCTCTATTAATCTTCTTAATAAACGAAAAACATCAAGGGAAAAACTAAAAATGTCTTGTATAATTTTGTTTGATTTTTGGATTACCAGAACAACAAGTGAAAAAATATGACTAACAATATTCTGCTCGGAATCGTTTTTCATTAACAATAGTTCATTGGCACGTATATCTATAAATTAAGTATATCTTTTCTTCCAATTTCCCACCTAAAACAGTGGCATGCCTATCAGCAGTAGTAACATTTTTTTGTACTTACATATTTGATATCTGACACAATTTTATGGTCATTAAAAAAAATTAATAGAAATTACATCAATACTATATGATGTAATGACACTAGTAATACCAAAAATATCTAAACGAATTTACAAAACAAATATTTATTTTTGTAACGATATAATATTACACTCTATATAATGGTATTCCATAACTTAACTAGGTACGAGTACTTATTATAAAAAACGTACAAGTCTATTTTCGTATTAATGCATTTTCATAAACACAGCCATAATATACAAACCATATTTCCTTAACACTTACACTTACGTGCATTAAGTATTATATTAAACAAGTTTTCGTATAATGCACTTACGCATATTATTATTATGACTATAATACTTAAATAAATCATGTGAACTAAATATAAAATCCATTATTTTTAAATCATATACGTAGTATAGCGGGGCTGACTTTCAAAAGGAGGGTCGGCGAAAGACGAAAAGAGGGACCGACATTGGGGTAGTTTGACAATGAAAAATGTCGTGGTTTCGGTGCAAATTAACGAACACCTCCAGTACCACTACCACCAGTAACCACAGTACACCGGAATAAGCCATAGATCAATGGGACATTGATTGGGGAATGACAAATTCGCCCTTCGGTTTGTATGGTTAAATCCTCTCGCCGTTATGTGTAACATATGAAAAGTCCGATACGCCAGCATTTAGAACGAAACACTGTCGAATAATAATGAGATGACAAATAATATGTATGTGAACGATACATAATATTATACACCATAAATAGATTCGGTCATTCGTTATATTTGAAAGTGGTCGAACAAAATGTATAGGTATACATTAATATTTTATTTGAATTCGTTCTAATTTTCACATTTTCACTAAATTACTACCAACCGAAACACATGAAATATAATTACATTTAGAATTCACTCCAAAGTAAATGCATTTATTTAATAAAAAATAACCGGCTAAAAAAACAGAACTTGACTACCTTTTTTTCATCAATAACCATAATATATAATTTATTCAACGTTAAAATAATGAAATATTTGTATTTTCACGCATCATCTACTTACTATTTTTTATTTTAACAATTACAATCTATCATAATTAAATTGAATGCATGTAAATAAGCAATTTATGAAAGTAAACAAAATTATAAATTATAAACGTTTAAAATATAGGTACCTATCTATAAAAAAAAAAAATAAATACATATGTGATAAAAAATAAGCAACATAAATATAATATGTATTGGTATACACCGTGATGTCACAAACAAATGATAAGTTAATATAATATATACTACTTCAAAGGTTCAACAAATGTTTTTCAACGATAAATCGTTATAAATGAAAAATGATTTTCAGCAAAGTTCGGTTAAATACGTTTTGATAAAATTAAAATTAAAAATTGTATTAATTTATCGTAACTAAAAATAAATTATAATTGCTCGTGATCGTTTTAATGAATTTTAATATAAATTTTGACTACCACACTGATAAAAAATAATTATTTACTATTTTCGATCAAAAAACCATAGGCAAAATTATAATATGTAATAATTACTTAGTTTGTGAGATAATACATAACCAATAAGGTAGGTATGTAAGAATTCAAAAGAAAAGCCAAAAATAATACGACTTTAATTCAAAGACAACACTATAAGTAGAGAATCTAGCACAATCTGTGAACATTCTCTTTTTTTTTTTCTAAAAAAAATTAATTTTCATCCACATCATAAAACGATTAATTTTACTTATTTCTGGTATGTTTAAAAGACATAAAGCTAAAATGGTCGATTTGATTAAAATATGTATTTTAATGACATAATTTCCCCTATGTCAAAGTTAATATTTTAACTGTGATTTCAAAGTACAGATCTCACAAATTTCGTATAGCATAAGGTAAAAACATCAATGTGTGCCAGTTTAAGCAATAAAAACGATTCTAAACCATTGCTAACGAAAAAACGATTCTGAGCGTTTTTCAGTTGATAGTGATGCTTTGTTAACAACATACATATATATGTCATATTATAGTAAAATATTTAAATAGGCATTATATATTTTCTTTAATAATATTTGTTTAATATTGTGACAATTTTCCCGTTTTTCCCATGTTTTTTCTCGAATTATCACATTTGCTGGGAAAACTCTTTGGGGAAAATCAAAAAGTGACCTCTTTAAAGTACCTTCCCAGTCAGATTTCCTTTCAGAAAAAGTACTATCAATTGTAAATTAAAGTCAAATTACTAGTAGAAAAGTTGTACACAGAAAAATAAAGCATTTTTTTTATTTATACCTACATTTCATACAATTTCCGTTTTTTAGACATTTTATCCCGGTTTTTCCCAGTTATTATAGAAACGGATTGAAAAATCACTAAAATGACCTATCTAAACCATGGAGATAAAATTTCGTTTTAGAAAATAAGCTACACTTGATACATGGGAACAAGATTTCTTGTAGAAAAGTTTACACAAAAAGTAGAGGAGTATTTTTCGATTAAAATCGTTAGAACGAGCGATAGCTAGGTCTCTAGGTACACTTAAAATGTATTTGTATTTTACCTATTTAGGTAAAAAGGAAAAAAAGTGCAAAAAATTTCTTTTCAAACCCCGGGTTTGGACCCGCAACCCCTAGTATAGCAAATACGTGATCATGACCATTCGACTACAACAAACGTATAGTAAAATAGACAATATTTAAAAAAAATTAAAATGTCTATAAATAGCTCAAAAATGGCTTAAATTTTACTACATCTAGAAAAAGCAAATATAATTTTTCTGTCCAAATTTCAAGTCTCTACGAATATTTTTAACTGAATTACAATAAATAACAAAATTGATAAAATAATAAAAGCATTAATTTCATACATTTCCCGTTTTTCTCACGTTTTATTCTGGTTTTTCCCAGTTATTCCAGATATTATGAAAACCACTTCGAAAATCAAAAAATGACTTCCCGAAAGTACCATTTGAACAACATTCCCTTTCCAAAATGGTATCACGCATATATATCTGAGCAAGATCTATGGTAGAATTTATGTACACAGGATAAACAAAATAAACATCTTAGTAAAACCAATACATTCTTCGCAACACTCAGAATCTAAAACATGGTTCCTATCTACTATGAAAAATTGAAATTTACAGACGCTTTTATTTTGCCCAAACAATATTGGTCACTACTAGATTTGCCCAAGTAGCATGTGGCACTTCACGTTTTGTCCGTGCTTTTGTCCAATTTGTCAGATTTTTCCCATAACATATATATATATATAAATAATAAATACTATATATTGTGTATACCAAACGGTGTAAATCGGATACATTATGAAACGCTCTACGGAAAATTAATTCGAGCAGACCCTGATAACTGAACGAATGATATTAAAAAGATACCTGGTAAAAGAAGAATACCGCGCCCGGAAGATGGGAGGAACAACGACGACTTTATATTGTGTTATAAGTAATGAAAAAATGTACTTCTTCTAAATGTGCGCACGACAACGCGGAGTTGCGCTTTTCGAGAAGAGGAGACGGGTACCTATTATTATATGTGCGTGTGCGTGTGGGTGTAACTGCCGAAATATCCGGAATCTCGACCCGGACAGCGGCGCGGTCGCATAAAAGATACGAGGAGGGGAAGTCACGTCCGTATATAGTCGCGTAGTCGTAGTCCTCGGCGCCGGTTTAATATTCATGAGAGTTTTCTGCCGTTTTATCGCCCTCTTAGTGCAAATATTCGTCGCCTAAACACACACGTAATAATAATAATAATAATAACACGCGGGGCACAACCGTCGTATAAAAAGCTCTAACCACCTGGAACGAAATTGCACGTTTGCATTTGACGTATACGTACAATATTATAAAAAATACTAATGTCGTATGTCTATAGAGCTACTATATTATATTACACTGTACCTTACACGTACACATGCAGAAACCTGTATATGTAAAAATATTCTTATTGGAAAAATATACTGTATTCAGGATGGTTTTGAGAAACTTGACGCTTTCAAACAAAATCATGAAGGTATATAATACTATATAATATTATCGATGCTCAATACTCATACATATCCCCGTATAAGACTAATCCGAAGGGCTAATCTTACAAGTAACGGACGGTAGTAATATAATACAAGGTGATTCATTTAACATAAAACACTATATATTTCGCAAACTATGACCTTCTTCAACATTTTCAGACAAATTATTTTCTAAAATTATAGTTAACTTTTATTTTGTTCGTTATTAGTTAAACCACTACCGACTTTTGATTTTCAAATGACAACCTATAAATTAAATATATCAAATTAATAAAACTACCTGGATTTTTTTATGAAATCTTTTCATAAATGACTCTACAGTCTACACGCACTATTACACAACTAACAATACACTTGTTTTTAACGGAACTTGGATTTAAAGTTGTAAAAGACACTGGGACTTTAAACAAATATGCTTCTTTTTATAGTTTAGAAATGTGATTTTTTACATTTTTTAACCGTTATTACACCAAATACAAATCTTTTCGTAAGAATTTAATAATTGTTCGGAGGGGAGATAGTATGTCTTTCACACACTACACCGTTCAACAAACTTTTAATAATTATAGTACTTGTATTCAATAAACATTTACCATTTGTATAATAATAGGATTTTTAATTAAGCAATTAATCAAAACCGTTCTTAAACATCATTTTAAATTAAATTTATTTCGTTTTCTTAACGATCATAAAATGTCTCCAATAAAATTAAAAATAATTGCTACTTAATTTATACTCGACAAAAAAATACTGGCCAAAAGTCAAATTGTAACAAAACGTGCATCCCATTTGTCCTTCACTAATTTATTTAAATATTTTTAATGGTACTATATGGCAAGCAATATACAGTACCTAACTACAGTAAACAACTATAATATGTAATAAACAGATATATTACGTACGTCTTCAAAATGTAATTATAACAAAAATAACAGGCAATTTAAATTTAAACTAAAGAACATACCTAGAATCAACAATATTATAACATAATAGATACACATTATTTTTAAGATAATAATAAATTTTAGAAAAAAAAAAAACATGGTGGCGTTTAAATAATAATGATGCGTAAATAACCCTAAATACGATTTTAAGTGGATGCGTGCTACCGTACTGTACCTTACACCACGTCTATTTTGCGCAAGAAAACACTATTCGGGCTATAGACTTAATTTGGAAATTAAATAGTCACCATAAAATAGAACTTGCAGTGTACTACGTAAGTTTTATTTGTTCAATACTTACAACTACCAAAAGTTACTATTTAACAAATCTGATCAGTTTTTTAAACTTGAATAATTTCATAACAGTGATATCGGAAAACTAAAACCAACGTTGCACGATGCAAATACCTACTCTATAATTTATAGTAAAAATTTGATTTCTTAACCAAGTCTACTGTTCGAGTAGCTATTACCCGCGCGAGAAAAGATTTTTCAATAATACTTTTGATTCATTAATTTTACGATTACATAAAGAATAAGTTTTTGTGACATTCACATTCGAAAATGAATTTGAATATTTTTAAGTTGATAAAATTACATTTTTCAAAACTTTCAAAAAAATTGTCTATACACAACCTTTAGATACGGAAGATAGCACTTCCTCTTAATAAATTAAAATGAAAATTGTATAACTGAATTATTTAAGATTTAAAATGAACTAAAAGAACCTAACCAACCTAATATTTTTTAAATAGTTTTTTAAATGACATGCGGTTTTCTTCCGGTTCACTTTTAGAGATAATAATTCAGTACATATTTCCACTAGTCTTAGTATATAATGGAGATAAATGGAACAATATTAAACACAGATAATAATTTTTCGATATTCACAATAGTTTATAAACTTTGTTTCCAGGAAAATAAAAAAATCTACGTGAAGATACACAATACACATATACATGTAATAAAACATTATAATACTTAGTCTGGATTGATTCTCAAAAAAATCTATCAATATAAAATTTAACAATTTTTTCAAGAAAATATTATATTTTCAGAACCATTTCAAACGAAACCTTATTTGTATAAGTTTAATTCAAATGGAAATTGTATTTTCGAGACAAATGCATATTATAATACAAAACCTCGTACAAAACGAACAATATACACTAGGTATTTGTAATTAATGGTTAGTTTCATTAATATTATTAAACACAAAACAATAATTTTAATCTAAATAATAGATTGTGTTATTTAGTAAATCGCTTAAATTCGAACAATTATATATTATCATGAATTGTGATATTTATATAAACATCGTATAGTCCTCTTAGATTTAGTACAGTCTAATCCCGTGGGACGAAATCGAAATATGCCAAACGGTTTAGTTGTCCCTTATAAGTGTTATTTACCCCATAACGGAAGAACGAAATCAAGCCAAAAACCTTACAAATGTGCACAACATTGCTCAGATGTAAACATATATTGTTTGACCTTATTTAAACCTTTGGCCATTTACAAATAAGCCCACTTTAACAGGAAAGCCGAATTACAGAAAATAAGATAAAATGATACACACGGTAACCAAGGACTTAAATAAAATTCAAAACCACGAATCCGGCATTAAACTAAATCACACAAAGCATAATAATTACAATGATAAAATGCAAAAGGGGGAGGGGGTTTATATTTCATGGTTTCCGCATGAAAAACGATTCGGTTATATTATATAAAATTAAAATTAACAAATACTGAATTACATTCTATACGTTTAATACATACAATAATATAAGCCAGAAGTAAACGAATTTCAAAACATTATACATTCTAAAATAATTATGCAGTTTATGAATATTAAAATCATACCTATAAGGCTAAAGTATAGGTTCAACACTACATGGTAACGTGGTGAAGGGTTATTTGAGATTTCTGGAAAATATGACTAAGGGTGTCTTATAAATTAAACATATATTTATATTTACATTTGACACAATAATTGAATAATTATAAAAATTATTATAAATTATAATATTATTGAATACCTATTAATTAGTAATAGCAACTACAACAATAAATAATTATATGATGTGTTTACTCTAGATGTCCAGTTTTTATTGGTTAAACCACACGCGTAGACAAAACCAAATAATTCATGATGAGAGACGATGAGTCTTTTTTCGGTTAAGATCATGGGACGTGAACATTTTACAAACTGTTGGAAGCTATTAGTAAATAGATTCAGAAGGGGATAAACCTCAAACTACAACTTATTTACATCACTGTTATTTAAATAAGTCTAAGATAAGATTTTTTTTATAACCTTTTGAATAATGCGAAGAAAGTGGATGGATAGTATATCAAAATATTGGCTTTCTCAAATAACTACTCCAATACCCATGTAAAATGTATAATTGTATATTTCTTACTATGACAAGGATCATTTTTTTATAATTATTAACAGTTTAATATGGTGTATTTGAATAGCGTTGAATATAAATTTGTGTCCGACTCGATAAATACCAGATGGACACTCGAGCAATACAATTATTTCAAAACTGAATTATTAGTGTGATTTAGAATTATTAAACGCGAATACCTATATTTTTTTTTTTTTAATTCTGAGCGGAGTGGGGAATGCATAGGTTTTACAATGTTTATTATTATTTTTATTTTATCTGTGAACAACTTTTCTACCAGCAATTTTGCTCCGATTTTCAATTATAGAACTTTTCTGAAAGGAAATTTAACTGGGGTAATACTTTAGGGAGATCTTTTTTTTTTTTTTTTGATTTTCCCAGTAAATAAAAATAACCGAAAAATACATAGGAAAACAGAAAAGTAGGTACAATATATTTAACCAATATTATTAAAAAAATATGTACCACACATGTAATAATTACTTATTTTACCATAGTGTGACATATATTTTATTGTTGATAAAGCAACACTATTAACTGAACTCCACTCAGAAACGTTTTTCATTAAAAATGATTAATTGTTACGTATATGCATACGTAACATAGATATACATTTCAATTCTACCACAAATCTTGCTCTGATATATCAAGTGTAGCTATTTATAGACATTTTAATTTTGATAGTTTTTTGCGTAAGGTAATAGGTATTTAAGGTAAAAAGGTTGATAAAATTGTTAGACCAAACAGAAACTCTAAAAAATTTAACGGAGGTTCATTATAAATTGTACTCGGTGGTCAACAAGAAAAAGTTGAGTTTAAAGTAGTATTTTTTTTTTTTAATAAGAATTTTAATATCGAGTTTTGACGAAAATCGTAAATATTATGGCCTTTTAAAACATGTTAAACCGAATTCCACTGAAAATCGTTTTTCGTTAACAATGATTAATCGTAGCGTATAGTTAGATAGGTATAAATTAATTTTCCTCACTACCTTAGTACCTTCTCAATTTCTCACCTACAACAGTAGCCCACCAATCGTGTGAAATATATATCCGTATTTTTTGTTTGTATAACCTACAACAAATATGTTACAGTTGGTTTATATTGAATACAACTTAAATATTATGAATACGGTCTTATTATTGCGTAAGAAATGTTGAACATTGCAAATTGTATTCTGTTAAACTATTAAATTTGAAATTTTATCATACTTAATAGGTACCTAACTATTGGTTTGACTTTCCCGTCGTCAGCTTTACAAATATTCCAAGAGCATAACTAATTAGAAATTTACAATATTCTAAACATATTATTATAATAATGCGGTAGCTAAAAAAATGATTTCGTGACAAAACGGCATTTAACGTACTTACATAAGCTGATTTAAAATACCTACACACACTTACTAATCTTTACAAGAATATAATAGTAGCTGCATAGAATACAAATTACGAATATTGGAAAATATTTTATTTCCTGTCGATATTATATTAGTTTTTCGGTACCTACAAATTAAATAATGCATTTTAATTTCATTGCGGTTGTTATTTGTTTTACATAAAGCTCGTTTAAATTATAACCATACCCGTAATAAAATATCATATAATTATTTAAAACTTATAAAATCTAAAATATAATTTGTAAAGAGTTTGATAATATTGTTTAAATTAAAATTGTACTTCTATAATATTGCGCATATAAAATCTACACTTTTTCAATTAAAAATAAAATATATTACGAGTACCTTTACTATGATAAAATGGTTAAAAAAAAGTTTTGTAATTGTTTTTGTTAAACAATAAAAATAATATATCCTAATAAAGTCACGAATTTAGAATAAATTAAAACAATAAACAAATTTGTATTTTCGATTTAATATAAATTGTGTGCTGGCTATAAATAATATGGCAGCTGTAAAGAAAGTGAAAACTTCCCGGTGTTTTCAAAAAATAATAATTAATATATATTGCTTGTATATTAATAATCTAATATTAGTATAGTTGAAGTTGAACACACAATTTTATTGCCGTAATATATCCTTTAGTATTATATTTGAATAATATTTAAATCAGCTTTCTAAAAGTACCCTTATATTTTATTGAAAGAATAATTAAAAGTATTTGTATTTACACATTTTATATTAATGTAATGTTAACGAATTATTTAGTTAAATATGATAATAAAAACCGTATATATATATATATATATATATATGAGCAGAATTAAGCTAACGAATAGTATTTGTATGTATTTGTTAAATTTGGTTTTAATTTTTAAACGAAAATGTACGATTGATTTGTATTAAGTTATAGGTATTTTTTTGTTTTTTTAATTCAAGGTAAGAATACGAATAACAGTTATAAAAACACCGTTCATCGCAAATCATAGTACACCTAGTAAATTGTAATAGAAATACATAAAAATAAACTATAACCCTATACCTACCTACCCCAATCTGTATACATTGCAATACTCGTATATAAAGATGAAAGTATAATATAATATACCTACATTCGAGTCAAAATATCGTGATCACTGATGTTGCCTCGATTTCCCTTGGATTCTGCCATTACGGCCGTTAAAACGTCATTAAATAATGCCCTTTACCTAAATGTTTTTTCGTGCAACACCACTATCGTTTGAACTTACTTACGATTCCTTATAAATAATTCACTTCGTATAACCCTTATTCTAGAAGCTTAAAGACGGACTATTTTCTTATTTTGGCCCCAAGCCAATTGCTATCACGAACCCTTCAGTATACATAAGTATAAATGTTTTATGCTGTTTCAGCTATTACTGAAAAAGAATCCAGACTTTTGAATATTAAACAGAAACCAGCCGTAAAAAATCAAATCTCAAAAGTGTGTATACCTTTTGTGCTATAGATATTTCGTAAATCCAAAACAGCTGTCCAATCATTCACCGTACATGTTTTCATAAAATATTTTATTAACTAATATTTGAATTATGAGCAAAATCCGTCACATCAATGTGCTATCTTTATTAATAATATATAAATTTGAAAATAATAATAAAACGTTAAATTAAAAAAAAAAATGAGTCTAACCGATTATCCCTACTTTTTTTTTTTACTATAATAATTATGATAGGTGTGCTAGGGCATAAAGATGATGGAAAATAACCTTGTAAAGGAAATTTTCTTCAGAACAAAAATGAAAAAAATTGTTATTTAGATATTTTTTTATACAAAAAAAAACAAAAAACGAAAACAAAAAGAAACAAATTAAAAACCCATTACCTATAATATTTTTGAGCTCTATTTATAATTACTATTCGATTTGTGTTAATGCAATGCAATATTAAAAACAAAATTTTGTTTACTATTAAAATACAATTTAAGACCAACTTGAAACGTGTAACATTAATGGGCACGAATCGACAGGTACCTACGTGTAATAATGTACTATTTATTAAAGGATATTGTAATACTTTGTATATATAAACCATGTAAGCCAAATACAAACGGAATATGTAATGGAAATCCTGGTGGGCCGATTGTGACGTAACTATTATAATAAACCATTATTTTGTATGGTGGGATGCTTATTTACATTTTCACAGTAAGATTTATTGATACATTCCCGCCCCGATTACCAATAAGATAGACAACTAAAACGAAAATTCCATATTTTAATTTATAAAATATTACCTACCTATCAAATAATAATATTATTTTATTTAAATCAACAAACAACAACTGCTACGATACCTATTATAGGTAGTGATATTGATAACCACTATAACCAGTAATCACAATACGTTTCAACTGATAGATCCAACGATCATAATATTATACCACTGTACCTAGTGAAGTCCCACGGGGAATGTTCCCGGGAAAGTTCTTCGAAATCACTTTTCCCACTTTCCCGTCTTTCCCCAAAATGTAATTTTTATGCGACATATCAAATTATATTATTTTAGAAGACCATATTAAACATCTTATCCGTAACATTAGACAATTATCAATTTTTTTTATCGGTCGAATAGCTCGCCGCTCGCGTTCTGACGGATAAACGTGCTTGAAAAACTAACTTTTTTTACCTACCTTTTATCCTTCAACCTAATTAATTTGTATTTATCTAAATATACACACAACTGACACAACGATACAACTCACAATTGCACAACATTTTCAAAAATTACTAATCTTATTTAATTATTTCAAACTACTTCTCAAAAACATTAATAAATATTGCATCGTTTACACATTGTAAAAATAATAATAGTTTTCTCACTCTGAGTAAGATCTAAATACAAGCAATAATCTGTTTAAATATTTCTATGAAAACTATTAAAAATGTATTTCCTCAATGGATATCAATGAAGTAGTTTTATCGTTTAACTATAAATTATGTATACAAAAGACTAATAGAAGATAAGGCATAAACTATATCGATAGCATATTTCTTTGTTATTAATTGTTATAAAATATGTAGAGACAGTAATTATATGCATTTACATGATCATACTAAGTGTATGCACGGTCACGAAGGTTTAAAGTATGATAGTTCCAAATCAAACGAATCAGTTTGAAATTTCATCCATATATTATTTCTTCTTTACAATAATAAAAAAAAACAAACGTCGCACGATGGGTGGGCCACTGTTGTAAGTGTGAAGTTGATTATAGGTAGAGGTGGGATTTTATGTATATCTATACTTAACGGTCAATCATTGACAACGAAAAACGATTCTGAGGGAAATTCGGTTATACATGTTTTGAAAGGCCGTAATATTTAAGATTTGAAAATAATAAATTTCGTAAATTATCCCGTTTTTCCCTGTTTACTATGAAAACCCATGGAAAAATCAAAAAATGACTTCCTTTTTAAGTACCACCACAGTCAAATTTTCTTGAATCTAAAGATATTTAATATTTTGATCAACAATTAATCACGGAAAAATGTATGATAAGTGAAAATAATATTTTAGTATAACCTAATTTATTTCTACTTGAAAATAAACACTGCATTATGTGTTGCATAGATCTAAAATATAAATATTTTGAACGTTTTTGTACATATTAGTGCATAGGTATTTTGTTATTTTATCTCTGCCTACTAGCATCATATTTATCATCTTTTAGTGGATATTACAATTTAATATTATGCAATTTGAAAAGCTAAGTAAGTATAATAATAAAATAGTCTAATATTTGTCAATGTGTTCAAAGTATTATATTTATGCCCATAAATGGTTTATGGTAAGTACAAGGTCACGAGTTCACAATGAAAGTGATACTAACATTTTTTTTTTTGATACATAATAAATAATTTGAAAAATATATATTTTATTCTATTAAACTATCAAGTTTATACGATTATTACTTACAAAATAACAAAGAATAAACAAAATTAATTTTATGAGAATATATTTGTGGGTATTTCATAACTTTGGCCGTTTTTTTAGTTATTCCTCCTAATCAAAAAAGCATCTACAACTAAAACTAAAATACTACTATTTATTATTGTTTTAACATAGTAATTTATAAAATGTTCATCATATTTTTTCGGTAAAATAATATAAATTAAATCCTGTTAAAATAGAATATTGAATACTTAACTTGGACACGCATGGTGTAAAATTTGTAGATTCGTTACAAAAAACAAAAATAATAAATAAATGCTGATATTCCATAGTTGAAATGAAAAATAACACTGTTAGTACAGTCTAACTATTATGTACTAATAATGTAATTTTTTGATATAGATTCCATTTATTACTCATTATGCTATGTTAGTACGGGTATTCGTTGACCGTAAACAAAATTAATGAGGGTGTAAGGCCAACCCTGTTCATAAACTTCTATGAATAAATAAAATAAACAGAAATTATAATTAGATTTGTAATTATATAACACATTATATGTCAAATAGGTAGATAATCAAAAGGAAAATCCTATAATATATACATATATGTACCTCAATAAGTACCTATATAATTTTTTTTAACAACACAAATAAGTAAAATACAAACTTCAAACCTTGGGTAAGATAAGCAAATGTTTTAGGTGAGTATTATAAAACTAAATATAGCTTCCTTCTATACTAAGAATTTTAAATAAATTACCTACTTTGGTATAGCTAAAACTAAATGATGATTGAACATAAAAACGATACACAAAAACTTATTTTCAAGCAAATTAATTAATTATGTAATGGTATGCCACCATAGCACCTAAGCACCTAATATATTCCCTACTTAAATATTGAATAAGTACCTACCTATATTAGTAGAAAGGTAGCTAAGCATAAAATTTAATGTATTATTAAACATGAAATATCTCGTGAAATATACATGTACTCGAGCACCTTATCTATACTATTACCTATACAATTACACAAATTATCGTGTAAAAAATAAATTTTAAGTAGGTAATCAATATAATCAATGAAATACAACAATTATAATTCACCAACAGTTAAATGTCATCAAATACCATAAATTACTTCAATGTCAATAATATAACTGTTATATGGACATATTGTAAAAATATAAATATTATCATTTACAATATTAAAAGAGTACAAAAGTATTTCATCACTCAGAACAGAAAACTACAAACTAATCTAATTTAACTACCTAAGTATTTATATCTCTGATGCTGTTATTATTATTATTTATTAATTTTTAACCATTTAAATTTGTTTTAGCATTGGCTTATTTTATGAAAATAATTGTCCTTGATTCTCTGGTCTTAAATGAACCTTCGAGCTTGGTAGTATGCACAAAATTATACTTGTTTTTAATTAAATTTATGTCAATTATATCTAGTTTTTAAAATTTACGGCCAGTGAAAATCCTAAAAATCTGTGGATCAATATATTATCTATCCGTCACTAGTCATACCTAACAATTTTGATTTTATGAAAGTAAAATAAATTTGAGAATAAACTGCATTCATAAACATATTACATGTATTGTATTTTAAAATATAAATATTCTATATTAACTATACTTGCCTATCCATCATGAAAAAAGTTTTTAGAGATGTTAATAATTAAAAGTACATGTCAATAAAAATAATCTTAATTACCTAGAGATAATAACTAATGGAATTTATTTAGTATAAATAGTACCTAAGTGGCTACCTATTTAACAATTCGTATATTAACAAAAACAATGGAAGTATCAAAGATAATGGTTAAGTTAGTAGTACCTATTACAAAAATTGACTTTATAAAACATAAACAACAACTAGGTAAGTAACTCAATACATAGTTAATAATAATACCTAACATATGAATAACAATTGACAACTATTTCTAAATTAAAGAATGTCTAGTATAAAAAATACAAATAAATTTTTGACCAGATGAAATATGTACCTATTGGATTATTAAAACATGTAAAACTATTACCTTTCTAAGTTTAATAAAAATATAATTTTTTTAAACTGAATAGGTATACATACTTTTTTTTTTTATATGGCTTCTATTATAAAGTTGTTTACTAACTAAATGGATTCGCAATGTCCAAATGATAATTTCTGCGTTTATTCCAAATTGTTTAACAATATTAATGTTGGCATAATGATTGAATAAAAAAAATCAGTCAAATCAAATATAATATTATTATTACGTATTATCACAGTGAACTGTTTATAAATAATATTCTTATAATTTAATGTTATTAACACTAAAAACAAAAAATATTAGGTCATACCTAGAACGTACCTACATACTATGTATTTATGTGACAACAATACAATGCATTTTAAAATCAAACAATCGTGTAGGCTGACACATTAGTATTGTTTATTATTACCGGTCATTTAACTAAGGGACTAACCGAACAACATTGACATTTGAATTCCAAAAATCAAATGACAAGTGAAAGTATACAAAGAACACCGACCTATCTACCTGCGTGTAAGTACCTACTTAATGTTTTCGTTATCAATGTGCAAACTCGATAAACACCGAATATGAATTGGTTCGCAACAACAAATCTCAAGTATCATTTCATCCAGCGACGGGAAAGCTAGATCATACAATAATAATAATAACAATGATGTGTTAACGAGACGCCGAAACAGTGATCTGTATTATATTACTCGAGATTTACTAAACCAAAATCGAAAACAAACCTCGAGTAATTCGGTTATTTGTCGAGTACTTACCGCAATCGCCGTATGCATTCAGTTCAGGGACCCCTTGCAGAGTCGACAATAATAACAGTATTAGAGAATTGTGGAATCGACGACGGTACGGAGGAACATGGTATTATTGTTGATAGGTCGACGATGATAGTGAACCCGTCATCATTGGGTGTGTATCACGCGGACGATTTAGAAAATGTGCGAGACCGATCGGGCGCGGGCATGTTTTTAATAGCGAGGCGGACAGAATCGAAAACGGAAAACGCGAAAGAGAAAAGAAGAGTAACAATAATCGAAAGAAAAAAAAAACACGAAAACCCGAACGAACGCACGAGACGCGAATCGGCGGACGGACGACCGAATGTATCACGAACCCGTTATGTTTAGTACGTACGCGAACGACGGTCGCGCACAGCGCCACCAGTACTACCGCCACAGCTGTGAAACAGGTTACGGCGGTGGCAAACAAGTGGTTAGCCGTAGGATGACGACAACTAAATACGGCGGCGACGGTTTCTACGAGAGGGGAAATAAGTTACGGGTGGCTGAGGGGCGGAAGAGTCCGCGGCTCGGCGGAGGAGACGGCGGCGGTGGTGTCGCTGCCGCGCCCAGTGCAGCCGTCGGCCGGGGACGCACGTGTACGGTATTCTTATTACTATTCGTGTGCATTAGTATGCGTCTGGACGCTCGAACGCGGAAGGTCTTCGAAGGCGTTCTGTTCTTTAATTTTTTTTTTTTCTACCTATCATTTCAAAAACAGTATTTTTATTGTTTTTTTTTTTCAACCACCCGTCATGTACACTTCCCCGAGAAACGGCCGACGCGGGACAATGTCGCTATAGTTTTTCCCGCCAAAAACAAAAAAATGACTAGTTAAATAATAATTATATTCATTAGTTGGTTGGTCATACCTAATTTGGTCACGAGTATATACCATTATACCTATAATATACGATACGCGCAACTTTACATCCGACAACTATATTGTTTTGATGTTTAATTAATGAAAAATGTTTAAAATCATATCTAATTCGATTTTTTTTTCCCCAAAAAATTCGTTTGTAAATGAAAAAAAGTACCGAACACAAATTAAATTAAAAATGTTAATGATATATTATGCGTGCATTTTAACAACGACTTGTTAATTATCAGGGCTATCTATTTAGATTCTAATAGCTCATACAACGAACCAGTATACCTGCTAAGATCATGACGATAATGATGGTGATCGGTTATCTGACAATATTAGATAAGTACCAAATAACTTCGGCCCTAGCCCTTAACTATCTAGGTGTTATAGGGGCCACAATATATTTGCGTATATTTTGATATTTCCACCGACAAATGTAGTATAAAACTATATAATACATTTGGGTACATAAACACAGGGGCTGTTATCCGTATTAAAATTTGCCCCGTCGGACAAAAATGTATACCTATTCTAGTATTCAGGTATACTTATAATAAAAATATAAAATGATGATTAATTTATTGTAAACCGTAAACACTGAATAATATACGTATACACAATAAATATAGTATTACCAATTTCCCACCTACAATAACAGTGGTGCATTAGCAATATTAGCTCTTTTTTTCGTACGTTTGACCAACTCCTCTCCCCTTTAAAAATCTAAACAAATTCAACAAATTATACTAATATTTAACACGTAATTCACACGTCTAGTTTTAAAATTCACACGACACTCCTTCCTCCAGGAAAATCGAAAATTCATTGATTGGAGGTCTGACGAGACACGTCACAGTGAGTTATTTTTCAATTTATATAATATCCTCAAATAATTATTTATTTATTAGCGATGGTGGAAAATGTTTGGATTTCCCAGTGAGGAGGGAGCTGGACAAACGTGCGCCATTAATATACAAAATCAGGCAGTGTTTTTCGAATCGATATTATAGATAATATAAAAATCGTTTGAGGAAAAATTATCTTTTTACTCGTGAATTTCCAATTTCTTAAACATTTTAATTTCAGACGCCTGCAATCTACAACAAATCTTCTAAATATTTGGAAAACATAATATTAAAATATAATATTTTGAAAAGAAATGGGTTAAAAGCGAATTTTCGAATATAGTTTTATATAACACCATGCCGATTGTGTACTAAATATCGGCGAAAAAAAAATTGAAAAATGTTAATTTTTTTTATGAGGAGTTTTAGCGAGACGTGTTCCTCCCCGTGAATTTTCGATTTTCTGGGAGAAGGAGGGTCGTGCAAATTTCAAAACAAGGCGTGCGAATTACATGCTTAATTATTGCATAATTTGGTTTTGGATTTTCAAATGGGGGGGAGGGGCTGGAAACGTACGTCTCTTTTTTTTTTGTTATAATATTCTGAGCAGAGTGGTATCTCACTCTGTGATGTAGTGAACTATTTTATGTATTTTACTATAATATGTTATTTAATTTTTTTTTTTCTATCTGTATGAAAACAAAAACGTTTCTATCAAAGCATTATTTTTACATTATTATTCACTTGGTGAATTTAAGAAGTCATTTTTGATTTTTCATTGTAGTTTTTCAATAATTGAAAAATCGTAGGGAATTGTAAAAATTAATAATAAATGATGAATTATAATATTATAAAATTATAATTATAAATGTAAAAATTGCCTTCCTAATGGGTTTTTAAAAAATAATCATAGTGACCAGACATTTTCACAGAATACTTATATTAAGCTTTTCTAAACATGGTAAAACAACAAATATTTTTGCAAATTTGGGCTATATGTACTGCAGTTACTTATTAATAGCCATTTAAAATTAGTTTTAAAAATTATATATGGTTTTTGGTTGGTGGAATTATTTTAGCTCAGCTCTGTATGACAGTTTAACAGGTGGTTTACCAAACAGAAATACTTGAAAATTTAACACAAGGTTCATTATAATAAGTTGTACTTTGTTGTATTTAGTTGAGCGTAATGTAGTAGTTTTAGATTCTGAATGGAGCGAACACAGTTAGAAATCTGTAGTTAATTTAAAATTTCACCGAGAGTGTCAAACAACTTAATAGTAAATAATATACTTTATAATGTTAAAATAATGACAACAGATGTAGAATGAAATGCATATGGTTTAATGTACCTTTACTTAAAACAGCATTAAGTACCGGTGTTATTTAAACACCAAATAGATTTTGAGTAGTTGAATACAGCAAAATTCGCTTAAGACGCTCTTTAAGGAACCAGCTCTCCAGAGCGTCTTAAGCGGAAAATCGTTTTATGCGGGAATTTAAAAACTAAGTGATTGAAATATCGAGTTTATTTTTTGACGAATTTTATTATTTTTACAAAATTACTAAAAATTTTCGTAATCTGCTGAACAAAAGGTCGTCTTATCCGATTAGATAAAAAAAAAAACATGCGTCTTAACAGATGATTTTTACATTAAGTAGTATGGGAAATGTCTAGGGACCAACGGAAAATAGCGTCTTATGCGGGAAAGCATCTTAAGTGAAGGCATCTTGAGCGAGATTTACTGTATTACATTATCCACTAGTTTATAATAACATTAGTAAATTGTTTGATTAAATACATAAACTATTAATATTATTCAACATTATTTGTTTGCGTAAAAATGCATCGTACAATCGTTTTCCCAGAAGTTTTCTCAATAAATGGGCAAAACCGGGAAAAAACGGTACAATATTAAACAAACATTATACTTATTATATTATTATAAAAAATAATAAGCATTATATAATGTCTATTTAATTATTTTACCATAGATATATAATGTATATATTGTTGAAAAAGCTTCACTATCAACTAAACTCTGCTCAGAATTGTACGTTAGAAATGGTTTGTCGTTGTTTACAGATGATGTTCATTACATTTCCCCTCTACCCTCCCAAATTCTCACCTATAACAGTAGTCTCCGAAGTTGCACGGCTTTTTTTTTTTATAAACGTTTCAAGGTAAAATTTTGACGATAACCGTACACACTACAACATGTTAAAACATGTACGACTGAACGCTTAGATTTCACTCGTATTTCGTTACCCAATGGTTTATCGTTATTGATTATAAAATATGTAAATTAAACAACTGTATGTATCCTATCGTCCAAATTTTGTTTTATATATAGTTGTAGTATATCTATAGTTATACAATTAATTTCGGCCCTATCAAAAATTAGATGGGCCCCAATTGGCCCTCGCTAAGAAGAAATTCCGGCGCCCGATTCTGTACGACGACTGACGAGTGGCTGTCTTTATATATTATAAAAGAAGGTCGATGTGTACAGAAGTCGCAATGTCGCCCCGGTCGTTTCAACAAACCAAATCCGTCACTATAGGCCCGGCGGCCGTTAAATTCCAAAACGTGACACTGAATAAAACAGACGCCGCCGACGCGGTCGCGCCACATGTGTACGACCGGTCATTGATAAACGACGATGTCGGATGAAAAATTTACATTTATAGCTTACCAGAAACGCGCGTCTCCCGGAGATCTCTCTTCGCCTGCTTCTGATAATCCGCCTGCAGTGCCAGTAAAATAACACGTATACACATTTATAATAGCAACTAGGCGGGTTAAATACAATTCAGTAATTTTCATTTGAATGAGAACGGTCTACAGTATTAAATAGGTAACTTGTAACTACATATTATACACAGTGTGTTTTGCTCAAATATCGTAACTATACGCAATACAAGAAACATTTCGGCCGGACGGACTTCAATATATAAATGCGATATTTTTCAGGAAGATCGCGGTGTTCCGATCTTCCTAAATATTTTACAAGTTCATTTAAAAGAAGACTAACATACTTTGTACGATGGGTGGGCCACTGATGTACCCAGGTCAGAAGTTAGGACGGTAGGATATAGAGGGGAATTTAATGTATATCAGCAGTACGCGACGACTAATCTTTATCATTTTTGCTAACGAAAAACAATTCTAAACAGAGTTTGGTTGTACATGTTATAAAGGGCCATATATTTACGATTTTGGTCAACATTTAATAAGTACTGAAATTCTTATAAAACAATTCTACATTAAACTCAATTTTTTTTTTATTATTCCACAGAGTACGACTCATAATGAACCTTTTGTTAAATTTTAAAGCATTTCTGTTTGGTCTAATAATTTTATCCAAAGAGTACTTAATGAATAAAAAATTACTTAATGGCTAAAATGTACGTACTTAAAGATTCAAAACAATAGAATCCGTAACGCCACGGGGTGCCGTAAATATATACCGTTTTGCCTATAATTTTGTTTCCGGTTATTCCCAGCCATTTTAAAAAAATCCGAACTTCGAAAAATTGTTTGTGAAAAAATATTTAAAAAAAACACATAGTAAAACCAATAGTTACTTCGTTATACCTCAAATATATATAAAAAAAAAAAAGGTAACGAAAATACGACTATAAAAAATTAACACTGGAGTAAGTAGTAAGAAAAGAGAGCTTCTTATTCAAGGGGAGTCATACTTTTTTCACTACTTTCCGAGAGGTGCTATACTTTAGCATGGCCGTCCACGTTATCGTTCTTATATGAACGCCAAGCCACTGCGTATAAGTAATAAGAAAAGCAACTTCTAATCCAAGGGAAGCTATACCTTGGCTCTCCCATTAGGGAATCATACATTTTACACTGTTTTCCGAGGGGTGGTATACTTTAGTATAGCCGCCCTCGTTATCACTTTTATCACTTCATTACAAAATGTAAAAATTAGTGGTAAAAAAAATCGAGTCTTATGATGTAATTTTTTTTAGATGAATTTTAAGATCAATTTATTTTTATCAAAAATCGAAAAGATAAATAGATAATTTATTTATATATTTACAATTTAATCAGTAAGAATTTCTCATTATTTNTTTCGAGAAAAAAATAAAAATGTTTTATTAAAACCCCACAATTAGTATTGCGAGATTAAAAAAAAAAAAATACTGATAAAAAAAAAATGCCAACGGCACGTAGTGTTCCCAAGCGGTCACCCATCCAAGTACTAACTACGCCCGACGTTGCTTAACTTCAGTGATCGGACGAGAACTGGTGTATTCAACGTGGTATGGTCGTTGGCGATAATTCTATAAGTTATTAAGTTATTTAAACAACCACTCACTTAAGCTGATTATACACTGAACGATTCAACGCTACGATTTTAAAACGTAAACGCGCTTCGCTTACACATTAAACGCGTCTCCATACGTTTCTCGAAGATTTCCCCAAAAAACAAACGCAGTCTTTGAAATGATACAGTCATTTAAAAACTATGAATTAGTTTTTATCTCTAAATGATGTATCGAATGTTACATACGAAATAATAATAGAAAAACACGTTGTCTTGTCTTTCGTTCTGTGATGGACCTGTGAGGAGGACGGGCAAAGAGGTATTCGCCCCCCGCCCCCGAGGGTCGTATAATATATGTGACAATATGTGAGCATTGTTAAATTTTTTTAATTTTTAAGAAATTTTCTATTTTATGAATGAGTGAAAATATTTTTCGCCCCCCCCCCTTCCCGTAAGAGAGGCCTAGGTACGCCACTGCCTTCGAAATATTGTCATTTTTTAATAGGTGCTTTTATCCTAAAATCAAAATTAATCGAGTTTTACGCAGTGTGCTCCATTGCCCGTTAGTTGGATTGAGACAGCGCATGCAATTATGTAACGTCCTCTTATATAAACTAAATATAAACTCCGAGAGTCAAAAAAAGTTTCTAAATTATAGGTACACGAATTAAGATTTAGCGACTGGTTTGATTTTTTTTTGTACATAAATACAATTACTAAAATAGGTATTTACTTAATTTTAAAACACAAATGTTTAAAAACATCTGGATTATTTTGTGCGCCACGGTTTCAACGAAATAATTAAAACATTAACATCGTGCAGTGGACTGCACGATTTTTTTTTTTCAAGCGATTCGAACGCGCGATTAATTGTTCAAATTATAGATACTTTTGCATGGGTTTATTCAGACACGTAAATGAAACGCGCCTTCGAACGCCCATGTTTAATTTTGAAAGTTCTTCAACTAAAATTAAACAATAATTTCCTAATATATTTTCAATGCATTTCCGTTTTTGATAACACACAGGCGATTCGAACACCGCGATCGTGCCGCGTTTTATTTTCGTTCATTGATAATTTGTGCCTACAGCCTTGTACAATCTCCCGTACAAATTTTGTCCATTTATATTACAAAAATGTTTAATACTAAAGAGTTTATTCCTGAGGTGTTGAATGAAGAACCATTTTCTGGTCTTTTTAGATTAAGCGGATGGATCCAATGTCGCCATTTCACTCTTTTTTGTTTACGTTTATGTTTCTTGTATAGTGCAAGCATAACACATGTGGCTTCTATATCGTTTAAGCTTTCCATATTTGAAAATATTAAACGAAATAACAATGGATTGCAACGCGATGTACTACACATGTGGTCATGTACGATGTACAGAAACAACAAGACTAGTATATCACGAAATACAAAGTATTGGTATCACTTTTTATTTTAGAGAAACGTGTGGCGACGCGTTTAATGTGTAAGCGAAGCGCGTTTACGTTTTAAAATCGTAGCGTTGAATCGTTCAGTGTATAATCAGCTTAAGTGAGTGGTTGTTTAAATAACTTAATAACTTATAGAATTATCGCCAACGACCATACCACGTTGAATACACCAGTTCTCGTCCGATCACTGAAGTTAAGCAACGTCGGGCGTAGTTAGTACTTGGATGGGTGACCGCTTGGGAACACTACGTGCCGTTGGCACTTTTTTTATCAGTAATTTATTTTTTTTAATCTCGCAATATTAATTGTGGGGTTTTAATAAAACATTTTTATATTAAATTGTAAATATATAAATAAATTATCTATTTATCTTTTCGATTTTTGATAAAAATAAATTGATCTTAAAATTCATCTAAAAAAAATTACATCATAAGACTCGATTTTTTTTACCACTAATTTTTACATTTTGTAATGAAGTGATAAAAGTGATAACGAGGGCGGCTATACTAAAGTATAGCACCCCTCGGAAAGCAGTGAATAATGTATGATTCCCTAATGGGAGAGCCAAGGTATAGCTTCCCTTGGATTAGAAGTTGCTTTTCTTATTACTTATACGCAGTGGCTTGGCGTTCATATAAGCAATATAAGCGTTGCTTACACTTTTAGTTATAAAATATTATAGGTATATTTTTAAATAAAAAATTTAAGTCATGATCAAGTTCTAAAATACAAAATTATATTTACATTTCTGAATAGTATAAGAAGATGACACACGACCTTTCATCATATCAATAGCATGATGCTATTTTACTATATTATCAGCGTAGTACGACCCAATACAACAATGCCATATTTAGAACTTTCATTAGAACATTAGAACTCTTATTAGAACTCTCATTAGCCATCTTCACTCATTGACTTCAATTAGTTCAAAGTATTGCTATTACTTGATGGTGTTTATTTAGGAACTACTGTTAAGTATTAAAATCATTTTTGATAAATTTGTATTAAATAAACTGTGAGCGGCTCTCTAGAGGTAGTAAAAATATAAAGATATAGGTATACCATTTTTGGTGATTGCACCACTGACTACATCACGCCATGCCACTGCTTACACGTCATAGTAAAACCAATAGATACATTGTTATACCTCGAATAAACAAATAAAAAAGTAACGAAAATACGAATACAAAAAATTACCTAAAAGATACCTAATATTTCATAGACCCAATAGAGAACCTGCCGGAACAAGAAAAAGATCGGGTTATTTTTACTAATTGAAAGTTCTTTCCGAGAAAAAAAAACATTTGTATTACTAGACGCTTTTTCTTTATATTCAGAATCGTATACCATTTTTATATATCTACATTATATTATTAATAAATAAACTAGGTACAAAAAAAAAAAAAACACAATGGCGCTATAATATAATTATTATAATATAGGTAGTTGTGCAGTAAACTAAAAATAATAATAATAATAATTTAGCATAAGGATAAAAGCATGTACCTATTGTACTTCCGGCTATTAAAATAACTATCTGCCAACTAGGATGGTTCATAAAATTTAATGAAAAAATTAATTTTCGGAATAGTAGGGACGACGAGTATAATAAGTAATAATGTTTATAGGTATAGGTATGCAAAATAATTTTCTTAGCACCGTTTTCTTTTCCTCGGGGCTTTAAAAATACTTACTATAGTGTCTAAATTCGTATAATATTAAAAATAGTCGCAGTATAAAGTGTAATATACATTACCTATACCTGCCTACCTATATCTGTACCCATAATCAAGCAATTTTTACACGTGAAATTTGTAATTTATTCTTTATGGAAGATAAAAATAAAATGTAGGTCGTCATCGTTTATTATAATAGATATGTGGTATAATATTATATTATATATAGACGAAAACGAACAGTACTTTGGTAGATGCAGTGCTCCCTTTAAGTTTTAATCAATTGTATTATAATATATTCTCCTTTTTAGATTATGAGCATAATGAAAAATGTATGTAAGTACTCTATAGTTTTACTATGATGTGGGTTTTTTTTTTTCTATCTATAAACAACTTTTTACCAGAAATATTACTTCGATCCTCTATAGTGTAGCATCTTTTCACAAAGAAAATTGTATCTCGTTGATTCATTGAGGAGATCATCTTTTGAATTTTCCTTGTAGACTTCATAATTAGTAATAGAGAAAATCTGGGAAAATATACGCAATAATGATTTATGTTATTTTTGATTTTATTTTTATTTGTTTTGTTAAAAATAATCTTAAATACATATTAAATTATGCAACTGTGTATTTAACGACTCATTGAAAATCTTGATTCTGTGTAAAATTTACGGCCATTGAGCATTGGTGGACAGTTACGTAGCCACATTAGGTAGGTTACCATTTGAAAATCAAAAGTGGTTTCTAGTGGTTTTAACCTCAAAATTAAGGGTGATAAAAAAATATTATAAATGTAAAATAAAAAAACTGCTTATTTCTTAAATGTTCTATAAAAAAATTCCGAAAAAAGTTAATACTTTCCGAGATAATGAGTATCTCACAATAGATTGATCATCCTGTATATAATAGGTATATTGACAAGATACTCTCATAAGACATAAATGGCACCGTGAAAGATCATGAATGACACTAATCCATAAATAATAAAAATATCTACCTATGTATCAAACAAAAATTACAGTATTAGATAAAGGTTATCAAAAAAATATTTTGTGAAGTAGTTAATTAAAAAAATTTTTTTTTAATTTTTAACTTGCAGATATATTTTCTAGGACAATAATAAATAATTGAGTTTCTCTAAATAACTTTGTGGGGCTTAGCACCTTTGGATTCCCTATATAAAAAAAATTATTGAGAGACTGGTAAAGTGATAAAAAAGTTCTAGATTTAATTGAAGATGGTACTGTTGTCAATAAATTATTATATATAACCACTGATTTAGCATTTTAGTGGTAGTAATAATAAAGAAACTGAAATCTTAAAATATGATATTACATGAAAGCTTTTTAATAATTGATGAAATAAAAGAAAAAATGCAAGCTATTCCTGTATCAAAAAGACGAAAGCCTTAAACACCTTAAAACAAAATTACACGATCTTTCCGATAAAAATGAAATTGAAAATTCTATGACAAATTAATGCAGTGCCTATTATTAGGCAAAAAATGTAAATACGAAATACCTACCTAATAATAGTTGGTTGCTTCAAATATACACCAACATATTATAATACTCAATAATCAATATCCATAATATTATACTTAAAAACTTCGGCTGACGACCTGACATCACAGCTTCACTAAAAAAAACTGGAAGTACAAACAGTTATTTATTATAATAATAAATACTGACATTTTAAAAACATATTGAGCTGTTATCTAAAAGGTTTTTTTGTTCATTAAATACCTATGGGTACCTATAATACCTATATCTTATTTGTTATTATAAGTTGTTTGATTTTTAAACCGTATAAAAATTGTGCATTCATTATCACGATTTATTTTGAAAAAAAAATTGTATTCTTGCATATTTTCACCATTTTTACTGTATAATATATGCCATAATTTGATACTTTTTAGTACATACACATTTTTGCTTTGCAATTTGGTGATGATAGCTCACCCTCTTCACGGTCTGCAAAAAGGTTGAAAAATGACTAATGTGGGTAAATTTTCTGTTTTTCGAATTTAAACCAAAAACTATAAAATCCACAAAAAGCATATAGAACATTAATTGTAGAACTTTATATTACCTACAAAATTTCTTGTAGGTAAATCCTTAATTTTCCAAGAATTGGATAAAGAATAATAAATAACCCGATTTTGTTTACTTGGAAAATATGATTTATCTATGGTTATTCTAATATATTTGACATATGGTTGAAATTATGAGTCTTTTGTACAAAAAAATGTTTAAAATACAGTTTTCTAAAAATAAAGTTATAAATAACATTTGAATTAGACCAATAACTTTGTTTTTACAGTAAGATTTATGAAATATTTTATTAAAAAACGCTTTCTACTACTACAAAGAACCAAATACAACATAATTATTATTTTATTTTATTAATAAGAAAAAGATTAGGTACTTTATAATAAAGTTTGATAAATAAAATTATTGTATACTTAAATATTTATTGTATAATAATTACTTAAAACTATTTTTAAGTTGAGATAAGACAGCACACATTCTTTTGATTATAGACATTATTGTTGAGTATTAGATTATATTATTTATTGTGGACTGTGATAGATTGTTATAGATTGAAATCACATTAGTCACATTAGTGCTCACTGTTCATTCATCTTTCTGTCCGTGTCTATAGTAAAATCATGCCTCAAAAAATATGTATTATTGATTGTTCTCAGTACACTAACTAGACACAAAAAAAAAACCTTCTAAAACCTATAGATTATATAAATATCAATAGACAGCTGTTCAGTTATATATATACTATTATGAATTAGATTAAGTACAAGATAAAAACGGTTTTTTTGTTATTAATCAGCTAATAATGATTATAATGTTTTCATTAAAACGTACAAATTAAAAGAACAAACTCTTAGAAAAAAAAATAACAATAATAAAACAACTAATGTTTACAAATTGTTGTGTTTTAATAAAAAAAATTACTAGTTTAAAGTCAAATTAATTTTATTAATTGTGCTTTTTAATGAGTCCACTAATCTTTGAATAAAAACCTTTAGCATAATCATTGAAATTTCCAACAGTTTTCAAGTCCTCAATTTTTGGTTTAACATCAAACTCAGAAGTCCATTCTTCAGTTATCCATTCTTGTAAATGTTTGTTTATTTCTAAGTCCATTGACTGACTTGGGTAGCTGTTTGTTAAATTCATTATTATTTTAAGTGCAAGATTCTGTCGAATTGTAAGTTCTTTGTATTCACTAGTATCTCCACCATCAAATACTTGTCCCTGTTAAGGCAAAACATAATTTGAATACAAATAAAATAAAATGTTAAGAAAAAAATAAGTAGTACTTCTAGACGATCTTGAGGTAATTCTACATCTAAATATGACCAACATATTAAAGCTGTAAATACAGCAGATGGAAATTGATTAAAGTGTTCTGCAAACTTGTCAAATAATAATTCAGATGATTTTATACAGTTTGCATCTTGGTTCACCAAACGCCATACATGATTCCTTACTTTTTCACTGTTATCTTCAGAATAGTGTATCATTATTGTCCATAATTTTAAGACTACAAAAAAAAATAAAAATATGTTTATTCATTTGTTATTTTGACTGGCTTAATAATGGTACAAAATTAAACACATAATTGAAACATGAATGTTTGATTTAAATAATGATAATAATAATGATACATAAATAATACATTCTTGATAGTACCTATTATTTATACTTAGGGTTAGGATCTTTATGCACTATATAAAATAAATATGTATATACTTAGGCACTAAAAACCAGATAAATAATGTGTTATAAATAAATTACTATAGACACAAAATCAATTTCAAAAAGACAAATTAAAAACAGGTACCTATATATTTTAAGCTTGCTGTTAATTAATAATTATTATGATTTTATGAAATATAATAGAAATGGAAATTAAAGTAAATATCAAAAAAAATAAAAATATTTTAACAGGGCAGTTGCATTGAACAAAGATTGTTTGTTTTAAATATTTCAAATATTTAATATTTTATTTTTAATAGTTCTTGAATCTATTAAAAATAAAATCTCTCTATAAAAAAAAAAAATATGTAATCAATTATTACAATTGGCAAATTTTATTGGAAATTATATTTTTAGTATCTTTAATTTGTGTATCCATAGTAAACATTCAACAATAGATGAATGAAAATTTGTATGTATGATATAATAATAAAATAAAAATAACTAAAGATTAGATGACTCAGTTAATAAAATATAAAATGACAATATTTTTTGTCATTTTGTATCGAAAATTACGAAATATTCCCTTAAAATAAAAAAAATCATAAAATATGCAAAATAAACATTTAATAATTTGATTAAAGACATCATGAAACTCATTTATATACAAAAATAGATGCTATATAGCAACATAAACAAATTATGCAAAATCATAAACATTCTAACCCAATTTATATTATTAGTAGAACTTACAAAATAAAATCAAAATTTAAACTGAATATCATTATTATCAATATTATTATACCTTTTTATAGTAGATAACATAAAATAATAATAATAATGAGAACTGTTACTGCTGGTGGGTGTGTCACTGTTGCAGATGGGAATACATACAATTATTTAATTGATACCTGTACACAAGAATGTTAATGAAAAATGATTCTAAAATTAGATAAAATATGATGTAAAATTAAATTGTTTTTTCTCTTGTTTAATTTAGAAAATCACATTGCCTTTTAATAGAGCACTCATAGTTACTAAAAACAAAATTTGATTAGTTACATGTACTTACACGTTTTAATGTCTAACAAGTTGTTTTCAATAAGTAAATTATAATTATCAATAATTATGTCAACACAAGCATTCTTGCAGTCATCAGATCGTTGGCCATAATAAATATTCTCAAAGATTTGAATTAATTTTATTGTTACAGACTGTTCTAATAATTTCTAAAAATAAAAATTTAATAATTGCCACTATTGTTGCATAATATTATTGAAATTACATAAAACATGTGATTTCACTACTTACTTGGGTTTGTAAATATCCATTAATACATAATAGAGCTTGGGAAATTTCAATATCTCTTCTAAGACAAAAAACTTTTGAAATGAAATTGTCAATTGGTTCATAAACTTTAAAATACTCAACTAATGCTGGTGTAAAATTTGATAAAACCAAATATTTCACATGAATTAAAGAATCAATGATAGTGCATTGTTGACAGACTAACTCAATAAGAATTTTATTGGCCAATAATTGATTCATTAAAACTTGACGATTCCAATATTTAAGATTTTTAAATTTGTCTAAATGATCACAAAACTCAATAGGTTTTTCAGACAAGATAATACTTAATACTTCAAATATTATTTCACACTGCATTTTACTTTTCATAACATTGTACACAACTATTGAAAAGTCAGTTTGAGCTTTTAAACTAATTGAAAATAAGAATAAAATAGCACTTTCTAAATATTTTGATCGCCCAATATCATTAGATTTAATATATTTTGTAATTGTTTCCAAGGTTGATGTATAAATAGGTTCAACATAATTATAATGTAACTTATCAAGTTGAAGCCATAGACATGTAATGCACCTTAAGAAAACTTCTTTCACCACATAAGAACAATTATTGAATTGGTTGTATTTCATTGATAGATTTTCTGTTAACCTTACTAATTTACTTAAATCATTTGATTCAAGTTTAGGTAAATTTTCAACCAAACTAAACACCTAAAATACAATTTTATTAGAATTATTTTAAATTATTTTATAGAAAATATGTTTAATTACTTGTAATAAAAGTCCGTGTTTTGTATTTTCATTTAAATTTTTATTTGTTAATTCATTGAATGTGATAAAAATGTGCTTAACCAATTCAATTTGCGTAACTTGAGGTGCAATAGATGTCGCTGCTAACATTCTAGTTTTCATAACAGGACTTTGAGCACATTTAAATATATATGGGATGTAAACAGATAACTTGAAAAGAATCGAAATAAATACAAATATTAATTGTGTTTTTAATATATTAGTAGATTTCATGAAACTATGAAAATTATAATTTCAAATATTAAAAATTATTCATAGTGAACTTACTTGGTAAATACATTCAGTGGCTTCGTTAGCAGACGGATATAGTCTAGCAAGTAGTAATAATGTAGGATACAATGAAGGCCTCATATCCATTGGTGAAAACTTTTTGAATTCATTTAAAAAAGTTATATACAACTCTGGATATCTTTCAAAAAACTCTCGTCCAGTCATACGATTCTTCCACGATATTTCTGTAGAAGATCGTGGAACACCAAATACACGATTAACCAATGCACTTAGTAATAGTGTAGATGAATTACGAATCTAATAAAATGTAAAGATTTATTGAATTAAATATCTACCTAAAAATATATTCAATAAACAAATAAACAAGTTAAATACAAAAAATTAAACTAATTTTCATAATTTTATGTTGTTTAACTCTTGAATTAAAAAATTAATTTATTAAAAATATGTAAATATTTATATATATATATATATATATATATTTTCTATGATAATATAATTAAACAAAGTAATTATACAATAAAATTTTAAATTCCAGAACAATTCTAATAAATAATACTAATAAAACTTACTGGCCATGATGATGAGTTGAATAATACAATTGAAATATTAATCGCTCTAGACAGAAAAAGACCAACAAGGTCTCCTAATTGAGAACATCGAAATAATGCTCTTAAAACATTTAAAGCGTGAACCACTCCAGCTTCTAAACTTTCACTATTATTACAAATAGTAATTAATGTTTCCATTGTATGGTTCACAATTTGTCTTTTATCGTGGTTTGTACAAATCAGTGCCTAAAATTAATTAATATGTGATAAAATTATTAATAATATTTAAGGTAATGTCTTACTTGAATAATAAATGGCATTCCAGCACTCCTTCTCGTAACACAAAATGTTTCATTTAATCCAGTTTTAATCTCAGTCAATACATCTTCCAGATATTTTAGAGGTATTTTATGTAATGCAGGAGACCTAAATAATTAAAATATAATTTTACACAACTAGTTTCTTTTTCTATTAGAAGTTAAATTACTTTCATGATTATATTTAAATTTACTTTTATATTAAACCTTAATTTTTCACATAAATGGAGTGTAAAATAAACATACAAATACTTATTTATAAATGCATATTATATAATATATATTATTTTATAATGAATAATGAATATACCTACTTCCACATAGTAGAGCACACTTTTAAGTATGCAACATATATTTGTTCAAATGCACCTCGGTGTTTAGTTTCAGCAAGTGATAAAGTTAAGCATGAACAAATTTTTGTTATCAAAGTATTATTAAATTCTGATTCTTGTATTGTAATAATACCAACTATATCACTTAACAATAATGATGCTTCCTTCGCTGTACGCCAGCAGCAAAGAAGAACCATTTGTGAAGTTACTTGACTATCATTTTGATATAAATCTAAAATACGGTATTTCTAAGTAAAATGGTAATTTTTAAATTAGTTTGAATGGAAAATATTTATACTAATTTTTTACCATCCATTGGAATAATGCCTTCAGGAGAGGAATCATTTACAACGATAGATACAAGTTTTTCACATTTTAAACAAATACTTGATAAATCTTCTATGCAAGTAGTCCAATTATTTTTTGAACCATAATTTCTGTAATTGAGTATTTAATCATTGTACTACAAATTAAATTTTTTTCATAGGTTAAATGATATTAAAAAAGCAACTCACTTCCAATTAAGGGTATTCAGTAAATGTCTTATAGTATGAATCAATCCATACATAGGCCCATTTGCTGATGCTAAAGTCAGACTTTCTTCTGCTAGAGCAACTTCTTTTTTAAGATTATTTATTAATTCCACTATAATAACATATGTATAATCTTCGCAACTAGAAAATCATTCAATTTTGAATATTTATTTATTATGTTTATTATAAATAAGATAAAAGATATAAGGTATTCCTTTTTTTCTCAGTAGATACAAAATGTACATAACATAAAATAATACTTAATCTTAAAATACAAAACAAATATTTAAGATCATTTATAATTTAAAACATTGTATTGAAATATATGTTACATATTATAATAAGTTCTGGTGTATATTTATATAAACAGGGTGATTTTTTTTTTCACGAACCACACATTTTAAGTGAATTTGATACCAGTTTTTTTTTTTTTTTTAATCATTATGGAATCGTTTAAACTTTATTTTAACACTATTTTCAATTTTTTGTCCTTGCTCCTTATACCTGAAATAATTATCCACTTTGGATTTTTAAATAAATACCTTCATACATTTTCAATCATAGATTCATACAGAGAATATTTGTTTAGAAATTATGATACTGTTTGAAAATTAAAAATATGTAAAGCAGGAATAAAACATTAAAAACGGTTTTAAAATAAATGTTAAATGGCTCCACATTAAAAAAAAAAAAAAAAAACAGAAATTAAATTCACTTGAAATACTCTAAAAAAATTGATGGTTCATGATAAATCAATTACCCTGCATTATATTTTTTTTAAATATAATTTACAGTTCATAAAGTATAATATTAAAACAAAATATGTTTAATTTAATATTTTTATAATTTCAACTTACTTCTTGTTTCCTTGTAAAAAAATTACTACTTCCAATAAGTATCCAGCTGTTATACAATCAGGTGGACTAGTACTTGATGCTAATATTTTTGATGTTTTTAGCATATCCTCAATTACCGTGTTATCCTTTAAAATATAAATTAAAGCTAATTAATAGTATTTAATATATTTTAAAAACCATGCATTATAAAAATAAAAATTACCAATTTTATTGGTTCTTGATTTTTGAAAACTAATATATTTTTAGCTAATATTTTATTTTGTTCATATGTATCCCATAAACGATTTAAAAGTAAAGTGATATTGTTGGATTCATTAAGTCCAATTATACCTGTGGGTGACAGACATGTTTGGATAAGACATAATGATTCAAGAGAAAAATTACGTCTAGAAAAAGTAGCATCGGGAAAAAGGTTATCAAAACAGAACTTAGAAAACCATTGTTGAAAGTCTGTGTAGTATTTTGTTACTGTTATATTTAAAGATTCATTATTTCTAACTGTAGCAGAAAATTGACTTTCTTTTATTCTTAATAGTGTCTGAAATAAAAAAATAATGTATAATTTAAATAAAATATTAAGCCTCAAAAACTATGATATAAAAGTGCATTCATAATTATTTTCTTAAATACATACTTTTTTAATAAAGCTCAAATTTGTTTGTTTAATTGACGGTTTTTCGTGTTTGATATTATAAGTAATAAAATACTTTATCAACTCTAATTCATTTTCTGTGAATGGCTGAGTTTTTTTGTGACAATCCAAAATAAGATGTACAGCACTAAAACGGGTCTATACAAAATAATATTTTAATTAAAAACATTATATGTCAAGTATTATGTTACTAGCCTAATAGTTTTAAAAAATACACATTTAATAACATACATTTTCATCATTACTATGTAGAGCTTTTTTAATAATGTCAATATTGGTTGAACTCATCCAATTTCCGTTATTATAATTCGCCAAATACCTTTTTTTTTCCACATTAAAACAAACTAAATATATTTTTAACGCCAAATCATTTTGATTACTTAAACTAAATCAAACAGACACACACAAAAATTGAAAAGAAATAAATAAAAACTAAATCTTATATATTCTTCAATACATTTATCAACATTTTAATAATCTAATAATATATTTTTAAAATAGATAATATAGAAGAATGAAAATATCATGAACTCACTCATAGAGGTACTTTGAAACATCTGGAGATAGTTCAACAGCTTTGGCCATAATTTGTTCAAAATGTTTTACATCCAATTTTGCTGTATTTTTAAATAATGGATACAACCAATAGTCAAACCATAGTTTACATTCGGTAGTGGTATAATGATTTAACATTAAATTTATAAAAACTGTTGTAGCCTATAAATAATAATGACAGTTTAAACAATTGTGTATACTGTATACGCAATACCGATAGATAAAATTATAGAAAAGTTAATGCTTAGAATTTCAACTTTTATTTTAAATTTACAACTACTTACTGAATTATTAGAACACATTAAATGTAATAAAGTATCAGCAATATTTGGTAAATATTTAATAACTAATCTTGAATCAACTTGATTTGATAATAATGTTAAAACAATAAAAAAGCCCTTTGAATTTTGATCAGAAAGTGATAAACGTTCTAACACCTTAATGAATACATTTTCATCTAAACATAATTTTTAAAAAAATAATTCATAGACAATTGAGTTTATAATATAGTAAACTATTAGACAAAATAATACCTTTTACTTTTAATAAAGTGACCATAGTTTCTCTAGTCATATGTCTAACACCATCTAGAATATGATCCATACGTGCCCAAAGAAAATCAATTAAGCTTTCAACTTTGTTTTTATCCATTTTATTTAGCATATTCTTAGCGGTAATCGATTTCATTCGTTTAGTAAATACTAATAAAACTCGGCTTGAAGATAGTGAAATACTGCTATTATTTAAATTTCTAAAAAAATATAATTTAATAAACACAATTGTAAGAGGATACAAATAAAATATAATAATTAATAAGTACAATATTTCAAAAATAATTTGTTACCTGATGCTTACGTTAACAATACTATTATATAGACTAATAAAAATTGGTTCTTCACTTTTAGGACTATTTAGTTTTAGTTCTTTGCAAGTGAAAGTATTTAATATAGCATCACAAAATCCCAACTTAACCAAATCAGTGTGTGTTGCAAGTTTTTGCATACACATCTAAAACATAATTGAAAGTAATATTTTTTTTAAATTTTTCTAATAATTAGTTATTATTACATCCCAGCCTGCAAGTGAGGAATAACCATATTTTCTGTGTGTATATAATATAGAAAGGCAACAGTTAAAAATGGTCTCCATAGGCAAATGATCACAATCTAAAAGAACCACAAAACAGTCATGAAGGTCTGATGTAAAACCAATAGCTTCAGGAAGTAATTTTTTTTTATATGCTGTTAGGTAAAAACGAAATCCTTCATGAATACATCTAATGGCAGATATTTTTTGTGTAGGAGAGCTTTCACACCTAAAAATTAAAAATTAATATAGTTAGGTACACACATTTTTTTAAATGAAAAACATAAATTAGTTATTAACTTCATGAATATAGGTAAATATAATTTTGCAACAGCTTTTTAAGTTTTTAAAGGAGATTACCCCTTTAAAAACTTAGAAATAAATATAATCATATAGTTTTAATTGTGTACTTACACTAATATGTTATATGAGTTCTTAAGAGTAAGTTCAAAAAATGCCAAGAATTTTTTAATAGAATTAAAAATAATTGTTGGAAAATGTTCAGAACATTCATTCAGTGTTTTTAAAAAATATTCTGCTTCACTTTGATTATGTCCTTTTTCTAGAAATATCATAAATTGGTATGTAATGGCAGACGATAATTCTGGTTGCCACTTTTCTGGACAAGATTTTAGGCATCTGATTAATAAGTAAATATTAGACACACATTAAATTACAATAGAAATAAATCATTCAATAGGTAATTACTTTGTAACAGCACGTTTCACTTTATCATCAATACAATGTTCGGTATATATTATAGCAAGAAATCTAACTAAATCATTAGCAATTTCTTCACTTAATGTATCTGTATCCGAATAACATACTTTGCATACCTAAAGTGAACCCAAATAAATCAAATATTACAAAACTACATAATTTACACACAACTATAATTACATGTTGAATAATGCTGATGAGCGAATGGGTATTTAAATTACTTAGAACGGTATCATATTCTTGTTTTAAACCTGAAAAATTAAGTGTTTGTTTTGTTTACCAGTATTTTATATAAAATCATAAATAGTTTACCAGTAATCTCTAAAATATATTTCAGTTCTTTAATTAAATTTGGATGACAAATATCTGGACGATAATTGAGCTGAGCAAAATCACGTTTGACATTCCTTAGATTTAAAGCACTCATGATTTTATTTTAATTAGAAAATTACGTGTCCATATATTCTGAGAGAAATTTGAATTTTCAAAATAAAATTCAGCAGTGTGGTACTTATAATGTACATACAAATCATAGATAACTATATGTAAAAAAAATAAAGTGATAACACTTCATAGTTCATTGCGCGGCCTAAAATGTGAAAACTGAAAAGTGATCAAATTTTTAACAGTACATTTTTAGTAAAAATTACATCCGCCAGGTAGCGCACAGCCTTCGAATAGTATTGAATAATATTATGGGGGAATTGTGTAGTTATTGATTCTAAAGGGGTAACATGTAGGCAATTTAGGATGCGTCCACACCAAACCTACATTGTAGGCAACTTTGTTTTTTACAATATTTGATTGTTTCCAACTAAGTTAGCAATTATAAAGTATAGATACGTTCAGGCCATCGTTATTTAAACGAAGTAGATAACCATGGTCCGGATGAACCACCATTATTGTCCACAATTTAGTATTTAACAAGATGTTTACCAAACAGAACGTGGTTATTGTAGAAATTTAAATCATTAAAACAAAATCGATACTAAAAAAACGTATAAAAACAACGTCCGTGAAGTTTGCAACCCCACTTTGAGTTATCGACTTCAAATCTGCACCATTATTTTGCAACTAATTTGCAACAATATTCGCAACGCCAATTTTGAAAATTGCAGTTCCATTCCCTGGAAAATCCTGGAATTTTCCAGTGGTAGTACTTTCATTTTTATTGTTTATTTTTTATTAATTTATAATAGAAATTATTTTTGAGTTGTACATGAATAACAAATATAATTGATAATAATAATAATACAAAAAAAAAAAAATTAATATAAATGTTGAATAAATGATAAATAATATCAATAACACTATTAACAAAAATAACTAATATGCCAACTTCACGTAACACTCCCTTTTGATCTTTTGACTTCGATTCAGTGCCAATATTATACAATTAATTGCAACACCGCATTTTGTAATTTCATACTCAACTCCTACCATATGCAAATAAATTTTCTCTTATTAGTATTAAATTGATGCTACATTCGTATTGTATGCTGTCAACTTCAGCCTACCAAATATATATTTCAACAATTTTCAGCATGCAATTTGGATTGAGGAACTCAAACTTTTTCCATTTGAAAAATTGTATCCTTTTAAATTCAGACTGAATCTTCCTCTCAGACAAGCACCAATATTTTTTTTTACCATAATGAGTAATTATCCCATTATCCACTAACCATAGAGTAATTTATAATATTACGGACAATTATCCTTTATTTAAGATAATAATGTTTTACGCTTAAAAGCTTCTAAACTTTAATATAAACAAATCAATTTTAACAATAATGACATTTTAGATTCTGAGTGAAACAAAGAAGTTTTTGGTTTTACAAAGATGGTTTTTTTTTCTGTAGACAAATATTTTACCAGTGAACTTGTTCCAAATTTTATGTGTAGCGCTTTTTCTAAATGGAAATCGGTGTGGGGAGGTACTTTAATGAGGTAATTTTTCGATTTTGTCCGGTGTTTTCTCAACAAATGTGATAAACCGAAAAATTAAACCTAAGTAGTTGAATCTAACCAGTGCCACAGAATATATAATAATAATAAATCTTAATACATAATTAAAACATGGAATATATATCATATTTCTGGTTAAAGTTAGGTTAATGTTAATTAAAGTTAATGTCAATGTTATGTACATTTAGTTATTTTTATGAGTTATTGATTTTACATATCATTTATTTAACATTTGAATTAATTTTTTTTTTTATTTTTATTAATTTTATTTATTATTTATGAACAGCTTGAAAATAAATTATATTATTAATTAATAAAAAATAATAAAAAAGAAAGTATTACCATCGGAAAATCGAATTTTCCGGAGAATGGGTGAAGTTGAAAACCTCAAAATTGAAGTTGTAAATAGTTGCAAATCAGTTACAAAACAATAGTACTGGTTTTTAGTCGATAGCCGAAAGTGGGAGTGCCAACTTTACGGACGTATAAATAAATTGTTACTAATTGTTGTTGAAACTGCTAACTGCCTTTGATAATTACTATCACCAATGTGTACAAATTTTGTTTTCAAAACTATAAATGAAGAGATTGACAACTGTAATAATTTTATTAGCCAAAATGTGATAACAACATTGAGAAAATAAGTGTTAGAGGCCAGAACAGAATAGGATAGACACCAAAAGAGAAAATCAAAATGCCTTAGATAGGAAATTAAGTATAAAAAGCCATGTAGATTATGGTGTAAAGAAAGTCAGACGTGCAATGGGTTTATGCCATGATTGTCTAATGCCAGTAAGAATATTACCCAGTAAGAGCTTAAAAATCCCTTTTAAGTCAATATTCACAATTCTGAAGTTGTATTTTTATATACTATTTTAGTTTTTCCCAATTATTACGAAAAATACTTTAGATATCAAAAACCGAATTCTCTATAAGTGGTAAAATATTAATAGGAACAAAATCGATCACTTGTAAATTTTTGATTGAAGTTATATTTCTGGTATAAAACATAAGTATAATACAATGAAAAAAATTAAAACAGTATAGCAGCGACGCGCCGTAAATACTTACTATTTTACCTATAGTTTTCTTTCGGTTTTTCTCAATTATTTCGAAAATCCCCTGGAAAATCAAAAAATGATCTCCTTAATGGGAGAAAAATATACGTTTCAGAAAAGTTGCTATGGTCCAGGGATTAGCAATCTTTTCAATCATGCAGGATGTATTTTTTTTCAACTTTTTATCAAGGGCCAATGAATAAAAAAACAAATTTTACTTATGATATAATACTGATAATTTTATAACTATTACATTTTGATATTTTACATGGAAATATAAGTAAAAAATGTACAAATATCTGTGTAGAAAAAATTAAATTAAAAAAAAATAATGTAAATTTTTAAATTGTATACTAATGCGATTTCTGTACTTGTAATTCATTAGTTAAAATTTTAACATCGGCTTGCAAACTTGTCCTTGAGAGTCATAATATAATACAATTCATAATGTTCATCACTAAGGCATTTATTTTTTTTGGACCTCACAATGAAAAACGTTTGCTCACATACATATGTGATGTATTTCAAAACGCTGGTATAAGTTTATGTGCAAATAGTCTTATTCCGGGGAATATATATATATGGGAAGACAACTATAAAATTGAGACAATCTAGTTAATTCCCGAAAATACATTTTTAAAACCTGATAATTTTGAAGTTCAATGACTTCCATTTTTAAATATTATTCTTGATATCATTTCACTTGAAAATGTCTCTGGAATAATTTTATTTCATTATCATACAAGCACTTATATAAATCATAAAATCTTGTTGAAACTTCGTTTTGCAATTGTTCAATAATATTAAGAAATCTTACGCGTAGTTGACAGAGGGTTTTTGTTGGGATATCACATTTTCCTGTTGACATTTTGTGTATAGTTAACCTATGTTTTTTTTTTTATCGAGTGAAAAATTATAAGGAAAAATATCTTTATTGTTTATGGATTTAGTAAATGATTATATGATGTATAGCTGTGAATATGACTTATTATGAATGTTTGCTGGAAAATGATACTCGATTAATACAGTGATAAAATAAATAAACAAAATTGTTTTTTATTCACCGCAAACTGCCACTGTCGTTAACGGGTGGAAACAACGCGTACAACATTTACATTGTTGAAAAAATAAAGTTTTGAGTAAAAACTATGCTAATACTATCCAAATATACTAAAAATGTCGGTGATAAGACTCACCTCTTTAGTTATAAAACTCAAAATATCATAAGAAATATGGTAGAAAATAAACGTAATTAATAAAATGTACAAATAAATATTGGTTCAAGGTTATTAACTAGTATTGGTTTTTAAGCGTGCCATTTTATCATCACACATATAAATTTCAACTAAAATTGTATTTTATTTCACTACAAGCACGAATAATATATTTCCGGAATAGTTGAAAATAATACAAAACTAAAAACACAAATTGCTCTAATATAATAACATAAAGTGTATATGTATTAAAGGCAAAATTGAAATATGAAATACATACTAACCGACATTATTGTAATAAAAGTAATCAATAATATAATATATGGAGGTTAACGTGTATTATATTAAATACGTTTTATTTAATATGTATCAATATTTAAAATCGTCAACATCTTTAAAAATTAAATGTAAATTTATAATAAGAACAAAATAAAAATTTAAATATTTTATTTTAATAAAATTTGTGGTGTGAAAATTTGTTAAACACAGAAGATTTAAAATCATGTAATCAAAAATAATATTTAATGGCCCTGAAAAGGGCCGTTTTAATATTTTGTGTCAATTTAGGAATTGACTTACTTAGAACTGGTGTATTTGGTCACGGCTTTAGTGCCTTCACTAACAGCGTGCTTGGCCAATTCACCGGGCAATAATAAACGAACGGCCGTCTGGATTTCCCGACTAGTAATTGTGGAACGCTTGTTGTAATGGGTCAAACGACTGGATTCGGAAGCGATGCGTTCAAAAATGTCGTTGACGAAACTGTTCATGATACTCATGGNAATACTTTGTAAATGTAGATGCCGTAGGATTCTTTCCTCTTGGGCTTGCGCTTCTTATCGGACTTGGTGATGTTTTTCTGAGCCTTGCCGGACTTCTTCATCGCTTTGCCTGCTGATTTAGACGGTGGAGCCATATTTGATTATTTAAAAATACACTGTGTTTAAAACGGTCGGTTAAACGTGAATGATAACCGATTAATTTTTCACTGGTATATATAATTAAACTTAGCGATCTCGTACGTTGTGATTCACTCTTGAATATATTTTGAGGATGAAAAACAACATATTTAGCACTATTCTTCAAATTACAAAATGTTGTTTTATCTTGTTTTGTCCTCAACTGCTCCAATACGAATAATCATAGTAGTTTATTTTGTCTATATAAGAACCTCACATTTGGTACACTCGACTCACAGTACCTGTACGCAATTATCTTCTGAATTTTTTTATCTGATCAGCAAACATGAGCGGACGCGGTAAAGCAGGCAAATCAAAGGGCGGCAAGTCGAAGACTAGGTCTTCTCGGGCTGGACTTCAGTTTCCCGTCGGTCGTATTCATCGTTTATTGAAGAAGGGAAATTACGCTGAACGTGTTGGAGCTGGGGCCCCGGTTTACTTGGCTGCCGTTATGGAATATTTAGCAGCCGAAGTGTTGGAATTGGCCGGTAATGCTGCCCGCGATAACAAAAAGAGTCGTATTATCCCTAGACATTTACAATTGGCCATCAGAAACGATGAAGAGTTGAACAAATTATTAAACGGTGTTACAATCGCCCAAGGTGGAGTGTTGCCCAACATTCAAGCCGTTCTCTTACCGAAAAAGACTGAGAAAACAAAAACGGCCTAAATTTATTACTTTTACCACATATTTTAAAACGGCCCTTTTCAGGGCCACCAATAATAACTGCTAACTGTGTAAACCCACTTTTTGGACTTTGTAGATAGCCAAATATAGCCAATACACTCAGGTTATACTGTTTATGATCGATTACCGAATGGAGTATTTTCTTTTAGGGATCTCAAAAATCTGTATATTCAATATCACCACGAATCTTTAGCCGTGGTTGCAATATCAAAAAGAATATATTATTTAATTCGTGTAGATTCAGATGGTTAAACTAACACGATCGTAGAAATATTTAGACGTCGTATTACTCATACGCAATGACATTGATAAATGACAACTGAACATTAGCTAGTTAGTTAATTTTACATTGTTTTTAAATTTCCTTTTCACAGATTTTAAAAGACTTTCAACATAAATACCATATTTGTAATTATTGAAGCAACCAATATATAAACTGTCCAGCCCGGCATTGCCCATACCATTTTTAGAATCTGAACGGAGTGAATAATATATTGGTGAAGGATGTTTATTTTATTATGTGAACACTTTTTGAAAAGAAATTTTTTTTGAGGTAGTGTTTAGGAGGTTATTTTTTAATTTTCCCAGAAAATGTAATAAAATCTTAAAAACGGAGAATCGGTACAACATTAAACAATTATTTATAAAAAAAATATTTACTGTCTACTTAATTATTTTACCATAGCATAGCTTCATAATCCCAAAAAAAAAAAAATTTTTTAAGTCTCTTGAAACATAAAAATTATGATAGAACTGCTTTAAACCTGTTAAAATGTGAACGTTCTACGAGAACGACGTAATGACACCCCGGAAAATGTATGTTTTTCACTAATATTATTTGTTGTGACATATAACCGGATTTTTTTATGTACAATATAATTGTTGTGTTCATGTCATTACTTATTGGTTTTATAGCACTAAAAATAACTGAAATGTGCGCTATAATAGCAATATAAAATTTCATATTTGGAGTCTTATGATAATTAACAAAGCTATAAAATCCCAGGCTCATTAAACAAAATTTATTCATTACCTTGTTTTAAAATATTCTAGCATTGTTTAATTATTATTATAATTCATATTTTATTCATATAATTCTACAAGTATTATTTCAAAGCAGAAACAATATACGTCCGATCGTACAATAAATTATAAGTTAAACATGTTCAACAATAATTTCAAAAAGTTAAAAGTCCTAGAGAAAAAACTCATTTTTCATATAGAGTAGGAGAAATATTTAGACGATTGCTTTAGTCGACAGCAGGTTGTTATCCGAACATCAGTTACTGCAGTCGACCGTTGCACGAACGGAGCCGACTTTATAAATTATATGACGATACACGTGTGACTGTTTAGCAGTCAACTGTAGTTAGAAACATTAGTTATAATATTCTATAAATTAAGTCTCAGGGGTCTTCAACATTTTTTTTATGGAGAGCCAAATTCGAGAATTTCTATAATTTGTGAGGTATACTTCTTTCTCTTGGCTTCCTTCGAACAGTTAAATTTTATCCATTAATGTGCAGTGTGGTCTAGCCAGGTGTAACTGTGATGTATGTAAAAATGTTTATATATAACAGTTGTATTTATACATAGTTTTATACTAGCTATTGGTTACCAGCAAAAGAATATTGTAAACAATAAATTAGAGACAGCAGGTTGTTATCCGAACATCAGTTACTGCATTCGACCGTTGCACGAACGGAGCCGACTTTATAAATTATATGATGATATACGTGTGACTGTTATAGCAGTCAACTGTAGTTAGAAACATTATTTATAATATTCTATAAATTAAGTCTCAGGGGTCTTCAACATTTTTTTTATGGAGAGCCAAATTCGAGAATTTCTATAATTTGTGAGGTATACTTCTTGCAACAGTTAATTTTTACCCATTAATGTGCAGTGTGGTCTAGCCAGGTGTAACAGTGATGTATGTAAAAATGTTTATATATAACAGTTGTATTTATACATGGTATTATACCAGCTATTGGTTACCAGCAAAAGAATATTGTAAACAATAAATTAGAGAGGTTCCATCCACCAGTCATTAACTTTTAAGTAGTAAATACCAATTGGTAGCCCTGAAAAGGGCTGTTTTAGGTGAATTAAAATATTAACAATTATGAAGTAATCAGACGTTGGATTAACCTCCAAAACCGTACAGAGTACGTCCTTGTCTCTTTAGAGCGTATACTACATCCATGGCAGTTACCGTTTTTCTCTTGGCGTGTTCGGTATATGTTACAGCATCACGGATAACGTTTTCTAAAAACACCTTTAACACACCACGGGTTTCTTCATATATGAGGCCTGATATACGTTTTACACCGCCACGTCGAGCTAATCGACGAATAGCCGGTTTGGTGATTCCTTGAATGTTATCTCGGAGCACTTTACGATGACGCTTTGCTCCGCCCTTTCCAAGACCCTTACCTCCTTTGCCGCGTCCTGTCATGATAATGATATAATTCAAGCGTACAGACAGTAACTTTACTTATTGATTACCTTCGTCGAATAATAACTATAATTTTAGCGATCGATATTTATACTCTCATAACGAGAGTACCCACCAATCGGATCGTTTTCTCGGATATCCCCACTCCTGTCAACGGTTAAATTTACTTCGACCAATAAAAACGATGTATACATATCTAATAAAGGTATATATAAATGTTGGCGATATTATAATAGTCATTATTCCGACCCCAACCACTTCATTCAGCACTATCAATAGAAATACAGTAACAGCGACATGGCACGTACCAAGCAAACAGCCCGTAAATCAACCGGTGGCAAGGCCCCGCGGAAACAGTTGGCCACTAAGGCGGCCCGTAAGAGCGCACCGGCTACCGGCGGAGTGAAGAAACCGCATCGTTACCGTCCGGGTACTGTTGCACTCCGTGAAATCCGCCGTTACCAAAAGAGCACAGAGTTATTGATCCGCAAATTGCCTTTCCAACGATTGGTCCGTGAGATTGCCCAGGATTTCAAAACCGATTTACGTTTCCAGAGTTCCGCCGTAATGGCGTTGCAGGAAGCCAGTGAAGCGTACTTGGTCGGACTGTTCGAAGACACAAACTTGTGTGCCATCCATGCTAAACGTGTTACCATCATGCCAAAAGATATTCAATTGGCCCGTCGTATTCGCGGAGAACGAGCTTAAGCTATTTGATATTTAAGTATTGTTACTAAAACGGCCCTTATCAGGGCCACCAAAATTTTTAACAACAACATTAATTACGGTATATGAAATTTACTGCTAAATTTATCAATCTCTAACACTTAATACTCCCCAAAACTTTCCAGCAACTCTTGACTTTGTAGCCGAAATTTCTTATTTCCACACACCTTCTAACCATAACTACGAAGTTTTAAAATTTTCCATCAAGGTCAACTAAAACATAATTATAAAGAGTTATTATTTAATTTAATGTACAAAAGTAGTTTAATACTAATTAAACCATGAGATTAAAATAGATCTTAAATTTTTCTTTATAATAACATCCAAATGATTGTTTTGATAGTCTAAATCAGCCATTAGGAAATCAAAAGGGCAATTTAAATAATTAAGCCTTTTATACAGCTCCAAATTCTAATAGTCTAATTTACTTTATGGGAAGGGGAGTTGAGAGATTGTTTAATAAAAAGGTTGAGAATCACTGGTTTAAAACAAATAAAAATATACCTATTCAATAAATGTTTAAAATTGATAAAAATAAAATAATGTTAATACATTTTCTGAAAGGTAATGTATTATTTAATGCTAATAGTATCTTGAACTGAAGAAGTGAAGAGATTTTTTTTTATTATTTAATTTTTTGTTTCCATTATTTATGTGTATACTAGTTTTTAAAAACTACAAATATAAATAAGTTAAAAATAATATAATTTTTGATTAAAAAATAAATAATAGA